TAGACTATGGTACACTTGTTGAGGGGGTATAATTCCAAGCATCTGAAGACTTGGGATGAAAGTCTCCCTTACTTACAGTTTGGTTTTAACAGAGCAATTCATGGCTCCACACTCAAATCTCCATTTGAGGTATGTTTGAGTTATTTACCCCAGAGTCTTTTTGATTTAGCATTCACTATGAGTGACTAGCCATTAAGTGGCAAAGAAGAAGAAGAACATGTCCGAGCATATAAATTTTTCGAACGAGTCAGAAAGATTCGTACTAAAGTGGAGGCACAACTACAACGTTCTCAAAATGATATAAAGTTCGCCATGATAAACATCATGTGCCATGTACCTTTAAAGAAGGTGACCTAGTATGGTTACACCTTGGAACTGAGTGGCTCATCGGTGAAGAGAAGAAGCTAAACCCTATTTGTTTTGGACCATTCAAGATCATCAAACAAATTAGTGATATTGCCTTTCAACTTGCATTACCACCATACATGCATATGTAGTCGGTCATCAATGCCGAGAATCTTAAGCTTTTTAAGCCATCTCTACTTGATGATGATCCCGACGAAGACATTCACCTTCCATCAGTTGATGACTTAAAGATTGAACGAGAAGACCCTTTGCAAGAGGAGTGTATCTTAGAGCAAAAGGTTTGTTAAACCCATCGTAGAAAATATGAACATTTCCGCATTAGCAGAAAATGTCAACTTCCTAGCAAGTCTAAGTGGTATATTCGAGACAAGACAATAACAGAGTTTCCTCATCTCACAGTTTAGCTTGACCAGGAGCTCAAGCATCTTAAATGGGGGAGCCATGATCTAGGAGGATCTTGCAAACAAAATAATTAAATAATTATATACCATTATATCATTATTTAATTATTTTAAAACCAATTTGTTTTAAATCACCAATTTTGTATGGCTTATGTACGTAGGTATTTTAAAATCATTCAGCTCTTATGTTTTAAAACCACTTGCTATTTTTAGTTTGCTACTTTAGGACAATGAACTTGTATATAAACCTCATTTGATGAATGAAATAGATAAGCGGAACTCAAAGCAGTTCCATAACTTCTTCCTTTTGCTTTTATAATTGTCTTAAAATTCCTTTCGTTCTCTTATTCCTATAAACTAGGAATTCATAGTTCTATTGACTAGAATTTTTAGATCAAATATCTCCCAAATACGATGTATTGGCCCAAGCATATAAAATTGTATTTTACATTTGAATTTAGGGTTAATTACAGTTTAGTACCCTGTAGTTACACCCTTAAGACATGTTAGTTCCCATCTTTTCAATTTTTACAATCACATACTCCGATCTTTTAAATTTGTTACAATGTGATTCCACCGTTAGGGTTTCTGTCAGATCTCTCTGTTAGTTGGCTACGTTGCATTTATGGATCTCACATTTTTTATATTTTTTATATTTGGGTGTAATAAAATATTCATACAATTTTTAAAAATCAAAATCAATTAAAAAAAATAGGGCAAAAAACCCACACCACCCATTTTCTTCATCGTCCAATGGAAAAAGAAAGAAACATGTGTTTTGTCCTCATCGCCAACACACACCACCCATTTTCTCCTCAGATTTGAACCCTCTTCTGCTTCTCTGTCAGTTGCAACGTTTTTATGAAGACCTAATTTTCCAGATACTCTTTTTTATCTATTTTCAAGCAATGGAGAAGCAAAAACTAAACCCAGAAATCGAAGAATTTAGGGAAGGGAACCAGAAACTTGGACATAGATACTGAATGAAAAGCCCTTCATTTCTGACACAAAATCAAAACTTGAAAATTTTCAGAACTTGGAAGTTGAATGCAAAAAATTTCAGAGAGAGAGGTCAAACTCTTCATCCTCCCTTGCGAACTCAAACTCCAGATCCCATGGTCCCTAGTGCACCCATACCCGACCCAATAACTCAAAACGACTTCGGCGAGATCCGATGAGTGAGATGGTGCTCAGATCTAGGAGGTGACTGTGAGAGAGAGAACCGGAGACAGAGAGAGATGTAGTTGGTGGTTGGGTTCGTGGGGCTAGGTGGAGATTGAGGGTGGCGGAGAAGAAATTTGGAGGTTGGGGGGTGGAGGGATGGGTCTGAGTTTGTGATGGGGGAGAAAAAATCACAAGAAATCGTCTTTGGGGTAGGGGGAAGGGCCGCGGGTTTGTGATGGGTTCTGCATATTATTTGAAAGAGAGATGGGGAGGGTCTTCGTGGTTGGTATATTGGTGGGTGGAGGCTGGTCGGGATAGGAAGGGAGAAGGAAGAGGGGAGGAGGGTGTGGTGGTCATGGGGAAAAGGGTAGAAGAACTAAGATAATATTTTAAATTTTTGGTCTTCCGTATAAACCCTAGTAGCATAAACTAAGATTTTTTTTTTGAGTTTCACTAAAACACCTAAAATGGGGGTTGAAATTATAAAAAAACCCAACACCCAAAACACTTTATAAACACACCCAAAACCCATCATTACACACACTCAAAACCCATTTATAAACACACCCAAAAAATATACAATTGTTGATTTTGTTGTTGATTTTGGGTGTGTTTCTATGTTTAAATAGTGCTTGGATTTTTTTATAAATACATGTCTAAGATTGGGTTTATTTATAAATTTGTATTTTTTTTTCTTATCTTTTTCTTCAAAATTTCCAAAAAAATAATATTTTATTCATACATTAATCAATTTAAAATTAAAAAAGACAAATATGGGACCCATAAATGCCACGTAGGCAACTAACGAAGAGATTTGACAGAAGCCCTAACGATGGAACCACATTGTAACAAATTTAAAAGATTGGGGTATGTGATTGTAAAAATTAAAAAGATAGCGACTAATATGTCTTAAGGGTGTAACTATAGGGTATTAAACGGTAATTAATCCTTGAATTTATTAATGAAAAGTATGAACATATTATTATTTTATAATATCAAATTAATATGCTACCATGAGTTTAACAAAATGAAATTATAAAAATTCAAAGTTACATGGGATGGTGCTTTGGCCCAAGTACTGGCCCGGCCCAAGGACGACTCAACTCAATGTGTACTTGGGCTTTGGGAAAGACTGTTGGGGTTTTTTGTTTTTTGTTTTTTTTGTTTGTGTAAATTTTTATTTATCTTTATATAAGTTTTAATATTTTTAAAATTCTTTAAATATATTTTAAATTAATAGCTAAAATTATCAAAATGTTCATGCCACATCAGCAACTTAACGATTTTGAGGACAGAAATAGTAAACTGGGACATATAGTAAGGTTCTGGAGGGTGTGTGACATTTGAGTTCCAAGGGGTAAATTAGGATCTACATTCGAGCTTAGGTGTAAAATAGGAATTAAGCCCAAAACAAGGGAGGTGTGTTAGTTACTAGCTTTTTACATCAAATTTGATTATTTCACCAGCTAGTGAGGACGGAGTTCAAATTTAAAATGTCTTTCAATTTTAGGAAAAGAAGTATCACTAGATTAAGAGTTTCTTAATTCTCTAATTGGCGAGGTGGGATAGCATTAGCAGAGAAGTGGATGAAACGTTATTTGAGCGAAGTGGATGAATCGTTATTTGAGCGTGCTGAAATTAGGGATGAATAAATTACAGATTTGTAGTTGCTTAAGAGCTGCTTCTAAACCCAAGAAAGAAACGACCATTCAACTAAGCTGCTAAGCATGCCAAACAAATATCATATAGAAGAGGGCAGCAGATAATAGCTGCTAATTATTACACAGTTTCTTTGAAATTACAAAGGGGACATGAAGTTCTTAATTCAACTAAAGAAAACAAGAACATTACACAAACATTGACAAAAGAACCAACCGGAACTGATACAAGACCAAGCAGTACCACTATAGGGCCTCATCTACTTTATTTATATATTGTCACTTTTATTGGCAGAGGCACATATACACCTTGATGATGCTTCATGTAACTAGCGGTGCTGGTATAATTATGGGGGGTGAAATGTGTGATTCAAGCTCCCAGAGCTCGAAAACTCCATGGACAAAGTCATAGTAACCACCCCGGAGTGCTAGCTTTCTGTTAGAAATCGCCTTTTGAACGTATGGATAACTTTGCAGGTTTACCAGTGATAAATTTACTGATTCCTGCATAAAATCATTGTTCAAGAAGATGCTGAGTGAGATTTATTGCAATCATGGAGAACTGAACCGAGTGTACAATGTATATATGCCTTGTAAATTTACCATTGAGTTAAAGATGGAAAAGTATAAAAGAGTTGGTGCTATATAATTAGCTTACCCTTGCACAAGCTTCACATTGTTCATCAATATCATGCCCACCCAGTCCATTTTCTATAACCTTAGCCTTGGCTGGTAGACCAATTTTAACCCATTCATCTATGAAGTCACTGCAAATACCAATCAAAATGGACGCAACGTTGGGTAATAAAGTTTTTCATTGCTTAGTTGATTGGGTTGGCCTTTGAAATACTTTTCACCACGCTAAAAAAAGGCATTTATAAAGTTTGACTAAAATATACAAGAATAGCACTTTTAGTGCTTTTTGAAGAAGCAATAGAACCTTTCATGTGTATGGAACAAACCACACTACTGAAAATAGGCCGATGGAGTTGTGTCTACAAATAGAGTTTGTATTGACACTCTTCATGGCTAATATTTTAAAGGAGTGTCGTATAGTATATTGTCCACGAAAGAATGCTAATACAAACTTTATTTGTGGATACAAATGCTCTTTGAATTTGTTTTAGTATTGGCGTTATTAATTATTAAAAAATTGGTAATGAACAAAAGCATTTCATCCTCATAAACGATTATGAATCTTCCACAAGCTAAACTTACAAGGGAACAGAACCATCTTCCGGATGAGTCATAAGCCTCTTGATCCCTCCACAACGACTGTGTCCAATGACCAAAATGTTTTCTACCTGTCAAATTTTCTTCTCTTGTTATCATTCATAAATATTGTAAGAAGTGAAGAGAAAATACCTAGTAATTAATAATTAATTAAATCTAAAGTTTTTGGAATGTTCACCCCAAGTGCTGTTATAGCATATTCAATGGTCGCTCCAACTCCTACGTATTTTAGCTGCAAGCCATATAAACGAACTTATTTTAGCTGTCTAATACATGATTAGTGTGAGATAAATTGCTAAAAATTTGATTAGAATAACTAATCACTTGAGGTGGAGAGAGAGAGAGAGAGAGAGAGAGAGTATTGAACCTGGTTAAAAGCAGGAACCATGTTAGCAATGTTGCGAACCATGAAGGCCTCCCCAGGTTGGAAATTAAGGATATGTGAGGGGCTTACTCGGGAGTCCGAGCATGCAAATACCAGAAACTGCATTGAAACAAAACATAAAATTTTATTAATATGTTAAGCCATATAATAATTCATTTTAAGATGCTAGGCCTAATCTAGTGAAGCCCAAATTGTACCTTGGGGCTCTGTCCTTCAGCAAGCTCATTGAAACAGTCTGGATATTTTCTGCAAGATCAGCCCAAAAAGATATTTAAGAAACAATGAAAAATATTATTAGATTTTAAAATTTTCAAGAATATCCACCTATTATTTATTTTGTCCTTTGGGTATAAGATGGCTAACTACTACCAACACTAATATTATAAAATTCAATAAGTGTGAGGTTTTATTACAAAAGGTCTCGATATTATTAGTAATGGAACAATTCATTATATGTTGTACTTTATTTGTCAAAATTTCGATGTTAGACTTTATGTTGTTCAACAAAAAGTCCTTCAATGATTATTTTTTGAATTGTGGCATTGGTTGAGATGCTTTTCACGAATTTAATCATTCATATATGATTTAACGTTTGAAAAATATATCCAATCTTTTACTCGAATTTGTTGATCCTGAAGTGGATGAAGCCATCTACAATTCTTTGAACTGGGTTAAAATCACCAGGTTTTTCTAACTCAGCCGTCAACTTCTCAATTTTGGCAGCAGCCACATCGTCCAGCTCTCCCTTCTCACTGCAACCATATATACCAACCAAAATTGTCAAATTTTGCATATATTGTTAAACTATAAATTAAGCACACGGTTTTGGAAAAGATTTTGTAGCCAAATATTATATTTAGCCATGATTTTTTTTTCTTTCTAAAATTTGGTGGCTGAATTATCATATGTAGTCTATGAACACTTGGTTATAATTTATAAATTAAAGATATACAACATGTCACGGAAATGTTGTAGAATTTATGATGCTATTGTTACTCAAAACAAAAAAGAACTTGATCAGCGGAGTATAGCTCAATTGGTTGAGCTCAGTAATATCTTTCAGTGTATTTTTCTTTCTACGCTGTGTGTAAAGGTCAATCATAGGAATCTACATAAATTAAATAAAATAATAATAAAGAGTACCTGAGGAGATTCTTGAGTCGTTGGAGGGCCAATTGGCTAGCCATTGCCTACTTTCTTTTCTGCATATTCAAAGAACTTTAGTTAGAAGAAAATATTCAATATATGTAAGTATATATTTGTGCGTACATATATGTAAGGTGTTCCTCTTACAGTTCGCTAGGTTTTATTTAAAAAAATTTGGGCAAGTAGTTTTTCTCTTAAATTAAATGGGTGTTTTCCATTTCCAGTTAATTAAAACTGGTTTAGGCTTCTAATGAAAGACTAGCAGTACTCTAGCACTACTCATGCATGCACAACGAAAGCTTCATTCACTAGCAGTACTCTAGATCATATAAAATGAAGTTCATAAGTTTTACAAATGTACAGTCGAAAATCCTTTTGGTTTGGAAGAAAGGGGTTTCGATTTCGAATCGTTCCTGAATTTCAAAACGAAAAGTCATTTGAATCAAAACTTGCAAAATCCACTCACAAAAAATGCATACATAACTAGAGAGTAACATTCAGAATAGTTTGTCAAATGCATAAATATATTATATTTATATTTTGCCCTAACCGTGTAAGTTTTCAAGAAACTTGTCTATATAGGTAGGAATTGAAGGATAGATCAAATTTGCAACAAACACAACACAAATGCGTGCACATCTTTGCTGCGAGGAGTGGAGCTACTATTTATACAGACCAAGAGTACTTACTATTTAATCGGCATGTTTTAATTACTACTTTGAATTATTGAAGATTAGACAACGAGAAAGGGACAGGTGGACCACATTGAAGTCGTGATATGGTAAAATACGAAAGGGCTGACAGCTTCTAACAAGCATCCTTCGATGTGAACATTTTTTTTCCTACCAAGTTGTTTAGTAGTGTAAATTGCATATTGCCATGTGAAAAGTGGTGCCCTCGTTTTTAAATATGTATAACCCTAAATTTCCTTTTCAAATGTATATATATTTTTTAAAATAAATTATGTTTAAAGGGGGAGCTTTCGTGGAGGAATCAAGATCGCATTTTTCCTTTTAATTTTTTGTAATTTGTCATTGTCAGTATATACCCGGTGCGTATCCTCTTTCGAAGAATGCACTGCAATTTTGATTTCTGATTTTCATGTATGACTTGAAGATGGACCTCTTTAGCTATCTGATGTACTACATTATGATATTTCTATCTATTGCTTCATATATTATAAAAAAAGGTGTGTTGATTGGATTGGCATAGGTATTTGGTGTGCTCCTAAGTGGTTATGGCTTCAAGCCTTCATGGTACATGTGTGTGTGAGTTCTCTCCTCTTTCTCGTTTCTAACTTTGGTATAAAAAAAAACTAATGGGTCTTTTTGCCTTGGATGAATATTAATTATTACTAGCATTTTTCCGTTTAATTTTATGGTTTTGTTGAAAACTTGGTATTTGTTGACTCAATTGAGGCTAATGATTCTAGATCGTTTGAAATTAACGTTGTGTTTGGATGAAGAAAATAAAATAGTATCATATAGCTCTAGGCGGCTGTCTCACGTCATGCAAATTAACGTCAATTTCAACTGTTTGCATACCTTATTAGAATTGAAATGAACGTTATAGGCCATCTCATGATAAAATCTCAGAACAAGAAAAACGCATTTTCTAAGTGCACATCTCATGATTGCATAATGACAATCAAATACACGTACCCTTACACGTAAGTGCACACGCATAACTTTTTGAATACGAACAATTTAGTGGGTGTACAAGAAAGTGATAGAATTGTAAAACTATAGGCTAGCCACTGAAACACTCATCTTTCGTTGACTAACTTCCATAAGCACATGAAAAATGCATATTGGTCCAATGTAAAATGGACATATGCAATGTACGGTGAATGTATATGAGATGAGATATGATTGAATTAGTCCCCCTCTTGTTTTACTTCTTTAATTTGTGTTTGATGCATTTTGTTCTTTTCCACACGATTCACGATGTTGATGTTGTATTATGTTAAAGGTTCTCGTATCAAATTATTTAGCAACATAAGAAACTTATGTTCCCTCGGCTTTGATTTTAATCAATGATTAATTTGATGCCACCAAATGAACTCTTGCCTAAGTATTGTATAGCCTAAATTAACCTGCCGACCTAAGTAATTTGGAAAAGAACATCTATTACTCAACTTATAGATTTTACTTCTGATTATGGGATCTTAGCATTTAAGCTGCATTGGTGTGCCACAGTAATTACCCTCGCTAGGATTTGTTTTTTTTTTTTTTTTTTTTTTTTTTTTTTTTTTTGGTCGTAATCAATGTTCATTCAAAACTCATAAATGGGAAGGAAACAAACAGAGAATACAAAGGCCAAAAATGCCATTTAAAGGAACAAATTACCACAAACACAAAGAAGATTAAACTAAAACCAGTACAATCTAGTCTAATAGTCTTCCCCACATCACAAAATCAAACCAATTTACAATACAAGGCTACCGTCTTCCGCAAAGGGGATGGAAGTAGCACCATAATTGAAATTGGTACTTAGGTGGTGGTGGTTGGGGGGGAGGGGGGGGGAACTCACTACTACATTTTACAATTTGCACGATGAAGAGAATTTTGTCGCGCAAAGTATATTTTAGTTGCACAAATTTCAGCGCGATAGAAATTTCGTTGCGCAAAGATCGTGAAGAAAAACTTTGCGTGACGAAAAGTATTGGTCTCGCAAAGTTTTGCGCAACGAAAAGTATTGCTTGCGCAAATTTTGCGAGATGAAAAATATTGGTCGCGCAAAGTCTAAAACAATTTTAAAAATAAAAAATAAAAAATTTCCCGCGTCCCATTTTTTGTACCCGCCCAAATTTTTAGAGTTTTGCGTGACAAATACTAACGTCATGCAAATATTTGTGTGACGAAATATTTTTGTGTTTTAAAATTTTTAATTAAAATAAACAAATTTAATAGTTTGCGTGACGAAATATTTTGTCACGCAAGGTTTTTGACTTTTTGTTTTATTATTTATTTAATATTAATTTAATTATATTAATTTATTCAAATTTTTACTTTTAAAATTTAATTTAATTGTATGATTTTTGTTTTAATTACTTTAATTTAAATTGACATATTCAAAATAAAATTACATATGAAAAATAGTGATCAAATTATCCAATAAATATATATAATATTCAAAATGTACACATAAATTAACAAAGTATAATAATAAAATCCTAATACAAGCCTATTGTGGTGGTAGTGGCGGATGATATGTGTTGATAGCGTCCTAATCCTCAACTTTAGTCGTCAAAGTCTTGACGATTCCCTACAAAAAAAAAACAAATATGGTCAAATAACAAAAAAGAAAGAAAAAAAAAGGCATCCTAAGATTGTTATACCACAAATCCAACCCAAACTCCAATCCTCACCCTATACTCAACCCCAAACCCCACACAAACTCAAAACTAACTCCAAAAACACATATTAATGAAAAAAATTTAAAATTAGGAGAGAATATACCTTTTGGCAAGATTGAGAGGGAGAAGTGAGTGTGAGAGAATTAGAGAAGATAGTGAGTGAGTGAGAGTGAGAGATAGTGAAAAGAGAGATGAGAGAGTGAGTGAGAGTGAGAGATAGTGAAGAGAGAGATGAGAGAGTGAGTGAGAGTGAGAGATAGTGAAGAGAGAGATGAGAGATTAAGTAAGAGGAGTGAGTGTGAGAGAAAGGGTGGGATTTTTGGGGAGGGAAAGAGTAGAGAAAGACATTAAGAAAATGGTGGAGTTATTTTGGTTTTAAAAAAGGTATGAAAAAGGTATGACTTTGCGCAACGAAAAATATTGGAATATTGGTCGCGCAAAGTTTTGCGAGACAAAAAATATTGGATTATTGGTCGCGCAAAGTTTTGTGCGATAACAAATATTGGTCGCGCAAAGTCTAAATAAAATAAAATAAAATAAAAAATTCCCGCGTCCCATTTTTGGTACCCGCCCAAATTTTTAAAGTTTTACGCAACGAAAAATATTGGATTATTGGTCGCGCAAAGTCTAAATTTTTAAAAAATAAAAATAAAAATCTAGCGTCCCATTTTTGGTACCCGCCTAAATTTTTAGAGTTTTGCGTGACGAACTGTTGCGCAAACTTTTGGGAGACAAAAAATTGGTTCGTAGCGCAATATTTATAAACATAATTGTTATGAATAAAAAAATAAAATAATTTTATTTTACGATTTAAAATATAAATAAGGTTAAAGCTACTTAATAAATATATATACTATTCAATTTCTTAAGTGTTATATGTACAGAATAAATAAATTTAAAGCTACGTAATAAATAAATAAGTATATATATATACACAAACCATTCAACGATCCAACCATCAAACTTGTTTGTATATACTTCAAGATCGTATAGCCTAAAAATCGGAAAAAATAAACATTCAGAGATCAAGTAACGAGACAAAACTTTTCGATGGTTATAAATGAAAAATCACGAATTAACGGTTATTTTAACTCCGATTTTGATGATTTTTTACAACTACACTCATTGACCCTATATGAATACAATGACAGAATTTTATCTTCAATTTAAAATATTTACACTAGTGGATACCACAAAATCTTATGTTATATTTAACGAAAGTATAAATAAACTCTTAATTGTTAGTGAATATATTGTTTTGATGGCATACGAATTCTACGAAACTAGTTTCAACGATCCAACTGTCAAACTTGTTTGTTTATACTTCGAGATCATATACGCCAAAAATCGAAAAAAATAAACATTCAGAGATCAAGTAATAGGACAAAACTTTTCAACAGTTATAAATGAAAAATCATGATTTAACGGTTATTTTAACTCCAATTTTGATGATATTTTACAGCTACACTCCTTGACCCTATATGAATACAATGACTGAATTTGATCTTCAATTTAAAATATTTACACTAGTGGATACCACAAAATCTTATGTTATATTTAACGAAAGTATAAATAAACTCTGAATTGTTAGTGAATATATTGTTTTGATGGCATATGAATTATACAAAACTAGTTTCAACGATCCAACCGTCAAACTTGTTTGTTTATATTTCGAGATCATATACGCCAAAAATTGGAAAAAATAAACATTCAGAGATCAACTAATGGGAAAAAACTTTTCGACGGTTATAAATGTAAAATCACAATTGAACGGTTATTTTAACTCCGATTTTGATGATTTTTTACAGCTACACTCCTTGACCCTATATGAATATAATGACTGAATTTGATCTTTAATTTAAAATATTTATATTAGTGGATACCGCAAAATCTTATGTTATATTTAATGAAAGTATAAATAAACTCCTAATTGTTAGTGAACATATTGTTTTGATGGCATACGCATTCAACGAAACTAGTTTTAACAATCCAATCCAATCGTCAAACTTGTTTGTTTATACTTCGAGATCATATACGACAAAAATCGGAAAAAATGAACATTCAGAGATCAAGTAATGGGACAAAACTTTTCGACGGTTATAAATGAAAAATCACGATTTAACGGTTATTTTAACTCCAATTTTGTTGATTTTTTACAGTTACACTCCTTGACCCTATATGAATACAATGAACAAATTTGATCGTCAATTTAAAATATATATTTTCTAACAAAAACCCAATCCGAACTACAATAATATATTTTTCTAGCAAAAATCTGATCCGAACTAAAATAATAGATTTAAAGCTACTTAATAAATATATATACCGTTTAATTTCTTAAGTGTTATGCATACAAAATAAAAAACAAAAATAAATTGGTTTAGGCGAGGAAATGTTTGGATTACGTCATGCAAAGATTTAAAAAAATAATATTTTTATTTTTGTAAAGACTTTGCGCGACGAAACACACTTCATCGCTCAAGACTTTGTGCAACGAAGTTTATTGTTTCGTCGCACAAAGTCACTTTGAGCAACGATGTATTGTCGTCGCGCAAAAGTTTATCGCGCAAAGTGACTTTGTGCGACAAATTGTTTTTCGTCGCTCAAAATGGTTGCGCAAGACTTTGAGCGACAAAGTTTTGAGTTTCGTCGTGCAAAGTGACTTTGAGCGACGAATAGTTTTTTGTCACGCAAAATTTGGTCGCGCAAGGGTTTTTTTTTACTAGTAACTAGCAACAAGCACACACACACAAAGAACAACAATCAATACTTGCAAGCCTAGAAGATTATTAGTGACACCTAGGCACTCAAAAGGATCCGTCAATCTAAACATCTACTGTGCTAGCAACAACTAAGGTGGTAAGTGTGTGAATACATCATAACATTACGAACAACAAATATCAAATGATGACTAGTCAATAGTAAGAACACAAACCCAGAAAAACATCAACATCAGAAGATGACTTGTCAACAGCAAGAGCACAATCCCAGAAAATCATGAACAACAAAACCAGAAAATTATTCACCCAGAAACCCACCACTGGGAAATCCACTAAGCAAAGAAGATTCTTCCAGAAAATACACAAGCAAAGAAGATTATTACAGAAAATACAGTAAGCAAAGAAGATTCTTACAGAAAATACACAAGCAAAGAAGATTCTTACAGAAAATACACTAAGCAAAGAAGATTCTTATAGAAAATACACAAGCAAGCTCAAGAAATCCTAGATCTATTTAGGAAACAAGCTATACCTCCTCTGTGCAATCTTCTTCTCCAACTTGGTTGAGCTAGTAGCTAGTTCGTCATGTAAGTGGCAGCTAGTCCATCAGCTCCTTCACTCCATGGCACCGGCGACTCAGCTCTAGATTGAACAAACATAATGAAATATAGATTTTGAGATGAAGGGTTCAATTCCTTCGAGAAACCCTACTCTTGAAAAAATCAATCAAGAATCTGATCTAGACTAAATATGATGACTAGTCATAATGAACCCAGATGCGGACAAAAGAAGATGAATAGTCATAATTGAACCCAGTTGCAGATTATAAAAAGCACAACAGGTTTTAAAAAAGCATTTTCAAAATCTCACAATGAAAAACCTTAGAGAATGCATAGTATAAGTTTTACTCTCAAAATTTCTCAATGGGTGAAGTAGATTTCGAAAAAAGAAGAAGCATATTTTAAAAGCTATTTGAAAACCTCATTTAAAAAGTCAAACCATATCAAGCTGCAAATGCAGAGAATAAGAAGAAGACCACTCTCTCTCTCTCTCTCTCTCTCTCTCTCTCTCTCAAAGATGTAGACCTCATTCTCAGAGAGAAGATGTAGAGTAAAATCAAATTCATATTAATTAATATGAACAAAATTCATGCCAATTTATATAATAATTACCACAATTTATATTAAGTAATAAATTAATCTAATTAAAATGCAAATCAAATTATCAATTAAATAAACAAATCATAATTGATCATACCTCGAGTAGTGTGTTGCGCAATCTCTTCCTCCTCGAGTTTGTTACTGATCATACGAATACAAAAAATTCCCAAAAGTAAAAACAACATACCGAAAAAATTACATTTGAAGTTGAACAGCAGCAGCAAGAGTATCCTCCTTTTCAAGGTCATGCCCACGCCAGGTTTCTTCAAGGCTTCTCTTTTATGGGAAGCCAAGCTTCTTCACGGCTTCTCATTTATGGGAATTAAAATCAAATTAAGTATTCTTCAAGAGTTATAGTTGGAACGTATCACTTAATTTCAAAACAGAATGCCTTTAGCGAGGGCGGTTTGTGGTTGAAAAAGGCGTTCTGCCGTCGGAAATACCCTTTTTCAACTGCAATTTGTCGTCGGCAGTCGTCCGAAAAACGCATGTTGGAAATAGTTTTTTTTCAACCAGTCCGTCAGAAATAATTTATTTCCAACGCCCATGTTCCGTCTATATTGCTTATATTTATGTCGAAAATGGATTTTCAAAACAATTATACAAATTCATTTCCAACCATAAATATGGTCGCAAGTACTTATGTGCTATATTTTCAACCAATGACTATTGGTCGAAAATAGTATTTCCGCAGCATCACAGCAAAGAACAGAAAGAATGGTCGCTCGCTCAGTCATTTGTTCAAATAGTCGGTGGGCAACAACAAGGCATAGCAAAGGGGCAATATCCGGCGACTCTAAAGCTTTTTCCCACAAAGTGCATCTCTGTGGGTCTGCTAGTGCCTGCAAAGTGGTCTTGTCTCTCTATTTTGGTTTGTAACAGTGTTGTTAAGGGGTGTTAAGTTGGAGAAATTTTTGTAGGTACCTGGTGTACCCACCAATGGGAATGAGACACGTGTAATAATTTATTTTTATCCTTAAGGTTGCAGTCACTTTTAATTCCGTTAGCCTTTTGTTGCAATCGAGAATATTTCAATTTTTTATTTATCAATTTTTAGTTTTTCAAACAAAACCCTAAAGATACAAATTTTCTTTGACAACAACCCTTTTGCCGTCAGGGATAGTAGCTACTGTACGTTTTCAGCTACTCTATCCATGGACAAAGAAAAAGATGATGACTTGCACCCTACTTCCACATGTCTTTACTTTTTTAGTTTTCGGGACAGTTTCATGAGTTTTGGTTTCATTGGATTATTATATTGTAGTTTGAGTTACTTTTGAGTCAACATGTATTTTTTTTTATTGGCTTGCTCCATGTTACTTTTGAGTTACTGTTTCATGAGTTTTGGTTCATTGGATTATTGTATTGGCTTTGCTCCAGGTTCTTCGAACATTGGGTTTAATTTCTATATTTTTTTCTTTTTTTATGGTACGAGTATTTCTTTACATTTTAAATTACTATTACAACATATTTGCACAGTAGAATAAAAATATCGTAGATCAGTGGTCTGTGCTGCGCTTTGTTTGAATAAATATTTTCTTTCTTTTTACTGCTTCTTATAGTTATTATCATTGATATGTTATATTACCTTCTAATCTACTCAATTTATTGATTTTTTAAATTTATTTTTGTGTATATGCTACGAAAATGATTTCTTCCTATAGTTATTCATTATCATTTCACAAAAATGATTTCTTTCATTGAATAATGTAGTCATTGATCTCGGAAGTGATGAAGAAAAAACCAAAAGCAACGATCAAGAAAATATCCAACATTTGGGAATCTTGAAGAATCTTCCGATGAAATTTGTATGGGAAGATTGTGTACAACGAGCAAGAAGCTTATGATCTCTATAATGAGTATGGTGCAAGCATTGGCTTTAGCATTCGAAGAAAACAAAAAAATATGACAAATACGGAGTTGTGAGACAACTTAATTTTGTGTGTTCAAAAGAAGGTTTTAGAGAAGATAGTGACCCTTGTAAAGAGAAAGCAATTGATAGACTAGAGACTAAAACAGGATGTAAAGCCAGAATTCGATTTTCATTGGATGATGATGTGTGGAAAGTTTCTACCTTTAATCCTAATCACAATCATAAGCTTGCAAGACCATATGAAAGACAAGTTTTGCGATCAAATCGTAAAATTTCAGAATCTCATAAGGGTGTGATTAAAACCATGGTGAGTGCAGGTATAAGAACTTCAAATACATACTCATATTTAGCAGAAGTATGCGGATCTCAAAATATTGGATTTACGAAGACAGATTGCTACAATTTTGTCAGTAGGGAAAAAATGAATCTACTTGAAGCATGCAATGCTCAGAGCTTGATCAATCTTTTCAAGCACAAGCAAGTTGAAGATCCAATGTTCTTTTACACAGTGCAAGTAGATCAAGAAAACCGAATGACAAACTTTTTTTGAAGGAATGAAAGATCCAGACTTGGTATGAGTGCTTTAGGGATGCGATCGTATTTGATATTACATATCTAACCAACATGTACAACATGATTTGCGCTCCTTTTGTAGGGGTTAACCATCATTGGCATAATGTGCTGTTTTGCTTAGCTTTTTTGTTGGATGAAAAGATTCCTACATTTTGGTGGTTGTTTGAGACATTCTTAGAATCCATGGGAAATCAAAAACCTGTAACCATTTTACTGATCAATGTCAGGCAATGGCAAATGCCATCTCCACAATTTTTCTTGGGACATGCCATTGTTTATGGACATGGCACATATCAAGAAATGAAACACTAAAGTTGGTAAGTTACTATGCCATTCCGGAGTTTAAGAGGTTATTCAACAAGTGTCTTAAAGGAGGTGAGGCAAAGTCTGAATTTGAGTGTACTTGGAATGAAATGATTTCAAAGTTTGACCTTGCAGATAACACATGGCTTAAGACCTTATATCAGTTTTGTGAAAAATGGTGTCCAGTGTTTAGCCTAGATACTTGATGTGTTCATAAATTCACATGATTTTATATCCTTTTTACTTAGTTTTGTGAATTAATTTGGACTAAAGATGCTGAGTTGAGTTATTTCCTGTTTTTCAGCTTATGAGCCACGGAATGAATAAATTCGTCAAATATTCATCGTAATAGAGTTCGACATGATTCGAATTGGAGATGGGAGACAGCATCTTAAAGTTTATCCATGAATATTTTCATAATTTTTGAAGACTGCTAAGGTGCCCATTTTTAATTAGACAATTCAGCATAAATCAATTCCCGGAGAATACTGAGTCAGCAGGGGTATTTTGGCTACAACTCACTCATACAACATCGGATTGAGGCACATGATATATGGCTGAAAAGAAGACATCCAGAGCTTTCCAAAGAGTGGTCATACGTAATTTTTGGAGGTCAGAAACGTGTCCAAATCGCATTCGCAATGAGGATCACGTGCAGTTTCCTGGAGGTTTTAGGAAACTTAGTTTTAATTAGCTTTTCTAGTTAGGAACTGACTTGGAAATCAAGTCTTCGTGTAAGGCCACTTGTTTAGGCCCATTCTAACTAGGTTTTAGGTTCTTTTAAGAGGGGAGGTTGTAGAGGCTCAGGAGACGAGAAATTTCAGACTTCAACCGTGGAGCAAGGAAGAGCCACCGTGCCTCTAAACTCTAAGGGTTTTCCTTATCTCTTTCTCCATGTTTTATTTTTGCTTTGTTACCATGATTATGAGTAACTAATTTTCTTTTACTAAGACACAATGTAACCCTTTTCTAATTATTCAAAGCTTAGTTATGTCATGCTATTAGAATTTCCATGTTGTTGAAATTTAATCACTGTGCTTATTTTCCTAACTAATGATCTTGATGCTTAGCTACCATCTAGGTTTTTGGTTAAGTAATTTGATGCATGTTAGGGTATACGCCATGCCTAATATGAGTTTTGCTTCTTGTGATTAAATTCATGAATGCGCCTAAGGTAAACACTATACTCTTAGGGGTTTGTGTGATTGTGTGAAGTTCTCATTGAACCTAAGGTCTTTTTATATGTTTATATTTATGCCTCACGCCAAGGATAAATTGCATGTAAGAAGAAGTGGTTAATTGCTGTGAAAAGAATTAGTCATAATTTTGGAGAACTAATCATCAACATAACTTGGGAATTTTGATAGTATGCATGCTAAGGTTTGGATAAGAGGAATTGTGGTGAAATTGTTGTCTTGGTAAGCTTCTTTAAAATCTTTCACAAACTTATTTAGTTCACGTTTTTCTTCGTTATCTTGTCTTTTAATTTTCTTGTTTTCAACGTTCTTTCAAAGAAAATCTTTCAAAACCAACTTTCAAAAATCCTCTATTAAGTTTTAGTTGAGTCATTAGTTTTAAGTTTATTAATTAGGGTGTCTAGAGTAATTTAGGATTTAAATTAGTTTATAATTCACAACAACTTGAGAATTTATTCAGTCTCTGTGGGAACGACCTTGTACTTGCCTTGGCTATATTGCATTAACCTTGTGCGCTTGCAAGTTTATTTCTTGAATTTAACTATCTAATTTTCAGGTAGTAAAATTATACATCAATACTTTCACTGTCAGGATCAAAGCTTCTCAAAGAAGTGAGAGTATGAATAATGTTTTTCATCATATGTGTACTAAAACAATGAGGCTTACTAAATTTTTGCATCATTATGATAAACAAACAAATGGTATGAGGTCGCGAGAGTTGAAAGAAACTTTTCGATGCAATCAGGAATTACCTTCTAGAGCTGCCAAAAAAAGTGGACTTCTGCTTCATGCTGTTAATGTCTACACGAAATTTTTTTTAAAATTATTTGAGACTGAGGTTATTGATAGTTTAGCGGTAAGAATGCGTCAAACTGGAAGTGATGGAACACTCCAAACCTTTGAGCTTAATGAGGAGGATCGCAAAAGAGTGCATGTTGTCCAAGAATATATGAGATATCTTTTTATTCTTAAGAATGTGAGCAGTCAGATATATGAGCTAGATTGAAGAAAAATGGACTTTTATTTTCTTGAAGAGATGATGAAGAATAATATGGGTTTTTTTTTTCAAAAAAATTATTATTATTTTCATTAGGACTTAATAGTTTTAAAGCTAGTTTAAGTGTAAGATCATGTGTCAAAATATTACTCATAAAAAACAGGGAGTCTGAACAACCTCCAATGATATCTATAAATCGGCATGTGTTCCATGAAGGGTTTTCTTCCGACTCTCAAATCGCTATTCTCTTTGAAGACCTTCAAAGTGGAACATTTGCATAAACAAGATATGACCCAAGATATGAACATTTGCATAAACAAGATAAACAACATACCTTTTAGGAATCGCTATCCTCTTTGAAGACCTTCAAAGTGCTACATTACCGCCATTTATACAAAAGCCAAGCACTAATTAAAATTGTTTATGAAGAGTTAATAATTGAAGAAAACAACATGAAGTTCTTGTGAAAGTTCTTATGAAAAAACCTAATTATGCCTCCTAATTATGGGCAACTTTTCATTTTGTTATTTGTTTGACAAAAAGGAAGGGGGGGGGTCATGTACGCATGAGCATGAAAGCAGCTTTCGAGTCAAGTCAACGGGTAGATTTTCATCAGCTGAGCTTGTTTACACCATCCATAAGTAGGAAGCAAGTAAACCCTAATTTCAACTTAGAGACACCATCAAAGCAGTGATTTCGTTGATGTCCTCTTGCCAGAGTAGCTCAACAACTCTCTCAATACTTCTGTAAGACACATGGTGTTTGGAAATTTTCTGTACGTTATTTTTCTTCTCGAGGTATATACAAGATTACATTGGGATAGAAGGAAAGTAATTAACGCACTTATCATCTGTTCTTGATATTGAGATGGCTCTTGAGTTCTAGTGCTTTCTCATGAGTCATCCTCCTTTGAGTTCTAGTGTTTTATATTGGTTTTAGTGTCTTAGGTACCAAAACGTTATATTGATGCAAACTGACGGAGTGAAATACATCATCGTCTTTGATAGAGTTAATGAACCCATCTTGACCACAAAAAAAGGAGTTAATGAATCCATAAAAGATCAATACAACCCAAATTTTTTAATGTCGAATGTTAGAGCATCCACAATGATGCTCTCTATTTCTTAGTTAAAATTTAGCTAAAAATATAAGAAAGCTATTTTAGGAGCTCTCTAAAAAATTTCAACTCCAACCATACTCCATAATTTGGAGAGTCATAAATGCTATAACTCTTTTTTTTATTGGTCAATCTCTATTGAAAAATAAAATAAAAAATAGTTAGCATTAAATAAAGGTTTGAAATACTCATTAAATAAAGCAGCATTAAATTATAGGGAGCCACTAGGAGTCCTTTCTCTCTCCTCAGATTTAGGAGCTCCTAGAGGACTCCCTATTTTAGGAGGTAGATAGGGAGGATGGTTGGAGTTGCATTTTTATAATTCCTCCCTAAAATTTGTCTAAGGATGTGGTTTAGGGAGCCCATTGTGGATGCTCTTATGACATTAGCCACCTTTAAAATTATATATATATATATTTTTCTAAGGACACCATTTAAGGTCCTCTGCTAATTTTTTTTCAGAGATCCAAACTATCTATTTTTTAAGTCTATATTTATAGATGACAAATCGGAAACCGTTTCAACCTCTAATTGCCTCCTACAAAATCAATGAACACGGTGCTTTAAGAAAGTACTAAAATTTCAAAATTTCAATTGAGTGGTCAAATGATATCGGATTGAAGTAATTTTTGGTAGAGATGATCTTAAATGAATATCTACAAAATAGATGGTTTGGATTAGTGAAATATAATACAAAGTGGGCCCTACAAGACAAGAGTGTCCCTCAAATAAGCTTATTTGAAGGATCCTTCAACTGAAGCTTTCTGTGTGTATATATATAACCTAGTAGCCATTCACACGAGGTAAGTTTATTCATACACCAAAAACTTGGGAGTAAACTGGTTTTAATCTCAAGTACTCCTAATAACCATTCCAAGTGCCGATGTCATGCATTACTGTATCCCACTTGCATTTTTATGTATATTGAATAAAAATGTTATTAGTTATATCACATTTAGATATCATATTGTGAACCACCTCTCTAATATAAATGTGCTTCATTGTATTGCTGGGCACCACCGCTATTAGAGAGGTGGTATGCCTAGCATTACTCTATGTAAATACACACAAAAATATATGTTAGTATCTTATGATGCTAGATAATCTCTACCTAGTAAAAGAACATTAGTCCGTATGTAAGAATACCAAACTGTTTTGGAGGATATTTCTTATATTGAAAAGGATAATAACATACTAAATTCACACACACTACACATATGCTATATACTTATACAAGAAATACAGTTAAATTGAAACCTAATAAAACGACCTAGGACGTAGCTAAACCTATAACATGACTATAAACAAAGTATATACGAGCTCTTTAAGATTTCCCAGTCACTTATATACATGTCTTTTTCATTAGTTTAGAAGGCTAAAATGACGTAGATATATGGCCATAAACACCATTTGACCAAAGAAGATAAGTAAAGTACTTGGACTCTTTCCCAGAAGATTAATGCGGACATTAAGAAATTGAAACTAGGGATAAGGAAGGTGAGGAAAGTAATATCAAATTTTGGAGTGTAATGCAACTTTGGTCGACACCCACTAAGATCAGCCAATTCTTTACCTGCTTCTAAATACTAGCTAATACCAAGAACATTTCATTCTCTCCAATCTATAAATGGCAAGTTCCCCATAAAGGATTTTCATCTAACCTTCGACACAAAACAACACAACCTAGCACTGCCAAACTGAGATGAAAGGTGTTCATTTCCTCACAAGCACTGTTGCCATATTGGCATTCACAAGCCCTTGTGTCTGCCTATGACCCCAGTCCTCTGCAGGATTTCTGCGTAGCAATTAATAACCCCCCATCTGCTGGTATATACTAGTATATATATATTTCATTTATCTAATATTAGTATTTGCACATTAGATACTCATAATGCCCATGAATATTATGAAAACTATTTTGTTGTTAATCATACGCTTTTGCATGAGTGCATCATCAACTATTTATCCGCATGCTAATTGTACCATATTTCTGATTATCTTATCAATCACTTCTTTAATGGATGTGAATCCACAGTTATATGTGAATTCCGCCTCTATACAATAAATTTTTTTTAATAAAAAAAGTAGTTCAAATAACAAAATTGTTCGTTTTAATGCATGTGACAACTAATACTACAAAGACAATAAGCTTCTTCTTCTTCTTTTTTCTTCTTTTTTCTTTCTGTTTTTACAGTACAAGCAGTGTTTGTGAATGGGAAATTCTGCGAGGATCCAAAGTTCGTTACAGCAAATGATTTCTTCTTTTCTGGGCTCCAAATTGCCAAAAGCACAGCAAATCCAGTTGGTTCAACCGTGACAGCCGTGAATGTAGACCAAATAGCAGGACTGAACACTCTTGGCATTTCCCTAGCTCGCATAGACTTCGCACCAAATGGCCTAAACCCTCTCACACTCACCCTTGTGGCTCAGAAATTCTTGTAGTCTTGGAAGGTACACTCTACGTCGGATTCATCACATCAAATGCTGATAATAATCGGCTAATCAGCAAGTTGTTAAACAAGGGAGATGTATTTGTGTTCCCAATTGGTCTCATTCACTTCCAACTCAACGTGGGATACGGCAACGCTGTAGCCTTTGCTGGCCTTAGCAGCCAGAACCCAGGAGTGATTACCATAGCCAATGCAGTTTTTGGCTCCAAGCCTCCCATCGACCTTGATGTTTTAGCCAAGGCCTTCCAAGTGGACAACAAATTGGTTGATTATCTTCAGAAACAGTTTTGATCTAGAACAATTAATGACACAAACCTATACATGAAAAAGCAGAAAAAGCCAAAGGAATTTAGGAGTGCAAGAACCTCTTTCTTTGGATGTATTAAGTTCGCCAATAGTTATTGAATAAGATGGTTCTCTGTCTTAGTGGTTTTTGATATAGAAATAAAATATTATAGTGGGTTGTGTCTTCCATCTCTTTCATTACTGGAGTATGGAGAGTTGAAAAAATTACATTAAATTTTAGAGAGACAGACAAGTGCTCTAGTGGAATCATTTATTATATATTTTATTTTATTTAATTAAGTTTCCGATGTGAGACTTATATTTTTCAACAAACCCATTGCATACACATATTCAACTAATTATATATCATTTGAGGACTTAGTAATACCAATTAATTGAGGAGCCTTGCTTTTTTAAGATTGGTAAGTTCGGTACGGGCAAATCAGGCAAGGGCAACAAACCCTTTAGTCGAATGTGATAATCCTCTTAAAGTCACTATTTCAATCAAAAGATAAGATAAATGAGGGAACTCAACAGTTCTAGCTAATTATAGCCAACTGGAATTCCTTTCCACCTTGTATAAAAAAACAACAAAACAATTCCCTTCCACCCAATCACGAATTTGGGGCCTCCATAATGAGAAATTATACAATATTACAGTAGTACCAGCTGGCTCTGCTTAGTGGTACTACTGTCCAACCAACATCAGCCATGTATACAACTTATACACATTAGCCGAACCTTGAAATTTTATCCTTAACATCCCTTAACTGAAACTTCATTTAAAGCCAGCAACAGCAACTTAACAAGAAATTTTTGTAGATACCCTGTACACCAGCTGGCTGGTGTACCCACCAATGGGAATGAGACACGTGTAATAATTTATTTTTAGCCTTTTAACTATCTGTTCCGTTAGCATTCTTCCATTAGCCTTTTAACTCTGTCTCTCCATTAGGCTTTTGCTGCATCGGAGTCTTCCCATTTTTTATTTCTCAATTCTCTCTTTTGTTCTCCAAATTTATCGAACTCCCCCTTGTTAAAATTCACAGCACAATCTAAACAAAAGAGAGAATTGAGGAAGATTGGGGTCAAAATGGTGGGTTTTTTTATATGGGTTTTGAGGAAGTTGAGGAGGTGGGTGTGGTTAGAAGTTGGTGAGAGAGTGAGGGTTGGGTGAGAAGTTGATGGGGTTTTGGGTGCACTTGGAAGTGTTGGGTTTGGGATTGGAGAGAGCACTGGTTTTGGGTTCGTAGGGGTTTGCTCCAATAGTGGTATGGTTATTGGTCTTCTCATTTTCTTATGTGTATGTATTTAGCCCAGTTGTGTTTTTGTGTTTTGTTGATTTTTTGTACTTGTTATGTTGATTTGGTTTCAGGGGAAAGTGAAACAAATTGTTGGGTCTACTCTTTCGAATTCAAAGGAGAATGGGTTTGCTCTTGTTACCAATTTTGTGTCAGATAAGTCAGCAAGGGAGTATGCAAAGATGTATAAAGAAGATGGCCTTACAGGTGGTCATGCGATCATGCTTGGAGCTGACCCTTTGAGCAGAGCTGCAACCATTGAAGGTCTGCATGCCTATCCTAGTGGGTCTATGATTGCCTTCTTATTCTTGTAGATTCTATTGTTGTGTTTGAATTTTTCATTCAATTTTTTATTCAAATGATTCGAAGTAGTCTTCTAGTAATTATTCCCTTAATAATTTATGCAAAGTGCTTTTTTGGATTGTTCAAATACATCAGTTTCAATCAAATGAGACTAGCTCTAGTTCAAATACAATTTAAGTTTACTAAGTGGCTGGAAAAGAGTGGATTTTTTTAAAAAAGAAAATGAAACTTAGCATCAGTAGGCTTGGAAGGCTCAAAGACCTTGTTTCTATTGTTGGAAAAAAGAGGCTTGTTTTAGACCTTAGTGCAGAAAGAGGGTAGGGAGCCAGCCAAAAATTAAACCTTTTTTCAAGGGTAAGCAGACTTATTTATTTACTTGATTCTTGACCAATTTTTATATGGCTCCTTTGTGATCTGTGATATGAATAGAGTAACAATTTTCTGAGACAATTGCATATGTTGAGAATCAGAATTATCAATATCTAATCATTATTAAAGTGATTTTGTTGCTCTTAATTTTATCCTTGAGAATTTTCAACTGCCTCACTTCCTGGGCTTTTACGTGTTTGCCTTAATGTGCATTTACTTTAATTTGCAGGAAGGCAAATATGCAATTGTCACAGATAGATGGCAGAAGTTCAGTGATGTGTATCTTGATGAGGAAATATTGGACTTTCTTGCCAACTATGCAGACGAATTTCTAGTTTATGGTGTTGATGTTGAAGAGAAAAAGTACTAGTTTATGGTGTCTGTGTGTACGGATTCATCATATTTGTAATGTAAAGTCTTGTGCATAACACTAATAGAATTTTCATTGAAAACTCTTGTGATTCATACAATTTCAAGTGCCTGGCTTCAAAAGGGAAAGTCTTGTTAGAATTTTCTTGACTTGATTGAAACAGATCTTTCATCTATAAAAAACAAACACACTTGACATATAATAATATCTTGAATCATAATATAATCTTACAAATCTTTCATTGAAAATTTAGTTGAGAAATTTTTGTAGCCTCCAAACAAAATGAAATACAACCATTTTCAACTCTCATCATGAATTTCTAATTTCTAATGACCTAGGAGAACAAGAAAGCCTCTCCCTTGAAGTACCCAACCAACATTCTGTCAACATGCATTATTCCTTTGGATCCTGATGTTGCTCAAAACCAGTGGAAAAGAAATCTTGATTCAAATGTGCCAAATAATTTTGATCCTAAAGCATATTGGTGAAGGAAACATTTGGTTGACTAAATGACCAACTAAAATTGGAATCCTGAAAGAGAACACTTACGCAATTAAATAAAGAATTGAAATCTCAAAGATAAGTCTTAAAATTACAAATTAGATTACCTGATTAGATGGAGGAAAACAACCATTTGTTGTTGGCAAAGTCATACTTAAATAATTGGGCGCGTGAAGTGAGGTTTGTGAAGAACCTCCTTTTCTTGGTTGTTTGATTTTTTCTACATAAGCAAATAATAAACAATTATTCTTATAGCCCATAAATAATAATAAATTAGAAGAGATTGATGGAATAATAACCAATAAAAAAAATTCTTACTTGAGAGTGATGTCTTCTTCTTTCGTTTCTCAAAAGTAGGCTTTAATCTAGCGTTACTTATCCCTTTTGGCCTCACACATGAGGGATTTAACACTGGTGTCTCATCATACAAACCGATAACTCTATTAGTGTCCACAAGAGTATTATCAATCAAAACTACATTGCTTCCTTCATTAGAAGTTCCAACTGATTTAGACTTCAGCATATAATTTTCAATCAATTCTTCCATTTCTTTCAATTTTTGCATTGCAATTCTATGAGTGTTATCTGTCTCCGCTCCCTTACTCAATGTTCGCACTAAATCTAAACAGATAGAAATAAGGCTAACTTACAGGTGACGTGGAAGGTTTGGACCCGAGAAGCCTTCGGTCCGTGGTGGCTTCCCTCAAGGTGCAATACTGGATTCTTCCTGGAGAAAGAAACAGCATGTGAAGCCTAAGACACCGGTGTGGTGCTGGCTGAAGATCCTCCGATACCAAAGTTAATGACTAAGAGCAATTCTATTGACAGTGTGAAAGCACAAGTCAAGTAAATAGTCTTACCTTTTGGCTGTGCCAAAGGGCTCTATTTATAGATAGCATTTGTGATGCTCTTAGTACTTAGTTTTGATGTAGGACTCGTGGGAGTGTCTTCGGCGGTCGACACATGCTCTGACAAGTTATGGGGGGAGTTCCAAGGTGATATGTCAGAATCTGCCGGATGTGCTGACTAGTCGCTCGGCATTGTGTACCGAAGGTTGGTGTGGGTGCCAGTTGTAGGTGCTTTGCCGTCTTAACCGTATGCGAATCGGTGGAGTATGCCGATTGAAATTTCGACATGACTCCTTGAGCTGGTATGGGCCTTTGTTTATATTCCACGTGTCAAGACATGAGTGAGGGGGGTCAGATATGGTACAAACAGGAGTCCCCTAAGTTTCCGATCGATGAGAGACTTCTTGGTTAGGGACTTGCTTGTGTCCTTGAGCTCCGGAATTCTGACCTGGGTACGAGCGTCTTTCATCGTATGCCGATCGTAAGCATGTAGTCCCCCAAGTCCTCGAGCCAAGAGGTGTGTTGAAGATTGGAAGGAATTGCGACAAAAGCCGAAGGCGCCTGAAGGTGGGGTAAAACGCGACCATCATGCATCTGCTATTTGGCACGAGGGGTGAGTGAGAACTCAACCAGTGCCTGCCTGCCTTTCGGCACAGGGGGGGAGTGAGAACTCAACCACTGTGCGCCCACCGTTCGACACGAGGGGTGAGTGAGAACTCAACCAATGCGCACCTACCGTTCGACATGAGGGGTGAGGGAGAACTCAGTCAATGCGCGCCTGCCGTTCAGCACGAGGGGTGAGGGAGAATTTAGCCAATATGTGCCTGCCATTCGGAAAGAGGTGTGAGTGAGAACTCAGCTAATGTGCGCCTGCCGTTCGGCACAAGGGATGTGCCAGGCAGTGCAGCGGGGTTTGCTCTGCTGGCGAGGCCGAGGATAGGACCATCTGTAGTAACAGGCGAAGGTGGGTCCATAGTGAGGTGGAAAAGGAGATATGGGCTGATTGTCAGTCGAACTTCCCACGGACGGCTCCAATCTGTTCTCACTTAAATCTAGACAAATAGAAATAAGGCTAACTTACAGGTGACGTGGAAGGTTTGGACCAAAGAAGCCTTCGGTCCGTGGTGTCTTCCCTTAAGGTGCAATACTGGATTCTGCCTGGAGAAAGAAACAATATATGAAGCCTAAGACACCGGTGTGGTGCTGGCCGAAGATCCTCCAATGCCAAAGTTAGTGACTAAGAGCAATTCTATTGACAGTGTGAAAGCACAAGTCAAGTAAATATTCTTACCTTTTGGCTATGCCAAAGGGCTCTATTTATAGAGAGCATTTGTGATGCTCTTAGTACTTAGTTTCGATGTGGGACTTGTGGCAGTGTCTTCGGCGGTCGACACATGCTCTGACAAGTTCTGGAGGGAGTTCCAAGGTGATCTGTCAGAATCTACTGGATGTGCTGACTAGTCGCTCGGCATTGTGTACCGAAGGTTGGTGTGGGTGCCAGTTTTAGGTGCTTTGCCGTCTTAACCGTATGCGAATTAGTGGAGTATGTCGATCGACCTTTCGGCATGACTCATTGAGCTGGTTTGGCCCTTTGTTTACATTCCACGTGTCAAGACGTGAGTGGGAGGTTAGATATGGTACAAACACTCAATATATCATAAGTCATTCGCATCAAACTATTCTGACGCAAAGTCATTGATGATTTATCACTTAATTGTAAAGATTCTTCATGCTCATTTGCATCCCATCCTTTCTTTCCTTCTTTTGTCGACCGCTTCAATATTTACTTAGATGGTATCTCAGTAACCTCTTTTACATTCAACACCGTTAGAGCATGATGACATAATAAACCATTCAAACATCTTGCAACTATATAAGACATTGACATAATAATATCTCATATATTATATGAAGAAGCAAAAAAATCTTGCAAAAAAGAATGAGTGGGCTGGGATAGAAAACAAGTTGTTTGACAAGTTTGGGAAGAGATACAATCATGACAAATTGAAGTAGAAATATAACCGTGTGCGCGCAAGATTCACTGTGAGTTCAGAATGCTCATTTCTCATACCAGGATGGGTTGGGACCCAAACACTGTTCAAGCATCTGAAGAAGTTTGGGCATTATATCTCAAGGTATGCATCTTGTTGTATAACTTGAATTGTTTTGGTATCCTTCAATGTATGTGCATTTTATAATCTATTTTGTTTTAATTTTATAGAAAAACAAGTTTGCAAGCCGTTTTCGTAGCAAGGGATGTCCTCATTATGATTTGCTTGGTGTGATCTTCAACAACACCACTGCTACTGGACAAATGCAATATGTATCTACTCATTCTCCTCCAAATTTTGATGTTGAAAGAGAGCTAGAAAATGACTTTCTTACCACTGGTGCACACATAGGTCTTAATACTGAAAGTGGTTCAAGAGGCTTTAGTGAAGTAGATCAAGGAACTAGCAACAAGAACAAGCGTGGTGCTTTATTCCCCCCAAAGTGATCTTCCCTCAAGGTCAAAGTCATCTAAATCCACCAAAATGGATGAAGCCATTGAAGCTTGGGCAAAGTCTCTTAATGCCAAGACTGAAGTTTCATTGGCAAGGCTTAAGTGTAAGAGTGAGAAGGAAGTATCTTCTCCATAGAGAGAGAACTGAGCACCATTGAGGATTGTATGGAAATATTGGAGGCCATGGAGGGAGTGAATGATGATGCTTATGTGAAAGCTTTGGATAAGTTTACTAATTTGGATTGGAGGAAGATGTTCTTGAAGATGTCGGATCCATGGAGAAGAGTGTGGCTCAATAGCCTACTAAAGTGAACGAGAGTGAATTATTAGTCTTAATTTATTTTAATTAAATGATTAATTGAGCTTGACACTTATATATGATTAAATGTCTTGGTTTTCTGCTTGTGGTTTGTAGTTAATGGGATATTGGATTGGAGTTGTGAAAACTTGTAAATAGATTCAATGGTTATGTATGAAAACCTTGTGGATATGCTCTCTTTCTTTTGCTTACTAGTAAATATTTGGAAGCACATAGTACCTTCCGATTTCTTGCTCATTTTTAGGTGCTTTCTCCTATGTGCCTTCTTCATCTATTGTTGTTTATTCTTCAATAAGTACGCTAATTGAGCTTGTTGATCATATATGTATGATATTAAAATATGAATGTTTAAATAGTATGTTTAAAATAATTTTAATAATTTTAATCAAAATATCTTAATTATAAAAAATGAAAAAAAAATTGTTTTCAAGAATTCAACGAAACATGTTTTCAAATTTTAAAGATTCAAAACAGTTTTCAAGTTGCATACCAAACAACTTTTTGAATCTTAAAAAATGGATTAGAGAACTCCTTGTTTTTAAGACAAATCACATTTTTTGACTTCCCTACTTGGATAGATACCAAACGTGCCCTAACTGACTACAGGATGTTGCGTTCAAATATTTGTATCTATTGATTGATTCAAGTAAAGTTCAAGAGGACTCATGATATTTGACTAAAGAGTTGTTGAAAATTCAGCCTCCACCTGATTCTCTATAGCCTAGGCCAACATACCAATGTTGAAAAGGCAAGGGTCCTCAATTTAAGCATTGCTAAGTTGTAATGATATCTTTGTGGAATGCATATGTTACCGATTTGTCATTTTTCAAGTCAATTGTCAGCACACAGTACTACACACTATATATAATATTGCATTTATATCAAAATTCACAGGATAAGGCATCCATAAACAACCATTTTTATTCAATTAATATTATATCATAATATTTTTTGTAAGTAGTGAAAAACAAATTTTGTAAGGCCTTTTCTGCTTTCCACGTATAATTATCTTCTTCTTTTTTTTCTTCTAATTGTTGTCGTACCAGAACTGTTTCTGGAGATAGTCAACCACCTTATTATCGACTTGGAAGGCCTTGGTTAGAACATCAGGATTGATGGGAGGCTTGGAGCCGAACACTGCATTGGCTATGGTGATCACTCCTGGGTTCTGGCTGCTAAGCCCAGCAAAGGCTACAGCGTTGACATGTCCCACATTGAGTTGAAAGTGAATGAGGCCAATTGGGAACACAAACACATCTCCCTTGTTCAACACTTTGGTGAATAGGCGATTGCCATCACCGTTGGATGTGACGAAACCAACATAGAGTGTTCCTTCCAAGACCGCTAGGATTTCGGAGGCACGAGGGTGAGTGTGAGGAGGGTTTAGGCCATTTGGTGCAAAGTCTAGGCGGGCCAAGGATATGCCGAGAGTGTTCAATCCTGCTAGGTTGTCCACATTCACAGCTGTCACATTTGAACCAACCGGATTTTGTGTGTTTCTTGGATTTTGAAGCCCAGAAAAGAAGAAATCATTTGCATTGGCAAGCTTTGGGTCCTTGCAGAATTTCCCATTCACAAACACTGTTTGCACCAAAAAGAAAAAAAGCAATAAAGTTTTAGTATTAGTAAGTTGACAGCAAGTGCATTGACGTACAATATATGTATTTGGAACATATATAATTACTTCCACTCTAACAGAGGTAAAATCTCCATAAGTGGAACCAATAATAGTAGGGAAAAATATAATATAGCAGGATATAAATGTATACCACCATCTTTGATGTCCTTAAGTGCTACACAGAAGTCCTGCAGAGGACTGGGGTCAGAGGCAGAGGCAAGGAACGTTGCAAATGCCAGTATGGCAAGAGTGCTTATGAGAAAATGAACACTTTTCATCGCAGTACTCTTAAAGCAAGGTTGCCTTTAAACTTTGTGTAGAGAGGTTGTCTGAGGGTGGGATGAAAATCCTTCATGGCATATAAGTCTATTTATAGATTAAAGAGAATGAACTGGTCTTCTACTCTTGGATATAATTTTCCATGTCGAAGCAGGTAAAAACTTAAATATCATATTTAGAAGCAAGTCAAGACTAGTGGGTAAATATAATATATTGACCAAAATTTGATATTAAATTCTTCCGTCCTGATGCATATAACTTGAATTTTTTACTTCACATTGATTGCATCTTTTTTTGCTTTTTTTTCTTTTCTACTCGTAAGGAATCAAATGCATGCATAGGCTTATTGTCTTTCGTCGACACAAGGGCTATTAGGGTTGTAAAATACAAGGTGAGGTGAGGAAGAATATGTTTATATAATCATGATGAGAAAGACCAGGTATTAGGAGTTTACCAGAAAGAGAGTAGTTATAGAAGAAAATTATATTTAATAAAATTTAGTTGGTATTTAACCAATGGAAACGTTCAATATTTAAGTTATATAGATTTATTATACCAAAGAAAATGATGGTGACAATACCTCAACATAAAATATAACAGTCCCCCAATTGCTCCTGTCATTTCCACCTGCTTGCACCTAGAAAGTTTAGCGCATGACTTTTTCTTCCTTTTCATTTTTCACCTTCTAGAGCTAGTTTGAAACAGGTCTTGCTCGGCTTGCTCATGGTGGATTTTCTGTGAGCTAGTTTTGGGCCTTGTTTGTGACTTTAGCCTAGCTATGGGGTTTTTTGTTTGAAACGTTTTTTTCTTTTTAGGCCTTAAAAACAGGTTAGGCCTTCAAAATCAAACCCATAAATTTATTTAAGTAGCTCTTCCCTCTAAATCTTGTCTAACACCCCATCATGCACCAAATCAACCAACGATACAAGGTTTTACCGTATTGCTGACGTCTATTGTTCCAAAAAGGAAAGACACGCGTCAATCTGTCACCGATCACCCAATAGAATGATTCCACGTCGTCATCAGCCTTTTGAGTCCCACATCGGAAAAAGACAATTGAGAGGTCTCATCTCCCCTATATAAAAAGGAGTACTTTCCACCTAAAAAAGGTAATTTGAACTTTATCCCTCCTTAAGTACAATACTTTTAGCCTTCCTTGAGAAAGACTGACTGACTTAGGCATCGGAGGGTAGTCGGTGAACCCACCACCACCTCTTTAGTGACACATTCTTGTTTCCATTTTAAGGAGATTGAAACTACTCACACCGTACTTGGTGTAATAGGAGTGAAAAACACCTTTAATTTTTCGACCCTTGCTCAACACTTAGACTCCTTCTAGGTCAGTTTTCTCGCACCTCCAACTCATGAGGCTTCATATTTCACGCAACGACACAAATGAATGCCAATACATCCAAGCAAGACTTGCCTACATCGGAAAACTCACACACACAATACACGGTCAAAGTTTCCAACCTTTTATTTCTCTCAAATAGCAAAGGATTACAAGCTCTTACTTTTTGTTGGACTACCACATCACTTGGTATATCAACTCAACCTTCACATGGTATTTATAAGCATAAAACATGTAGATGACGCCCCCATCTACTAAGGAAAAGTTGGCAGCCTCTAGATCTGCCACCTAGACATTCGTTTCTATCACAAAACCTGTCCAGCCCACTCTTGACGCCACCTTTCAGCCCATTATGCCTTGAGGGCGATTTTTACTTCTTAAAAATCTCCCCCACAACTTGGGACATGCAACCACTATCATGTAACCGCCCCCACTTCCTCCAACACTTATCCGCATCCTGAATTTTAAGCTATAAGCCACGTTCAAACTCCTTTCAAACTGCTCAAAACTGTTCAGCCACGTCAGAATCCCTTTACAGCACGTCTGCCAGCATCCTGCTATGTCCTGTAGACATGCTGTGCGCTAGTCTGTGATGCGCCTTGCATGTGCTCCGCGCTGCACTCCCCTGCACTGTACACCTACCTGCGTTGCACTTCTGCCAAATCTTGATGCCTACTCTCAGCCCAAAACTCACTTCTTCTAACATTGTCTTGCTTTTAGTGTGCATCTCTGTTGCACCTTTGGCTTGCCTTGGTGTTTCTCTCTTTTCAGCCAAGGCAGCTGACGGAATGAACTTTTGGTCCTTCTTTTGAGTGTGGGGTGTGCCACCACCAAGCCCCAAATTTGGGCTTGAATGGAATGTGAATAAATGGATGTGTTGCGCTTCTAACTTCTGACCAAACGATTGATCGGCCAAGCAAGGAACCTCCTTTTGGCCTAGATTCTTTCACTTCCTCAGGCTCGAGGATGGTTAGGTTTCGTACGGACGTTTTTGTGATTTTTAGGGTTTTATGTAAAAATAATGCAATTAAACTAAATATGCGTATAAATGTAAAGACAAGAATTGAAGTGCGATAAAATAAATCAAAGCGATAAATAAAGCAAGAACGAAATAAAAGCGATAAGAACGAAAACGTTTATATAAGGCATTCATCAGCCCAATGACTGGCCATTGAATGGCCAAAGGTCAACTCTTTTAAAATTTCCTTCCTTCCGAGGCCCTCTAAATCCGTGGGATTGTATTGAAGGAGATATTCTAACATGCTTGATTATTTCTTGCTTTGGAACATTTGGAATTATTATCAACCTCCTTGATTTCTTTCCTTGCAAAGCCTCCGTCATGTGCATGTAATCCTCCGCAAATCCTGGGTTCGGATCGGTGTCTTGAATTTGGGCCTCCAATTTCTCTTATATTGTCACCCACATAATATATATTAAATTTCAAATATATATATATATATATATATATATATATATAATAGGATGAGGAAGGCTTCAGCTTGAGAACCTGGCCACACATGCTGGTTCATTTGTTTATATATACTTATACATATATATATTATATTATATTATCATAAAACAGGATATGATATATATATATATATATAATCAATTGTTTTGTCTTGCAAACCCTTCAGCCCCAATTTTGGAGACCAACAAAGGCCCCAGCCGCAAAGAAATTTAAATATTGACTGCCAAGTTTCACTAACTCATCCACTTTCAAGCCTCCAGCCACATTCGAGCATGGCCCAGCAAATCTGACCGCAACATTCCAGTCTTAAACAAAAACCTCATTTGCTCCATCTTGTAGCTCCCAATCACAACACTCAGCTATGACTTCTGCCCCATTCGAACAAAAACCCAGCCGCAACTTCCAGCGCAGCCCGGCCATGAAAACTCCAAGATTTCGGCTGCAATTCCCATTCGAAAATGCGGCCGAGATTTTCCAAGATTTCCTCCAGCTTTCCCGGCAGTAACAAACTCCAAGCCCAGCTGTATTTTTCAGTTCCTAGCCCCGTTTGCATTCTAACTATATCCCGGCCGAAATCTCTTCACATAGCCTGGCCGCAATCTCCTCGCAAGCCCAGCTGCAATTTCTTCTCAAGCTTCAAATCCAACCGTGATTTTCAACTACCCCAAACATTGCTCCCCGATTTGTTTAGCTTGAAATTGGTGTAGAGGTAAGCAAATCGAAACCCAAGACCTTCCAATTTCTGAAGTTTGAGATTTTTTTGCTTGCCTTGCGCATTATTAAATTTTGAATTGGGCTGGATGCCTAGGCCATTGCTTGGCCCCATTTTGCAGTGAACTTTGCCTACGTATATATATGATAACTTTTGGAAGAGATCTTTTTATGATGCCCATTCTTCCAATAAAAATGATTATCTAACTACGACGATATTTCCTTACAGTGGGCTATCCCTCCGCAATTTCCCAAACCGTTGGGTAATATTTTTCCAAAAATCGACCATTGATTAGAGATAAATGGACCTAACCATTTTGGTTCAAATCAGTCTTGGCGATTATATGCACCACGGAGAGCAAAATGTAATACCTCAACTGGGTTGCGGTAAAGTACAAGGCTAAGCAAAGTTTCCCAACCGGCGAGTATTTTCTCTCGGAAGCCGTTAGAATTTGGCTGAGGTAATATACCGCTTACTCTTTCTTCTCATCTTTGTCTTGGGCTAACAAACTTCCGATGAAGTTCTCCGAGGCCGAAATATACAATTTCAAGGGTCGGCCCTTTAGAGGAATAAGCACCGAAAGCTTGGCCAAATATTCCTTAATGGCGTCGAATGGTTTTTGGTGTGTTTCCTCCCACCGAAATTCCTATTCATCCTTGAGTTTTAGCAAAGATGAGAATGGCTTAACTTTTCTCTCGGAGTTGGCAATGAACCTTCGGAGAAAGTTAATTTAGCCCAACAAACTTTGCACACCTTGTTTTTCGAATGGGGCGTGTTAATGATAGCCTTAGCCTCATTTTTATCAATTTGAATTCCCCTTTGGTGCACCAAGAATCCTATGAAATTCCCGGCGGAAACCCTGAAATCATGATTTACAAATTTGGCCTAATAAATTTGACTTCCGTCGACATTCGGTGGGGCTGCTGCTTGAAGGGCTTAAAATCTTCCACCATTGGTAAGCGATGCTCGACCAAGTCACGACTCAATCAGGGCATCTCGGTGTATTCCCAAGCGAAGCAATCCTTAAACTCTCTCAAAAGCCTTCCATCTTGGCCCGAAGTTCTGGCTCCATTAGACCTAACGTAGATTGGTCGATGGTTGTCTTCCATCCCTAAGTTGATTTCCACCAAAGGGCCTTGGACTTCTACCTTCGAATCATCCATCTCGCTTGGCGCCAACTCTACTTCCTCGAGCTCGAGTGCATCATCTTTCGGACCTTTATGAAGAAATTTCACTAAGTTGGTGGTGGACCCATGCTCGGCCACTCTTTTGGCCCAAAACTCGTATAGCCGTCTCAAAGGGTCTTCCACCGCGGCCTTATTCTCTTCCTCTATGTTTGTATCACTTATTGAGGGAGAAAAAATAAACTATAGTGGGGCGCTCCCCATCTGCTTAGGTATCATGTGCCCCCAAGTCTATCAACTTTTAGGCCGAGACTCTTGTAGGTCTGCCGTTCCTATTTGACCCCGTAAAATAAATAGGCCCAATGTCATCCTCATAAAACTTTGCCTCTATCGCATTGATAGAGGCTATGAAGGGCCGTGCATCAGCCTCAACAGTCTCTACACTTCCATCCTCGTGCCAAAATTGTAAAAATTGATGAAGTGAAAAGGGCACACACATGCTTCCATGGATCCAATCTCGGCCCGACAAAGCATTGAAATAGGTCATTATCTTAATTACAAAGAAGGCAGTCATTCTAACCTTTTGCCTCACTCTAACTTGAAGTGGGATAATCCTCTTTGAAGTTGTGGTGTCTCCCACGAACTCACTGACCGTTGTCTCTGTTGGAATTAATTCATCTGAGCCTTTCTTTAATTTCCTCATGATTGAGGCTGGTAGGATGTTGACCATAGCCCCCATATCCATGAGGACTTTACTCACCGGAACTCAATCGAAATGAGCTCCCACATACAAGGGCTTAAGGTGGGAGGATATTTTCTTGGTGGGAATCTCATAGCATACCTTCGTAGGCAATTTTTCCTCCGTTTTTGGGCACCATGATGCAAGGTTGGGTATTCCGTTCCTTTGGAATTTCTTGGGCCACCTCAATTTCTTTGACCCCTTCCATTTGGACCATGGACTCAACCTCATCAAACACATCTCCGTCCATATAATTAGGTTGATCAGGCTGAGCTTCAAAAATTATTAGGAGTGTAACAACCATGGCATTTACCTCATCAAAGTCTCTAAACTTCACTTTGACCTTGCCGACTTTTAGTTCATTCTCAAACTTGGCTATCTCTGTTTAAATCATAATTTTTATTAAATAAAAGAAGATGGCTGCACACATGGAAATTCTTGTAAAATAAGATAATACCAATATTCCAGCTAGGGAGCACGTGTTCAAATGGAATTATGATTCTTGGCCTACAGGATATTTCAGTTAAAGTATTTGAGTCAAACACTGAAGCCAACGGATGATTATTGATTTAATCTCAAACTCCTCAAAATTAAGGGCCTATAAAAGAGAGAGGAGAACAGCAACCAAACGGAGAAAAGCATAAAGAAAGGTGGCTGGCTTTGTTCTTGTGTTTTGTTTGTAAAAGAAAAAATTAGGGACACACACAAAAAAAAAAAAAAAAAAAAAAAAAACAGTCAAGTGAAAAAAAAAAAAAAAAAAAAAAAGGGCTGTCGCGCAGCCCCTCCTCCCTCTCTTGAATGGTTCTTTGGTTTTACTCTGACTGGAAATTGAGTAAAAGAAAAGGAAGTGAGCAATGGTAAAAGTACAACAGTAGCAAACAAAAAAAAGGAGTTGGCAAAGCAAGTACCACAAGTTTTCTCTTCGGTTTCTAAAGCAAAAGGACAGATGGTTTTCTCCACCAAACAAAGAAATCTTTGAAGCCTTCAATTTGGCAGCACAGTCTCTACATATAAAAGAGAAGAAGAGGTCAAGTAAAAGAACAAAGGAGAAACAAAAAAAGACACAAAAAAGAAAAAAAAAAAAAAAAAAAAAAAAAAAAAAAAAAAAGCAAAAGAAAAGAATTATGGGGTGGGTTACCACGTGAAAGGCAAGATGATTTCTTTTTCCCTTTGTCTTGGGTTATTGATCTTGGGAAAGTTACAGCACACAAGGGACAATAATAGAATTTATCTCTTTTGGTTCCAAGTCACTTGTGAGACTGAAGCCCAGAAGCATCCAATTGATTGGAGGGTCTTCTATTGCTATTGTTGTTGTTGTTCATGCAAAAATCCTAGTTAGTTCAATCAATAAATATGAAAAACAAAAAAAGAGAACTAAAGAATGGCATGTGGGTTACCACGTGAAATCCCAGAGGAGAGGAAACAATTTGTTTCTTCTTTTTGATGGTACAACAGGTGGCTTTGAGCAAGGCTATGTGCTAGTCTAAAGAAGCAAACAAAGAATGACGCGTTTGGTTGTTGTTTGCTAGTGCAAACGTGTTTTCCTTTTATAGGAAAAACACATATAGCCTAATCCTATGTGGACGAGAAGTTTACTTTACCGGATGAGCCAGCAGTTCCAAATCAACAAGGGGCTTAGTTCAGACTCTACTTGGACAAGGATTCTTATCCTTGGGTGTCTTGATCAAATTAAAAGACACTTGTTAATGGCACCAATCTGTGAGGGGTCCAGCTGGAGCAAAGCAAGGCCTTTGATTTACTATGTTGTGCTGAATGTAAACAAAAATATTAATAAAAGCCTACGAAGGTGAGCCCACCACGTAAAAAAATCAGCCATGCTGAAGAAGCAAAACAAAATGAAGAGTAAGTGTGGTGGTGAACCCACCACTTGCGAATTCAAAAGAAGAGGACTTCTTCCTCTTTGACTTGAAGCAAAATAAGAAAAAAAGAAGTCTTGGACTTCATGGACGTGCATGTCCAAAGTGAATCCAAGATTATGAAAAAGGGAGGCGTTGCAACTCTACATGCAGCAAAACACTAGTTTTGCGTGTGCTAAGGGTTATGACTGCAACGGCCGTCGACGACGGTTGTTGTAATGCCTGAGTTTGTTTTTGCTGCTGGGGTGGGTGGTTCCCTTAAAGATGGCCCTATTGCTGGTGAGAAAAGAGCTCGTACCCAGGAGATGGTGGATGTTGGCGGATTGGAATCGGACGAGCCGTCTCCCCCTCTTCCTCCAATCCCAATGAGTTTTAAGGATAAAGTTTATGGGGATTTTGGTATTGTGGAGGACCAAATGGTGATTAGTGATGATGATGTTGTAATTAAGCAAGGAGCAATTCCTTCAATCCAATTCTCAGGCAAAGTAAAGAGCTCGCTATATCAGCCTTGGCGTTCTGCTATAATTATTAAGCTCATGGGTCGTCCTCTGGCTTACACCTTTCTCAGATCTCGTCTTCTTCACAGATGGGCAATTAAGGGTCCAATGAGCTTAATTGATCTAGAGAATAACTATTTCATTGTGAAGTTCTTGTATGAGGAAGATATGAGATATGTGCTCACTGGCGGTCCCTGGCAAATTGCTGGCCAATACATTATGACATAGAAATGGAAGCCTGGGTTTAATGCGAAGAAGGAGAAGATCACCCATATGACTGCTTGGGTTCAAATTAATGGGCTGAATGTTGAATATTTTCGTGCTGATGTTATGGAAAAAATTGGAAATCTTGTTGGTGCTACGGTCAAGGTGGATGCTCATACTCTTAGTCAAGCCCGTGGTAAGTTTGCTCGAATTTGTGTAGAACTTGATTTGGCTAAGCCTCTTACCCCATTCATTGAGATTGAAGGCCGTACTTATAGGGTTGTGTATGAGGGAATTAATTTGGTTTGCTTTTAATGTGGGTGTTATGGGCATGGTCGAGATACTTGCCCTATTATTTTGCAAGTCAAACAGCAGGTTCCAGAGTCAGATAATGTTGATGGTATGGAGGATATTTCTGATGTCCAGGTCGATGTGAATTCTGATACTGCTGTAAAGGAGGTTGAGGTTCCAGCAAAAATGCACGGGGAATGGATGTTGTTGAAGCCAAGGAATTTTAGGAAGAAGAGCATGAATGATATAGGGAAGGGTTCTGAGCTTAGCAAGAGGAATACAAATGATGCTGGTACTAAAGTTGTTAGTCCTGTCTTTAGCTCTCGTTTTAATGTGTTGACTGAGGAGGTTGGTAGAGAAGAGGATATGGAGGGATCTACTCCTGTTAAGAATAGTGGTTCTACTTCTAAAAGACAGGGTTTTTCTGCTAATACTTATTCTGCTAAGGTAAAAAGTGCTGGGGTGAAATCTTCTTCCTCTCGTGACTCTGGCACATGGGTGTTTAAAAAACCTCTTAAGGACATTACCAATTCCGTGGTAGCTACTTCTGGTGGTGGTGGTGTTAAAAATGATTCTGTTTTAAGAAGGCCTTGGAAGAATAGAGCTGGGGCTAAACCTTTCTCTTGTAATGATATTGAACATGTGGGGCTGCAAGTCAATGGCTCTGATGTTCAAGATGATGTTCGAGATAAGTTTTCTTTTAATTTGGGTGGCTCTCTTTTTCCAAAGTTGCCTTTGGATAAGGGAGGCTTATTTTTTGGTCATGAACCTCCTGATATCAATGAGTTTGAGCCTTCTGATGCGAGTGATATGGATCATCAGGGTAATTTCGCTGAAAATTGTGAGTCTGATACTGGACTGGAAGCTGATAGCTCTTTTGAGCTTGATGGTTTTGAAGCTGTTGAGGTTGAGCATGTGCAGATTTGGGTTTGTGCCTAATATTATCCCTCATTATTATCTTTCTATGATGAATATTATTGCTTGGAATGTTAGAGGTGCTGGTAAAGATAGGTGTGCTAATACTATTAAGGATCTGAAAAAGGCTTATGCCATTGATGTGTTTGCTGTTCTCGAGCCTCAAATAAGTGGCCCTAGGGCTCTCAATGTTGCCCAAAGTTTGGGTTTTTCTCATTACCATATTGTTGATGCTTCTGGTTTTTCTAGGGGTGTTTGGTTGTTGTGGAATGGGAATTCGGTTTCTCTCCAAGTTGTTGCGCACTCTAGCCAATCTATCACTGCGATAATAACATTGAGGAATCATAGGTGGCTCCTTACTGTTGTTTATGCAAACCCTTGCTTTGGGATTCGAGAAGCTTTGTGGAAGTACTTTGATGGTCTTATTGAAGTTTCCAATCTGCCTTGGCTTGTTCTAGGTGATTTTAATGATATTGTGAGTGTGGATGAGAAATGTGGGGGGTAATTTAGATCAAGGTGGTAAAAGGTTTGTTGAGTGGATTGATCGTAACCATTTGGTTGACTTGGGTTTCTCTGGGGCAAAGTTTACTTGGTGTAATAAACGGAATGCTGACGGAATTATTTGGAAGAGGCTTGATAGGGGTCTTTGTAGTATTGATTGGCGTCTATTGTTCCCTGAGGCTCACCTCCTGCATCTTCCTAGGGTGAACTCAGATCACTGTCCTATTTTGGTGTGCCTTGACTCCCAACATTATCCTTATAAAGCAAATGTGCCTTTTTGTTTTCAAGCCATGTGGATGTCTCATCCTGATTTTAAGGAATTTGTTACGAACCTTTGGGGCTCTGGTGATGGTCATGTTGTGCACAGAACAGCTAGTCTTGTGGCTCCACTTGGTATTTGGAATCAACAGGTTTTTGGGTGTTTATTTACAAAGAAAAGGCGACTGTTAGCTAGACTTGCAGGAATTCAAAAAAAACTTTGTCATGAGCATAATCCTTTCCTTAGTGAGTTTGAGGTTGAGCTTACTAAAGATTACAATTTACTGCTGGATTAAGAAGAAACTTTTTGGCTGCAAAAGTCCAAGAATACCTGGCTTTTTGGATCAAGAAGGGGATAGGAATACTCGGTTCTTTCATCTGTCTACAATTGTTAGACGAAGAAGGAATAAGTTGGAAGGGCTACATAATGATTTTGGGGATTAGACTACTGAGAAACAGAGCATGAAACATATTATTGTTAATTATTTTCAAGGGTTATTTTGTGCTTCTGATATGGTTGGTGACTATGCTTTGCTTCCTCAATTGTTTCCTAACCTTGAAGAGGTTGATCTTGAAGGTCTAAGTTGTCCTATTTCTATTGAAGAGATCAAGAATAGTGTGCTTGCTATTGGTAGATTAAAGACCCCAGGACCTGATGGTTTCCCAACTCTATTCTACCAGGATTATTGGGGGGTTTGCTCTGATGATATCATTTCCTTTGTACAGGATTGCTTTAATACTGCCTTTCTTCCTAATCATTTAAATGAGACTCTGATTGCTTTGGTGCCTAAAGTGGAGAGGCCTATGTTTATGAATCAGCTTAGGCCTATTAGTCTTTGCAACACTCTTTATAAAGTGGTCTCTAAAATCCTTGTGGCTAGGCTTAGGCCGTGTATGACTAAGCGTGTTAGCCCTAGTCAAGTTAGTTTTGTCCTAGGGAGACAAATTACTAGATAACATTATTGTTGCTCAAGAAGTGCTCCACAAATTTAAATCTGCCAAAGGGAAGAAGGGTTTTATAGCTTGGAAAATTGATTTATCTAAAGCTTATGATCATATGTAATGGCCTTTTATTAGGGAGGTGCTCTGGGAAGCGGGCATTAAAGGAAGCATTTTGAGTTGCTTATGCAATGTATCACATCTGTGCAGTACAAGGCTATTCTTAATTGGGAGCTAACTAACACGTTCTCTCCTCAGTGTGGTATTCGGCAGGGGGACCCTCTCTCCCCTTATATCTTTCTGTTGTGTAAGGAAAAACTCTCTCATCTTATTCAGCAAAAGATTCAGGATAGAGCTTGGAAATCTGTTCAGATTTGTCAAGGAGGTCCTCACATTTCCCATTTATTCTTTGCTGATGATTTAATTCTTTTTGGGGAAGCTACTACTGATCAAGCTTGGTTGATGAAACAATGTTTGGATGATTTATGTCAGTTGTCTGGTCAGCGAGTTAGCTTTGAAAAGTCTATGATATGTGTCTCCTCAAATACAGGCTTTGAGTTGGCTAATTCAATTGCTGCGATTAGTGGTTCTCCTCTCACTGCTAGCCTTGGTAAGTACCTTGGTGTCCCTCTTATTCATACTAGAGTTACTAAACAAACGTATCAAGAGGTTATTGCTAAAGTTCAGAAGAGGTTAGCTTCTTGGAAGAGCCATACGTTATCTATGGCTGGTAGAATTACTTTGCTTCAATCTGTTACTGCTGCAATTCCTATCTATACTATGCAAACTGCAAAGTTTCCTATGTCTGTCTGTGATAAATTGGATCAGCTCAACAGAAATTTTCTTTTGGGGCATACCAGTAACACATCTAAAATCCATCTTGTCAATTGGGAGCAAGTGTGTAAACCTAAGGTAGCTAGTGGTTTAGGCATTAAAAGGTCTGCTTGGATGAACCAAGCTCTTTTGGCTAAGACTGGATGGAGACTTCTTCAACATGAGCAAGGTTTGTGGTCTCAGGTCTTCTATGCTAAATATTTAAAACATCAGAACATTTTAGCTGTGAAGGACTCTTATTTTCCTTGTAGCTCGAGTGTCTGGAGGGGTGTTTTATATGGTAATTCTGCCCTTTCCAAAGGTGTTAAGTGGAGAGTAGGTTCTGGGGATAATGTTTTATTTTGGACTGATAGGTGATTGAGTTGTGGTCCTTTGTATCAATATGCTCTCATTGATCTCTCTGAGGAAATGCTTCAGTTGAATGTTGGTGATTTTTTGGAGGAGGGGGTCTGGGACTTTAACTGTTTAAGGGAATGTCTTCCTCTTCATATTATTCAGTTAATTTTAAGTGTGCATGCTGGTTTTAATGACAGTGGGGCTGATAGATACATTTGGCAGTTCTTTCTTACCTGCTGAGGCTTCAGTTAAATGGGACTGGCAGTTTCTTTGGAGGTTGCGGCTCCCTCCTAAGGTTAAAACTTTTCTTTGGATTGTTTGTCATCAAAAGTTGCTTACTAATGTGCAAAGGCAAAAGAGAGGCCTCACTCAGGTTCCTATTTGTCCTAGATGTGATTATCCTACGGAAACTATTGCTCACTTGTTTAAGGATTGTCCTTTCTCTTTGGCTATTTGGAATTGTCTTCAAATTGGAGATAATTCTAGCCCTGTTATGATGGATTTTAAAGAGTGGCTGTTAAGGAATCTTCATTCTAAAAGAAAGGTTTATAATGGGTTGCCTTGGCCTTTGGTTTTTGCTCTTTATTTGTGGTTTATCTGGAAATGGAGATGTAAAGGAATTTTTTATTAAAGGTTTGTTATGCCTGGTGAACCACAACAATTAATTCTTCAGTATGCTTTGGAATGGTTTAATGCTACCAAACCTACTTCCCCTTCTTATATGCCATCTGTTGTTCAACTTCATTGGATAGCCCCTACCTATGGAGTTTGTAAGATTAACACAGATGGAAGTCGTAATAGTGATTCTGGGTTTATTGGTGCTGGTAGTCTCTTAAGAGATAATTATGGTGCTTGGATTAAGGGCTTCTCTGTGAACCTGGGTGTTGGTTCTGTTCTGGAAGCTGAGATGTGGGGCATTTTTTGGGGGCTTCATTTGGCTTGGGAGTCTGCTTCGTTTTGTGGAGGTGGAAAGTGACTCAAGTGTGGCTGTGGATCTTCTGTCAAGCTCTACTATTTCCACACACCCCTTGTTTAGCCTTATTAGTTGTTGCAAGTTAAAGGTGCAAGCTGGTCGGAGATGTTCAGTCAAGCATATCTTCAGGGAGCAGAATGTGGCGGCTGATGTCTTGGCTTCTAAGAGTTCTGAGTTTGGCCCTGGGGTGCAGTATTTTACTGAGGTGCCTGCTTTTCTTTTGACTTGTTTGGCTGAGGATGCTATTGGGGTGTCTAGGTCCCGTGTTGTTTGTGCTTAGTCTGTTTGTTCTGGGCTTTTAGCCCTCCTTGTTACCAAAAAAAAAAAAAAACATATTGCCAACTTAACATATCCAAACCAAGCGCATTCACCGTTTCTTCCTGGGCCTTAATTTTTCTGCTTTCCACATACAATTAATTAATTTTTTTTCTTCTAATTATTGTTGTTGTACCAGAATTGTTTCTGGAGATACTCAACCGCCTTGTTGTCCACTTGAAAGGCCTTGGCTAGAACCTCAGGATTGATGGGAGGGTCGGAACCAAAAACTGCATTTGCAATGGTGATCACTCCTGGGTTCTGACTGCTGAGGGCAGCTTGGGCTACAGCATCACCTTCTCCCACATTGAGTTGGAAGTGAATGAGGCCAATTGGGAACACAAACACATCTCCCTTGTTCAACACTTTAGTGAATTGGCGATTATTATCGGCATTCGATGTGACGAAACCAACATAGATTGTTCCTTCCAAGACAAAGGATTTCGGTGGCACAAGGGTGAGTATGAGGAGGGTTTAGGCCATTTCGTGCAAAGTCTATGCGAGCCAGGGATATACCAAGAGTGTTCAGTCCTGCTATTTGGTCCACATTCACGGCTGTCACTGTTGAACCAAGTGGATTTTGTGTGCTTCTTGCAATTTGGAGCCCATAAAAGAAGAAATCATTTGCATTGGCAAGCTTTGGGTCCTTACAGAATTTCCCATTCACAAACACTGGTTGTACAAAACAAACGAAAAAAAGCAATCGAAATTTTACTATTAGTAAGTTGACAGCATACATTAACGTGAACAATATATGTATGATTATATTTGGACCACATTTAGCCAAGCATATATAGTTAACAGAAAACCAATATCTTCATAATATTCTTATAATATTCCTAATTCCTTACAAAAATAATTAATGTGAAAATAAATAGCACGGAAAAATAGAACATAGTACATAATATATTGTATATCAGCAGATTTTTTGTCATTAAGTGCTACACAGAAGTCCTGAAGAGGGCTAGGGTCAGAGGCAAAGACAAGGATGGTTGCAAATGCCAATATGGCAAGAGTGTTTATAAGAAAATGAACACCTTCCATCACAGTTTAGCTTAGCTAGGTTGCCTCAAACTTGTGTAGAGAGTTGGTTTGAGGGTGGAATGAAAATCCTTCATGGGATATGAAGTCTATTTATGGATTGGAGAAAATGAACTGGTGTTGTAGAAAAGTAGGCAAAGACTAAAAAAAAAATTAGAAGCAGGTTGGTAATTGATAAAATCTTCCCTAGTGGGAAAATATATCTTACTAAAATTTGGTATTAGCTTCTTCCTTCCTGATCCATAGTTGTAAAATTTTTAACTTCTAATTTGGTAAGGAATTAAATGCATTATGCATAGCCTTATTTGTCTAGCTTGGAGCTAAGGTGGATGTAAATAACAGGAAGGATATGAGTTGTATTAAAATTTTATTAAAAGCATTTATAATAAGTTCAGTAACTAAATCTCAATTAGGTTAGCAAAAAGAAAAATCTTGATGATAAAGATCAGGTATTAGGACTTCTACAAAGAATGGTTAAAGGAGATAACAATATTAAGAATATTTTCACACGTCTCGTCTGTATTGGATGAACATAAAAAATTACTCCTACTTCATTTACCGATGGAGAATAAAATTCATTTCCAAAGAGAGTAAAATTCATTCTACCAACCAAATTAAGATTAGTTAACGACTAGTTGTTAATCATTCTACCAAAGAGTTCATTCTGTCATTAACATTGACGTAGACTTCCCACCTCCACCTGCACCGTAGAAAGTTGTGTGCATATGATGACTGTCTCTTCTTTTTCATTTTCACCTTCTAGCTATTTTGAAACTGGTGTTGCTCTTCATTTTTAGAAGCAGCGGATGCTCCTCACTATCCTCCCATTTGTGGTTAATTAGCTGGTGGATGTAATTATGGTACTTGCTTTTCCTACTTAATGTCTTCTCTTCGTTACTTTTTTTTTTTTTTTTTTTTTTTTTTTTTTTTTTTTTTAGGTACAACTAGTACATAAATTTTTCACCAAATTTTATTTACCAAATAGTGTGGTAGTGTTGAATTTATTCATATATGACATGTTTGATTTGGTCATTTCCATTCTTAAGCATTTAAGCATAAATTCTTAGGGCAAGCCCAATGATGGCTGTAAATTGGGCTGCACCATGTTGCGAAAAACACATCCAAAAGACACGGAAAAATGAGTCTCCAAAACTTTGTACTCATAACTTCAATAACTCAAAATTTGAAATGGTGCACCACAGTATAACATGAGAATTTGTAATATGACGTGACAGTGTGAAAAAAAAATTCATATTGTAACCACAAAAAGTACTTGATGTACCAAGTGTTAATAAATTAACCAGTGAATCTTTAGTAAAAATTTCATAAAGAGATTCGTTTTGTCGGAATAAAAATTATTAGACTCTTTTGAGTGGTCTTTTGCATGCAAACAAATGATTTCAGTTTCGAATTAGATTTAGATTAAATGGTAATAACTATTATCATTATGAACTTTGTAAAAGGCTACAGATTTTGAAAGTATTAGGTTTTATCTTGTTAAATAAAACTTGTTTCTGAAAGTATTAAGTTTATCTTGTTGAGTCAATTTTGTTTTTTTGTTTTTGGGTTTTGTCGGATGGAATCTTTCCAGTTGATGCAAAGGAGTGAATTTTGCATGCACAATGGATTTTAAGTCGGTTTCAAACTTTTTTATTTTTCATGTCTACTTGCGAACTTAACTTTTGAAACCGACAAATAGACATGTAATTAAAAAAAGTAATTAACCATAACCCACTTATCAAAAAGAAGAAGCAAAGTACCATTATAGATCAACCTGTCATGTCATATTGGTGAAAAATGACCTGCCTTCTCTTTACGGAAAATAAAAAAAGGCCTCCCATCTCTCATAGTCATGATTTGGACCTTAGCTAGAATCTTGGTCTAAAATACGTAACTTTGAAATCCACTAAGAAGATATGAGTAAACTACGAAGTTTATTTGATAAATTGGAATAACAAAATATAACCCTAGCCACGGGTAAAATCTGTCTAACTACTCCTAGAAACCCTAGGAATAAATAAGGAATTAAAATAGGAAAATAACAAGTTTTCAAAAACTGTAAAAACTTTAACACTAGATTTCGAGCTACTTAACGATCTCAGATGCCCAAAAAAGCCCATTAATCATTGTGTATCAATGAATTTTACTCATAATGCCGTTCTCTTCGAATTGAAGGGTTATGGGCCCGATTCTCAACTCGGAGCCCAAATCTGCAGTTTGCTTGATTTACTCTTGCACGCACGTCTCTCTAAGTCATGTTCAATTGCTTCCGCCATCTATTATTCTACATCATATATATCATCTTTGACAATCATATTCAAAATGAATGTTCATAATACAAATTACTTAACACAACGACATGTATTATGATAGTATGATTTTAAGAGAATGATCATATTTAATTCATGAATTCTTTAAACCTCCGATGACCAAACACAAATAAGAAACTAACTAGCAACAAGATGTTGCGTTCAAATATTTGTATGTATCGTTTGATTCAAGTACATTCAATAGTACCCTGATATTTGACTAAAGAGTTGTTGACAATTAATTCAACCTCCACCTGATTCTCTATAGCCTTGGCCAACTCACATCCTTCCAGGTATTCCGAAGAGAGCCATATCGTCATACCGGCTAAATCCAAAACCAACACAACTCGTCATCTTCTCGTTATTGCAACTCCAAACCCATGTTGAAGGTTGGCAATTGGAGCCAAATCCTGGTGTACTTAGGTCAAAAGACGATGACTATCAAGGCAACAACAACGTTTTACCTCGGCTGCTTTCACACCACAAAATACGATAACAAAGTATAATAAAGAGGAAAAGGGAGCAAAAAAGAAGAGAGGATATGAGAGAGGATATGAGGAGAGGAAAAGGGAGGGGGAAGGGAGGAAGATTTCCGACGCCAATGGGGTGGCATTGCCTCAAACTTTAATGTGAGCGATAACATAAAGTCGCATACCTTTAATGTAAGTAACGAACTCGTTTGGTAACATCTTTATTTTTTTCATTTTTTTTGTTTAAATTTTTATTATTGAAAGAAGATAGACCAAGAAAAATAATTGATAGACGTGGGAGAAAGCTGAGATAAAATATGTAGAATGCACATAAAATAAAAATTATAGAGACCCTTTTTTTTTGTGGGGGGGGTGGGGGGTGGGGGGTGGAGGGTGGGTGGGTTAGAATTGGGGCTAGAGCCCAACAACAAAAGAAATACTACATAAACAGTTCCTAGTACTTTTTAACTACTTTTTATTCATATGTTTTCTTTCTCTTACAAAACAAACCCTAATAGGTTAAGCTGGGCCGGTAGGTGAATGGTCGTTGCTAAGTTTTAATTTTTGCTTTAGTTTTCTTTTTTTAATTTATTCAAAGCTAAACGACTTAAGTTGGGGGGTAAGTGTAAACAAATCCGATGCAAACATGCTTTTGGGCGTGATTAAACGGCTTTGGTTAATGTTAAATGTCATAGGATTTTTAGGATGATTAGTTCTGGCCAGCTGATACATAAGACTCATCTGATGATTATGAAGAGCTGCAAGAGAGGATTCTACCAATCAATCAAATGGAAGGCTAGAAAAAGGAAAATTTTGTTAGACATGAATGTATATACGAGTCATGCATCAGAGGAAAGATCTGTGGTTCGACTAGTTTGACTTGTATCAGTACTCTCCTCAAATTCAAGATGTGCTTGAGAAAGCATGATATTAGGAGAACCATCATATTTGATTGATGAATTGAATTGATTGTTGTTTTTTTACATTGATTTAGTACGTAGTAGAGAGATGTCAAACAAAGACCTTCAAAATGAGCTTGATGATAAAGCTAATTGGCCAACGCCTATTAAAGACCATTTTATTTATCTATTATATGAAGAGGCTAAAAAAGGCTTGCAAACTAATACTTTAGGTAAGAATGAGTGGGTTGCGGTAGAAAAGAAGTTGTTTGACAAGTTTGGGAAGAAATACAATCGTGACAAATTGAAATAATTTAAGAAAAATCACAATTTTTGAGTTCCCTACTTGAATAGGATACCAAATAGGCCCTAACTAACTACAAGATGTTGCGTTCAAATATTTGTATCTATCGTTTGATTCAAGTAAAGTTCAAGAGGACCCATGATATTTGACTAGAGAGTTGTTGAAAATTCAGCCTCCACCTGATTCTCTGTAGCCTAGGCCAACTTACCAATGTTGAAAGTGTCCTCAATTTAAGTATTGTTAAGTTGTAATGATATCTTTGTGGAATGCAGATGTCATCGATTTGTTATTTTTCAAGTCAATTGTCAGAACACAGCACTACACACTATATAAAATATCGCATTGATATCAAAATTCACACGATAAGGCATCCATAAACAACCATTTTATTCAATTAATATTAGATCATAATATTTTTTGTATGTAGTGAAAAACAACCATTTGTAAGGCCTTTTCTGCTTTCCACATATAATTATCGTTTTTTTCCTTCTAATTGTTGTCGTACCAGAACTGTTTCTGGAGATAGTCAACCACCTTGTTGTCAACTTGGAAGGCCTTGGTTAGAACATCAGGATTGATGGGAGGCTTGGAGCCAAACACTGCATTGGCTATGGTGATCACTCCTGGATTCTGGCTGCTAAGCCCAGCAAAGGCTACAGCGTTGACATGTCCCACATTGAGTTGAAAATGAATGAGACCAATTGGGAACACAAACACATCTCCCTTGTTCAACTCTTTGGTGAATAGGCGATTGCCATCACCGTTGGATGTGACGAAACCAACATAGAGTGTTCCTTCCAAGACCCACAAGGATTTCGGTGGCACGAGGGTGAGTGTGAGGAGGGTTTAGGCCATTTGGTGCAAAGTCTATGCGGGCCAAGGATATGCCGAGAGTGTTCAGTCCTGCTAGGTTGTCCACATTCACGGCTGTCACATTTGAACCAACCGGATTTTGTGTATTTCTTGGATTTTGAAGCCCAGAAAAGAAGAAATCATTTGCATTGGCAAGCTTTGGGTCCTTGCAGAATTTCCCATTCACAAACACTGTTTGCACCAAATAGAAACAAAGTAAGAAAATTTTAGTATTATTAAGTTGACAGCAAGTGCATTGACATGTACAATATATGTATTTGGACCATATATAATTATTTCCTCTCTAACAGATGTAAAATCCCCGTAAGTGGACCCAATAAATTATTGGTATAAACTAGTATTTCATATATGTATAAGAAACAATGTATATTTGTGTGTGTATGTAAAATTACATACGTGAAAATGCCATGCAAAGGCATATATATTTAACAGAAAAAACAGTCTTTCATATATTCTTAATGCCTTACGAAAATAAATAATGTGGAAATAATAATAGGAAAAAATATAATATAGGAGGATATAAATGTATACCTCCAGATTTGATGTCCTTAACTGCTACACAGAAGTCCTGAAGAGGACTGGGGTCATAGGCAGAGGCAAGGAACGTTGCAAATGCCAAAATGGCAAGAGTGCTTATGAGAAAATGATCACCTTTCATCGCAATTGGCTTAGCTAGGTTGCCTTAAAACTTTGTGTTACTGTTTTTGTATGTAGAGAGTTGGTGTGAGGGTGGGATGAAAATCCTTCATGGCATATAGGTCTATTTATAGGTTGGAGAGAATGAACTAGTCTTCTACAGTACTTTTGGATATAATTTTCTTATCGAAGCAGGTAAAACTTAAATATTATATTTAGAAGCAAGTCAAGACTAGTGGGTATATATTGACCAAAATTTGATATTAGTTTCATTCCTGTTTTCACATTGCATTTTTTTTTTTTTTTTTTTTTTTTTTTTTTTTTTTTTTTTGTGGAAATAACAAGAAGGATATGAATCGTATTAGAATTCTATTAAAAGAATGCATGGTTCAATAACTAAGTCTCAATAAAGTTAGCAAAAAATAAACACTAAGGGTCTGTTTGATAACCATTTCAATTTTAGTGTTTAGTTTTCATTTTTTGTGTTAGAGTATAGAGGAAAATGAAAGTGAGTGTGAGATTGAGAGAGAGGATGAGAGGGGAGGATGAGAGGGGAAGTAACAAGAGTGAAAACAATTTCAAATATAGATTTCAGTTTTTTAATTTTTTTTCCACTTTGTTACTTCTCCCTCCCATCCTCCCCTCTCGTCTTCCCTCTAAATCTCATCTCCACTCTCATTCTCACTTTCATTCTCCCCCTTGTTCCTCTATACTTTAGCACAAAAAATGAAAACTAAAAACTAAAATTGAAATGGTTATCAAACGGGCCCTAAATATATGAACTAAGGCCGATCAACCATTGAACAATGCAAATTTTCTATATATATATATATATATATATGTTATTACTATTAAAATAATCAAATATCAGTTGTGATAGAATTTTCAAGATCTTTGACTCCGCCCATTGTTTGTTGTTTCAATAAAATAAAATGCCTGTTGTAAAGCTCTATTAGGGTTTGTTTAAAACAATGTGAGGTGAGGAAGAATATGTTTATATAATCATGACGACAAAGACCAGGTATTAAGAGTTGTACCAGAAAGAAAGAGTAGTTAAAGGAAATAATTATATTCAAAAAGTTTAGTTGGTATTTCTCGTTCAATATTTATGTTATATGGATTCATTCTACCCTAAATATAAAATATAACAGTCCCCAATGCTCCTGTCATTTCCACCTGCACCGTAGAAAGTTTAGTGCCTGACTTTTCTTCCTCTTCATTTTCACCTTCTAGAGCTAGTTTGAAACTGGTCTTGGTCTGCTGCTCATGGTGGATTTCTGTGAGCTATGGGTGTTTAGGATTTAGCTGGTGGAAAGACGGACTGTAATGTTTTTCCCATCGCACTAACCCAGGCAACTCTCCCCAGAGGCCCGCGCACTCCTACGTCATATCCCACATACATCTGTTGTTCCCTAAAAAAGAAAAGGACACACGTCAATCTGTCACCGATCACCCAATAGAATGGTTCCACATCATCAGCCTCTCTTGAGTCCTACATTGGAAAAAACGACCGTACTTGGCCACCACCGACTTGGCCACTCCAAGTGCGATAGAGACATAAAGAAATACAACTTCAAGACCACGTCCACCCTGAGAAAGGGTTAACTAAGTTTGATGCACTCTGATTGGTGGTGTGAATTCCACGCATATCAACCAATGTAGTAAAAAACTGGGGAAAAAAATTAAGTAAAAAGCAAATATCAAAAAGTACGGTCGATTTGAGCTAAGGAGTTGTCAACTCGAATTGATTGTATTAGCAATCTTGAACATAGTTAGGGTTGCAATATGTATGAAATTGTTTTGGGGATTAATTGTAATAAGTTTGAAATATGTGAGATAAATGTGTGGAAGGGAGCCTCCTCTCTTTTTTTCGTCTTGCTTATATGTTGGAATTTAACCTAGCTTGAATAGGAATCCAACTCCTTGACGCCTAAAATAGATTGGAGCAAAATTCGAGCTACTTTGATAAAATCTTCACTACTGGTAAGGAAGTAAATGCATTATGCATAGCCTTGTTTGTCAGTAACTAAACTCAATTATGCATAGCCTTGTTTGTCAGTAACTAAACTCAATTAGGTTAGCAACTAAATCTCAATTAGGTTAGCAAAAATAGAACCACAATAAACTAAATATCAACTAAAATTCATTCTACCAACTAAATTTAGATTCGTTAACGACTAGTTAATGTCATATGGATTCATACTACCAAAGATTTCAATCTCTCATTAACATTGATGGTGACTTTCCACCTCCACCTCCACCTGCACCCTAGAAAGTTGAATGCATGATGACTTTCTCTCTTCTTTTCCATTTTTCACCTTCTAGTTCTTCGTTTGAAACTGGTCTTGCTCTTCGTTTTTAGAAGCATTGGCTGCTCCTCACTATCCTCCCATTTGTGGTTAATTAGTTGGTGGATGTAATTATGGGACCTGCTTTTCCAAAAAGTCTTCTCTTCGTCCTTACTTTTTTTCTCGAGTACAATTAGGTACATTAAATTTGTTCACCAAATTTTATATACCAAATAGTGTGGTGGTGTTGAATTTCAATTGGAGGAAGATGTTTTTGAAGATGTCGGATCCGTGGAGAAGAGTGTGGCTCAATAGCCTACTAAAGTGAACGAGAGTGAATGATTAGCCTAAATTTATTTTAATTGAATGATTAATTGAGCTTGAAACATATATATGATTAATTGTCCTGGTTTTCTGCTTGTGGTTTGTAATTAATGGGAGATTGGATTGGAGTTGTGAAAACTTTTAAATAGGTTCAATGATTATGTATGAAAGCCTTGTGGATGTGCTCAATTTCTCTTGCTTACTAGTAAATATTTGGAAGCACATAGTGCCTCCAGATTTCTTGCTCATTTTTAGGTGCTTTCTCTTATGCACTTCTTCATTCTTTGTTGTTTATTCTTCAGTAAGTATGCTAATTGAGCCAGTTGATCATATATGTATGGTATTAAAATATGGATGTTAAAATAGTATGTTTAAAATATTTTTAATATGTTTATCTAAATATCTTAATTATAAATAAAATATATATGAAAAAAAATTTATTTTCAAGAATTCAACCAAACAAGTTTTCAAATTTTAAATATTCAAAAACAGTTTTCAAGTTGCATACCAAACTACTTTTTAAATCTTAAAAAATGGATTAGAGAACTCTTTGTTTTTAAGAAAATCACAGTTTTGAGTTTCTTACTTAAATAATATACCAAACATGCCCTAACTAGCTATAGGATGTTTCGTTCAAATATTTGTATCTACGATTGATTCAAGTAAAGTTCAAGAGCACCCATTGATATTTGAATAAAGAGTTGTTGGAAATTCAGCCTCCACCTGATTCTCTATAGCCTAGGCCAACTAACCAATGTTGAAAAGGCAAGGATCCTCAATTTAAGTATTGCTAAGTTGTGGAAGGCAGATGTTATCGATTTGTCATTTTTCAAGTCAATTGTCCCAACTACCAAGTACGAGATTAAAGATAGAGCACACAGCACTACACACTATATATAATATTGCATTTATATCAAAATTCACAGGATAAGGCATCCATGAAAACCATTTTTATTCAATTAATATTAGATCATAATATTTTTGTATGTAGTGAAAAACAACCATTTGTAAGGCCTTTTCTGCTTTCCACATATAATTATCGTTTTTTTTTTCCTTCTAATTGTTGTCGTACCAGAACTGTTTCTGGAGATAGTCAACCACCTTGTTGTCAACTTGGAAGGCCTTGGTTAGAACATCAGGATTGATGGGAGGCTTGGAGCCAAAAACAGCATTGGCTATGGTGATCACTCCTGGATTCTGGCTGCTAAGCCCAGCAAAGGCTACAGCGTTGACATGTCCCACATTGAGTTGAAAATGAATGAGGCCAATTGGGAACACAAACACATCTCCCTTGTTCAACACTTTGGTGAATAGGCGATTGCCATCCCCGTTGGATGTGACGAAACCAACATAGAGTGTTCCTTCCAAGACCACAAGGATTTCGGTGGCGCGAGGGTGAGTGTGAGGAGGGTTTAGACCATTTGGGTGCAAAGTCTATGCGAGCCAAGGATATGCCGAGAGTGTTCAATCCTGCTAGGTTGTCCACGTTCACGGCTGTCACATTTGAACCAACCGGATTTTGTGTGTTTCTTGGATTTTGAAGCCCAGAAAAGAAGAAATCATTTGCATTGGCAAGCTTTGGGTCCTTGCAGAATTTCCCATTCACAAACACTGTTTGCACCAAACAGAAAAAAAGTAATACAATTTTAGTATTAGTAAGTTGACAGCAAGTGCATTGACATGTACAATATATGTATTTGGACCATATAAAATTACTTCCTCTCTTTAACAGAAAAACAGTCTTTCATATATCTTAATGCCCTACGAAAATAATTCATGTGGAAATAATAGTAGGGAAAAATATAATATAGCAGGATATAAATGTATACCACCATCTTTGATGTCCTTAAGTGCCACACAGAAGTCCTGAAGAGGACTGGGGTCATAGGCGAGGCAAGGAACGTTGAAAATGCCAAAATGGCAAGAGTGCTTATGAGAAAATGGTCTCCTTTCATCGCAGTTGGCTTAGCTTGGTTGCCTTAAAACTTTGTGTTACTGTTTTTGTATGTAGAGAGTTGGTGTGAGGGGTGGGATGAAAATCCTTCATGGCATATAGATCTATTTATAGATTGGATAGAATGAACTAGTCTTCTACTTTTGGGATATAAGCAGGTAAAGACTTAAATATTATATTTAGAAGCAAGTCAAGACTAGTGGTATATATAATATATTGACCAAAATTTGATATTAATTTCTGCCGTCCTGATCCATATAGCTTGAATTTTTCACTTCACATTGATTGCATCTCCTTTTTTTTTCTTCCGTATGCATAGGCTTATTGTCTTTCTTCGACACAAGGTGAGAATGTAAATAACGAGAAGGATATGAATCGTATTAGAATTCCATTAAAAGCATGCATAGTTCAATAACTAAATCTCAATAAAGTTAGCAAAAAATAAATGCACTAAGGGTCTGTTTGATAACCATTTCAATTTTAGGGTTTAGTTTTTATTTTTGTGCTAGAGTATAGAGGAAAATGAAAGTAACAATGAGAGTAAGTGTGAGATTGAGAGAGAGGATGAGAGGGAGGATGTGAGGGAGGAGTAACAAAAGTGAAAACAAAAACTTGAAAGTGAACACAATTTCAAATACATTTCAATTTTTAATTTGTTTTTACTTTTATTACTCCTCCCTCCCATCCTCTCCTTTCATATTCCTTCTAAATCCCATCTCTACTCTCATTCTCAATTCCATTCTCCCTCTTGTTCTTATGCTTTAGCATAAAAAATATATATATAAAAAAGCTAAAAACTAAAATTGAAATAGTTATCAAACGGGTCATAAATATATCAACTAAGGGCGATTAACCATTGAACAAGGCAAATTTCTATATATATGTTATTACTATTGAAAATAAACAAATATCAGTTGTGACAGAAGTTTCAAGATCTTTGACTCAGCCCATTATTGGTGTTTCAATAAAATAAAATGCCTTTTGTAAGGTCTATTAGGGTTGTTTAATACAAGGTGAGGTGAGGAAGAATATGTTTATATAATCATGATGACAAAGACCACGTATTAGGAGTTGTACCAGAAAGAAAGAGTAGTTAAAGGAGATAATTATAATTAAAAAAATTAGGTGTATTTAACCAATGGAAACGTTCAATATTATGCTGTATGGATTCATTCTACCAAAGAAAATGATGGTGACAATTGCACCGTCATTTCCACCTGCACCTGGAAAGTTTAGTGCATGACTTTTCTTCCTCTTCTTTTTCACCTTCTAGAGCTAGTTTGAAACTGGTCTTGCTCGGCCGCTCATGGTAGATTTTCTGTGAGCCAAGTGTTTTGGAGTGAGTAGGTGGTAGTTTTGGGCCTTTGTTTGTGATTTGAGCCCAGATCTAAGGCCCTTAGATGAGGCATTATTCCTTAACTATAGAATCAATTATAAGTGTTAGGTTAGCTTTGCTTTTCGGATTTTGGCTTCCTTGGAGAACATTGTCTTGCTACTGTAAATCACCAAGCTCAAGTTTAATTCATCTAAGTTAGACTAGTATGGTGTGAGCTGCTATGGACAAAATGATAATCAAGCCCAAAGATAAAATATGCATTGCATATACATTAGGACATATCGAGTCAACGTGATGATTAGTCATACTGCTAGCTCATTTAATTCTCATGTGAGACTCACGTGTTACCACCCTGTAGATTTTTCTTCATATGAATTTTTGTCTCATTATGAAGCCAATGATGGCTACCAACGGGGGAAATTTAGGGTTGATTATTTTGGGGTAAAAGGAAGTCTTGGCTTGTAGCTGTCAATTTTTACAGAAAGTTTTTTTTCGGAGTCTTGGTTTTGTTCTGCATCTTCTTCTTTGAGGGAAGTCTCCATTTTTCAAAATGAGATTTTCAAAATATATTTGAAATCTGCTTTGAATATTGAAGGGCCTGAGGAGCCGCTACCTTTGCATAGAGAGAAATTGAGAGCTTCATCTTCTTTGCTTTTCTCTCACTGTGCAAGGTCTACAATTTCTCCAAAATGATATTTTCAAAATCTGATTTGGTGGATTGAAATCTGCATCTAGAATCTATAGGTTACATCATATCATTCTAACTAGATCAGATTCTTAGTTGATCTCTTCAAGAGGATGATTTCTTGAAGAAATTGACTATTTCAATTCAGAATCATAGCTCATTCATCGGTTACAATATGGAGCTGAGTTGCAATGCCATGGGGTGAAGAAGCTGATAAAGTACTAGTTGCTATTTCATGAAGGACAGTTACTAGCTCAACTAAGTTTGGAGAAGAAGGTTGCACATGGAGGTAGTGCTTGTTTCCTAAATAGACCTAGGATTGCTTGAGCTTGTGATTACTTTTTCTGTAAGAATCTTCTTCACTTAGTGGATTGTCTAGTCGGAGTGATGACTCCTAGTTTTTCCAAGTGGTGGGTTTCTGGGTGAACATTTCTAGTGTGATGTTCTTGGTTTTATGATTAGTCATAGTATATTTGTTATCTTCGAAATGTTAATGAATGTTCACACATCTATCACTTTAGTTGTTGCTAGGATAGAGGATGACTAATTGACGGGTCTTTCTGAGTTCTTAGATTGTCACTTAGTTATCTTCTAGATTTTGCCAAGGTTTGAGAATTGATTGTTGAATGGGATACGTTTTCTGTTGTGTGTTCTTAGATTTATGACTAGTGTTGACTGACCATATATTTGGTGGGATTACTTTATTGGTCTAAGTTGTGGTATGCTAGATTAGAGTTTATTTTACCCCTTCCACCTAAGTACCAATTTCAATATGGCACTCACTATAGAATTCTACGTTTTTGGGGTTAGCTTGTTGATGTAGTAATTTTGGGCCTATTGTGACTTAGCCTAGGTATGGGTGATTTTTTGTTTGTTTTCTTTTAGGCCTTAAAACAGATTTGGGTATCTTGAAAATGTAAAAGTAAGATGGTTATGAATCAGTTAAATTCATATGGTATAAGATGGTTATGAATCATTTTTATTCAGATGGTGCTAGCTTCACAAGATGTTCACCAAGTTGACTGAGTTCCCATCTAGTTTTTATTTATGAACTCAGTCACTTTTTTTTTCTTCTAATACAAACGATATTGGGAAGGGGAAATTTGATTATGGGATTTCGAGTGCATGTATAACTACTCATATTTGTTCTAGTTGCACTTCTATCTTTCTCTCATTTCCACCTATTTCTTTATATTTCATTTCCTCTTTACTTCTTCTACCTCTTTCTCTCTTTTATTTTATCCTTTATATACATATTTTTCTCTTCTTCCTATTTTTTTCTATAAGTCCTATTTCTTTCTTCTTCACATCATTATATTTTTATCTTTCCAAATCAAAAACCGAGCCAAATCCAAAACGCATAGGTTCGGTTGGCTCGAATATTCTAGACACTTTCTATAAAAACTGAATCAAACCAAACGGTGTGTAAGTTCTAATTTTTGTTCTAATGCAAAAAGGAAACCAGATCGAACCCGACCATGCACACACCTAATGTAAATTAAATATCAACGTAGCATATTAGAGAGTCGTCTATCTTTTGTACCACTTCTTTTTATTTTTGAAAATTTTTGCCTCTTTTATATTCATTAGAATGAGATACGAACTCAACACCACTGCTTTACCAAAGACCTTTTAAGCTTCACAACATGTCACATGATTTTTGTTCAAATAGGTCAAAATTTGGTATTCAAACCATTCAAGATACCTACAAAATTATAATACTCAAACTTGAATTAGAGTACGTACCAAGTCATGATTAATCATTTAGACTTTAAAAGGTTCCTGGACAGCTCAGCTATTCCTCTCTCAAGAGTAGACCTAGAGTACCAAATTTACTTAACGATTCCCATCCCAAGACATGCACACACAAAAAACAAAACAAAAAATTGTAGCCCTCTCTGTTTTTTTTCCCATTATGACGCAACATCACACTAATAAAAACATTGTGCCAAAATCCCAATGTTAGTTATCCAATTGTTCATTGCAAGAAAATATGCAGGAAAACAATAGGTAACAGAGTTTATGGAGACTCAACGGAAGCGAGAAAATGTAAATAAATATTAGTATAGGGAATTACAACAACAATTACTCTCAAGTTTCTGATCACTCAGAGTGTAAGGCTTGACTTATGAATCGTGACTTTTGACTGAAGAGTTGTTGAAAATTCAGCATCTACATAACATCTTTGTTGAATGTGTGTGATCAATTTATCATTCACGTGAAATGTCCAAGCTACGAGTATGAGATTAAGAGAGAGAGCAAATATTACACTATAATAATATGTTGTTGGAGTTTGGAAGCCAAATGAGCAACTTTTATCCGAACCAGAAACTGCATTTGCAATGGTGATCACTCCTGGGTTCTGAGTCATAACCTTTGCCCATTCATTTCGTACCACCTCGATTTGTTCTGGTCGTAATATGTTTTCCTATTTGCTGCACTGACTGCTATTGGGGCTCTGGTTTTGTTTTGGGCCTGTTTTGGACTTCGGCTCTCTTTGGGCTTTGTTTGGTTTCTAATCTTTTTTGTTGAATGGACCAACGCCCAAATGCCCACGTGACCATCACTGATTCGTTTCCGGATTGAATCGACCAAGCCTTAGCAAATCACGTGGGGAGCAAATCTCTTCATATTCTTAAGCATCGCAGGCCACATAACCCAAAAAAATCTCCTCCACTAAACGACGAGAGATAGATTCAAGTCGGTGCCACGCGGTTCTATCTTTGTTGAATATTCATTTTCCAACAATGGGCCCCATCCTATCACTGTCCTAACACGGCGTCGTTTTCCAATCAACTGAGTTGGCACACCTACCCATCAATAATGACAATTTCGTACATAATTGATCTAGCAAAACACAAAAGAAGAAACAAAAAAAACTATTTTTAGAGTTTTTTTTTACAAATTTATAAATAAACCAAATCCTAGACATGTATTTATAAAAAAACCCAAGCACTATTTAAACATAGAAACACACCCAAAATCAACAATTGTATATTTTTTGGGTGTGTTTATAAATGGGTTTTGGGTTTGTTTATAAAGTGTTTTGGGTGTTGGATTTTTTTATAATTTCAACCTCCATTTTTGGTGTTTTAGTAAAACCCCCCCTTTTTTTTTTTCTGCCGTGTTAATAAATCTACTCATATTATACGAATGTATTTAATTTTTGAAATTATATTTTGATCGTAACATATTAATTAGTCGTCCACAATATTATAGCATGAGAATTTGTAATACTACATGATAGTATGAATTATATACAAAAAAAAGTACTTGATGTACCAAGTGTTAAGAAATTTATTTGTCAATCTTTAGTAAAAATTTCATAAAGATTAGTTTTTTCCAATGAAAATTAAGTTTATTTACAATAGTGCATTTTGAATCTATGTCGAATTTCATTTTGGTTATAAGTTAAAGTTGCTCACTTTGACCCTTGATCAAAGTTTGATATTTGATGTTGCCCCTTATTATTAGCTACATCCAAAAGTCTATCAAAGTTGATGACGTGATATGAGTGTTTAAGTAATTTCGTACACATGAGCTATTTACTCACCAATTTTAGTGGATGTTAAAGCAAAGTAGAACCCACCTTTACATAAACTAAAAACATAGTAAAATACTTTTTGAAAAAACATAATAAAATATTCTTAATCTTGTAAAATAATTAAAGGAAAATTAACAATAAAAATAAAATAAAAATTTATAAGAGCCTTAATTAAGGAAAAGTAAATTTCTTTTTTATAAGAATTAAATAAATTTAAAAAAAAAAAAAAAAAAAAAAAAAAACACCACCACCTCTCTCCACAGTACAACCACCATCTGCTCCACATTTTTTGATTCGACAACCATGTAAGTTACACTTTGTTTTTTGCATGTGTGAAGTTTATCTTGTTGAAGCAAACATGTTTTTTGGGTTTTGTCGGATGGAATCTTTCCAATTTATTCGCACGAGGAACTTTTTTGCATGCATGGATGGATCGTAGGAAATTTGCAAGCTTTTTCTTTTTCCTGTGTCTTTGACGCCACCCCTTCTCAACCAGTTTTTAGCCATCGAAAGAAGCCGGCAAAATCTGAACCATTGGTTATCAGGAATGCAAATGGAGACTTTGAATCGGATTCGAGAGTGGTGCAGAGTCTTAACGGCATAGAAGAGTCAGATGGAATTTGTACCCCATTCTCTCAACAATAACAGAAAATGGGATACAAATTCCCCTATGCAAGAGATCTCGTGCTTGCCCCTATGTTAATGAAATTCTACTTGTTCCAAAAACGAAAGTACTATTTGGATAACCTGTCATATTAGTGAAAAATGACCATCCTTTTCTTTCCAAAGAAAAATGGCTTCCGATCTCATAGTCATGATTTTGATGTCTTGCAGTAAGCAGAATGACCAAATATCATCCGCTATCAATTTGTCAAAACGTAATGACTTGTCCATATTCAGCAAAAAGAAAAGGAGCTCTTTGTCCATTGCAAAATGCAAATTTATCAACTATATCCTTATTACATTAGGTAATTACAGTGAGTATCCGAAAAGGATGTGCATGTGCATGTAATAATGGAAGAGATTAATTATTTAATATCAAAGTATACATGTAGGTGTGTGATTCATCCGATTCTAAAATGACAAATTTAATATTACCTAAATTTAATGTAATTAAGTTGGTTTAGGTAAAATTTAAGATAAAATTGAAGTGTTATTATATAGGATAAATATATTTTAAATGAAAAAATCGGGTATTCAAGGACGGGTTTGGGAGGTAGCCCCTCGATGGGAATGGAGACGGGGATTCCTCAAATTTCTTTTTTATCTGAGATAGGGAGCAGGAACGAGAATGTGGATGGTATTGTCATACTAGTTCCAAACCGATCCGTTGCCATCCTTAATTAAGAGCAGTTACTATTCACCCGATATTCTCCTCTACCTACCATTCACGTGATATGCCACGCGCGTCAATATGCCACAGCACATGCATATCGCATGTAACGTCCAACATCTTCTACACGCAAATCAATGTGTGCATTCTAGTTACTACTCAAAATTAATTAAACAAACCAAAAGTGCTTATAGAGTTTTGACTGATTATTACATGCGTCGCCAAATCTGCTGATATCACAAAAAATAAAATTTAATTACCACAAAAAAGAAAAAAAATTAATCGACGATATTAATTTTTCATGACAGATTAGCATTCTCACGGACTCACAGATCCAATTAGAAATGAGAAATGAGATTTATTTTTATTTTTTTGGGTAAAAAGAAATGAGAGTATAAATAGAATCAAGGCTTCACCCCCTTCTTTCTCCTCACCAGACAACTCTCTCTTTTCTTCGTTCTGCAGATTCAACTCTCCCTCCTTTCGATTACATTTTAATTTCTGTGTTTTTTGGGTTTCAACTTTCAACTTTACAAGTTTCATGGATCGCAAGAATGAGGCCGTGGCGATGGACTTGCTATTGGAGGATTTCGATCCGACGGCTGTGGTTGCAGAGCCTCTGCCTACGGTCGTAACCAGCGACGTTAACTGCGATCTTATCGGAAAGTTTGCCGAAGATCTCAAAAGCAGCCTAGAGAAACCGATGGTGCTTGGCAGGAACGTGCATACCACGTGCCTGGCCGTGACGGAACCCGAAGCCAACGACGAGTTCACCGGCGATAAAGACGCCTACATGGCTAGCGTTCTTGCTCGCTACCGCAAGACCCTCGTCGAAAGGACCAAGCACCATTTGGGTACTTTTCATTTCTGTGATTTTTTATTGCAGTGCTTCGAAATCCAAGCAAGAATCTTGAATCTAAATTGTGGGTTTTGCTTGGAAATGCAGGTTATCCTTACAATCTGGACTTCGATTATGGTGCTTTAACGCAGTTGCAGCATTTCTCCATCAACAATTTGGGAGATCCGTTTATCGAAAGCAACTATGGAGTCCATTCGAGACAGTTCGAAGTGGGTGTTCTTGATTGGTTCGCTCGGTTGTGGGAGATTGAGAAGAGTGACTATTGGGGATACATTACCAATTGTGGTACGGAAGGAAATCTTCATGGAGTTTTAGTAGGGTACGTCAAGTGTTTGATTAATTATTCGTGTGAATCTATTCTTGATTCTTTAGCACAGTAAACTAAAACAATTCGATTTGATGTATAATTCATTTGCCTTCTTGCAGGAGAGAAGTATTTCCAGATGGGATTCTGTATGCTTCTCGAGAGTCGCACTATTCGATATTTAAAGCAGCGAGAATGTATAGAATGGAATGTGTAAAGGTTGATTGTCTGATCTCTGGTGAGATTGATTGCAAGGATTTCAGAGCTAAGCTTGTTCTTAACAAAGATAAACCAGCCATCATCAATGTTAATATAGGTATGCGTAAGAATTAAGAGACACATTGATACTGAATTCATCCATATATTATACGCACCTATGTGATTTTGTTTGGTTGGTTGATTTCCTGAATTACTTGAACTGCAGGAACAACTGTCAAGGGAGCTGTTGATGACCTCGATCTTGTCATACAAACCCTTGAAGAATGTGGATTCAAGCAAGACCGGTTCTACATTCACTGTGACGGAGCATTATTTGGACTCATGATGCCTTTTGTCAAACGTGTATGTCATCTCATTTCAACTCTTATAGTTGTTGTTGATAGGAATCTGTCTCTTATACCTTATGCCCATTTAACTCCTTTGGTTCCAAAATTTCGTGTATTTCGTATGAAGAGTTTTCCCACTGCAATTTTGTCGTGGATGTTATTTGTTGCTAATAATTAACCCTATACAAAGCCTGCTCATTGGATTGTTCTGCTTTCAGCCTTTCTGGATGAGAGGATGGATTTGGCACTAATATTTCATCATGACAATAATAGTTTATAATATTTCCCTTCAAAGTTGGGCTAAATGAATGATACTGATATCTGTGATTGTATAGTATAGTAAATGAGCATAAACTACTATATTTGATTGACAATATTAATTTCCTCGAAGATGAATGACCTTGTAGAAGTTTGGTTCCAACTCTGTTGGTATAAGAATGGGATTTATTTATTTATTTTCCCAGGGTATAAGAATGGGATTAGAGTGAGCTTATATTTGAAATAGCTGTCGTAATATTTGGTGTTGCTTCTTCATTTTAATCTGCACATGTGTTTTGTGTGAAGGATATTCTTTTTTTCTTTTTTTTTCCGCTTTTCTGACTATACTTGGTGATAAGCAGGCACCAAAAGTTACTTTCAAGAAGCCCATTGGAAGCGTTAGCGTTTCTGGTCACAAGTTTGTAGGGTGTCCAATGCCTTGTGGTATTCAGATAACAAGGCTGGAGCACATTAATGCCCTTTCAAGGAATGTAGAGTACCTTGCGTCAAGGGATGCCACAATCATGGGAAGCAGGAATGGCCATGCTCCTATCTTCCTATGGTACACCCTCAACAAAAAAGGTTACAAAGGGTTCCAAAAAGAAGTCCAGAAATGTCTTAGAAATGCTCACTACTTGAAGGACCGCCTTCGTGATGCTGGGATCAGTGCCATGCTGAATGAGCTAAGTAGCACGGTTGTGTTTGAGCGGCCTAAGGACGAGGAGTTTGTTCGCAGGTGGCAGTTGGCTTGCCAAGGAAATATTGCCCATGTCGTGGTGATGCCAAGCGTCAACGTCGATAAATTGGATGATTTCTTAAATGAACTAGTTGAAAAACGCTCAACTTGGTACAATGATGAGAAAGTTCAGCCTCCCTGTATTGCAGCTGATGTAGGAACTGAGAATTGTGCTTGTGGGCAGCACCAGTGATTAATTTTTTCGCACTGAGCTTTTTGTGTGGTAGTTGTTTTATCCTGCAGCTTTTTGTAGGTTCTAGTTTTGTTTCAAATGGTTTTCTCCCTTGGTTATTATGAACGCTTGTGAAAATTCCCGTATCAGTGGACTGCTTTTATGGTGGTTCAACTATTACTTGATGCATCAGATGCAAGTTTTTGTTTTGTCATACACACTGCTCTGAAAACAGACCAATAAACTAGAACATAATTTCTAAATACCTTTGCCATATCTCAGATTAATTTTAGCATCCTACTCAACTATAACCTAAATAGCTAATAGCCTTTAAATCTAATATGAGGTTGTATCTCTATTGCTATTTTTCTTTTGTTTTATTTAAAGGTTGTCTGTAACACTGCCGGCAAGAGGGCGCAGTTTATTTTCACTCTAAAATTTTCTTGATGTATACCAATAATGGAATTCTCTCGATGATTCCTAGAGACTCTAAAATTCATCATTCTGCCTGGCTTTGAAAGAGGCTCAACGTTTGAGGAGACATTGCCATATAGCAGAAACTTGATATCATTTGTGACAAAAAGGGTGATCCCATTGGAAGTTGATAATAATATCATGTAATGGGACCCATGAATTAATGTTGATGCAACAAAATGAAGACTTTGTATGTATGGTATAGACTTAGCTACAACAAAATATGCATGCATGTTAGATCAGTTGGTTAGGATAGTGAGGCCATTCTCTTTACACGTAAGTCGAATTTTCCTCCTCGTATATTTGATTAATTTAGTGTAATTTAAAATTAAAATAAAAACAAAAAAGGTGATGTCTTAATTGAAGACCATTCGGTCTTTATTTGTTGACAACTAGGACGAAAATGGTTTCTTTTACGGTTATAAATAGATGCAAAATGTGAGTAGAATCTAGATTCTTCTCTCATTTTTATGTAGTATTCTTGTACACTACTTGGGTAAGTTGAAACAGATCGATCTTATGCATCCATGATAGAAGTAGACAACTTGTAGCATTTGAGCAAGACATGCCCAATACCAATAAGCAGCAAAATTACACAAAGACAAGCTAGGATTAATCTAGTAACTTTTATTCTTATCAGTGCCTTGGGATTTTCTTTAACGTAAATGTCTCAAAGTGACTCAACTACAATCGGATACTTGTTTTTCGGCATCCTTACAAGAGTTGGCTGGACCGAGTCGTCTTTCTCCAGAGGAATCCACCTGTAATAGTGATTAAATCCAGAATCAGAATCAAAAGTTCCCTGAAAATTCAGCTCAGATGGTTATAGTTATCCTATCCATCTCAACCATTTCCAACTGCATGAAAAATTGGACAAATCATATGTTTGTTCTATACGTTCGATTGCGCTGCATAGTTTCTATTTGACTTATGCTTATAGCTGTTAATTTTTTATATATAATTTTAATATTTTAAACTGAAAGATGTCATTCTTCATCTTACTTGTATCTGCAGACCAGGTGATGAATGAACACTGAGATTTCGAGCTTGGCCAGGTTGATTCCGGGGCACATTCGCTGTCCGCTACCAAATCCAAGGAAGCTAAAAGGCTTTAGGGGTGCCTGCATTTTTTTTAACAATTATTTAACAATACAATGGTTTCAGGAAGCAACATATATCAACTGCAAATTGCTGATATGATAAGAGCTTACATCAAACCTAGAGGGATCAAACTTTTGAGGATTGGGAAAGACTTCTGGGTCATGGTGAATGGAGACAACATCCAAGTTAACAGACCAGCCTTTCTCTATTTTGTATCCTGTAATGTGGAAAATGAGTTAGAACCATGTAGTCACACTTGTGCAGTAAATGTTGGCTTTTGTTATCTCTTTTTTGGAGACAAAGTGTCGTACCATCAATCTCGAAATTCTGGGCAGCTTTTCTTGAATTCCAAGGCAATATAGTGGCTCTTCTAAGAGTTTCATTGATTACCTGAGGTTCAACACTCCAGATATCAGTTGTCAGCTGATAAGTTATAACAGAAGAGCTTTAAAGATTAATGAGCTGATTACTTTGGCGGTGTAAGGCATGTTGTTAACTTCATCCCATGTTAGATTTGCTCCATTTTCTCGGTTTGACTGAATTTGTCGATGCTCATCCTGTAAGTTTGACACTTTTTATATTTTAGTCCTCTGTGGAAATCAAATATCAATGAAAACTTTGCCTTGGTGGCTAGATACATTACTCTTAGTTGTTCCAGAACAGAAGGGTTTTCTCCAAGGAACTTAATAAGCCATGTGAGAGCAGCAGTTGTAGTATCATGACCTGCAACCAACAGAGTTAATATGTTGTCCTTCAATTGTTTATCAGTGAGTTTATCTTTATCATCTTCATCCCCTGCTGCTTTGCTATGTTTCATTATCAGTGATTCTAAGAAATCTTTTTGGAAGCCTCCTCCACCTCTCCTTTTAGAAATGACTGAGTCCAACATTGCATACATCCTATCTCGAGCCTGATAGGATAGAACGAAAGTATCAGAGATAAATTCTAACAATATCCGTACAACATTTGAAGAAGAAAAATGTGTGTATTCATTACTGTTTCAAACTGATGAGCTATGAACAAGTGATACCTGAATACCACGATGGAAAGCTGTTCCCGGGATTTTAAATGGCAAGGATGCAAAGGAGGAAGAGATGAGTTTAAAATTGGATCTAAACTTCTCCTGCTCTTCACCAGCAGGCTCCAAGCTCATTATCATGTTGCCGATAACTTTGAGAGTGAACTGCAAAAACATTAGAATATTAAGTTGTTTCCCTGGAAACAGTGTTACAGTGAAGATTAAGAAATGTTCTACTTGACTTGGTAACCAATACTAAACTGTAGAAGCTTCTTCAAGAACCAAAACTGTTCGTCCGGGCCACTGTTCTAATGTCTCAATTGCCAGAGTATTGATGAACTGAAAATATTTTTTAAGGCCATCAACGGATAGGGGCTCTGCAATCAACCGTCTAAGCCGCTTGTGTTCTTCTCCAGTGGTTTGGAGCAAGCTGGTAGGCCCTAGCACCTGCTGCCCTGTGTAGAAGAGGTTTAAGCTCACCATCCCATCTTTTCCTGCTAACAACATCTTGCTTGCTTCCCTCCCAGTCATGAACACAGTGAATCTACCCAACACACTAGTCTTGAACACTTTCCCATACCTACAAAATAAATTACTAAGCTTAATATTGATAGATCAAAATAGATATCTTTTGGAAAATTCGGAAATTCATTTTTTAATGCAAAAGTCAAAAGCAGATGCGGGGGCAGATTTTGATTTAATTGATTACCTCTGCTGCCTCTTGTTCACGAAGCTGTAAATACCAGATGGACTTGAAAACTCTGATATAAATGAGAAGCTTTCTCCCACAATTGGCCAACCCAAGCTACCTGGGATGTCCACCAAGCTCTTTGGGGATGAAGTCCAAGAGTGCAGCACAAAGAAAGCTGAAAGAACAAAAATTAATACCATTGCCAAGATGACTAAGATGAACAGCTCCATTGCAAGTTGGCTAACCAAAAATTATCAAACGATAATCTGAGTCTTTTGACTTATATTAAAACGCACACTTGAAATAATTCTGGAAGTAACTAAACATGACTGCCATTACTTGTACTAAAACCATCATCTCATGCGATGTGACGGCTTTGTAATTAACGTTAGCACTTAATCAATCATTAAGTCGTTACATACGTGAAAGCTTATGTATGTTCTTGTTTGACATTTTTCCTCTGCTGGCATTTCTAGGAGGCCTCTGTTTTTCTTATGTGTTTCTATTATTAGGCTTATTTTTTTAATCTGCTTTGGTGCTAATAAACCAATTTCCTATAGTAGTCACTTGTCAGTGGATGCTTAACTGCATTAGTCTAGAATTGTGGCAGATAGTGACAATTTCATTGCCGGCGGCTTGCTTGTCTTAAAAAATCTCCATATTTTATTAAGAAAAGTATTAGATATTGCCGCTTGTATTTTGCCAAGAAAAATACAAACAATATTAGTTCGAACCAAGTGGATTAACAAAAACAGAGTAAAAAACAACTGGGGATGCTGATCACAATGTGCCATGATAGATTCCCACTACCAACTGGTTCTACATTCTTTGTGCTTTCCCCTTTTTTTTTGTCTTTTGAGAATTTTTGTTTTCTGATCTGATGTCTTTTGAGATTAGGGTTGAGATGCTTCAAAGCAACAAGAAGCACTTGTTAATTGTTGCAAATAAGACAGATATTATAGTGGAACATTACCATCTGAGAGAGTTCATAGGCATGTCAGATACATAGTTACTAACAACACCACAATGTTTCAAACAATGACTTTGTCTGGGATGTATAGCACCTTTCCCCAAAACCAAATCACATGCAAATGCTTGATTGACAAAATTTAGATAAACCTGGAAGCACTCTGTTTCCATTTTTCTAACCATGTATTTACTGAAGCATAACTAGTAGCTACCAAGTCATCTGAAGCACTTAGATAGAACAAAATACCTTTCATACATTTACATAGCTTTTGAGCTGCTACCAGCCTACCCACATTGTTAAGCTCCACTTTTACATGTGTCCCTCCCTTCATCCTGAACTTTATTAATCCCTACCATATGATTTCCCCTTTCACCTTATCAAGGACTTCAAACCTGGGGTTGGCCACCATCAACATAATTTTCCAACTTATCGCACGAACCTGTTGGTAGATTACCCTTTTTCCTCAATAATCTCAAAATCTCATGTGCTGATTTCTCATCTCCCTTCTCTGTCAAGTACTTAAGACATGCATACAAAGTCGAATGGTTAAACTTCCGTCCTGGTCGACTTGACATTTTTGCTGCGTTTTTCATTGCTTCCACTGCCTCTCCCATGTGACCATTCATATGATATTCCGTAGCCAAAACAAGAAATGCGCTTGCATTCCCCCCTTCCGCTCTCCATAAGCTTCTCTACATATGATTTGGCCTTCTCAAACAGACCTTGCCTGCAGTAAGCAGTGACCAGCAAGTTGGGTATTCTAATGTCATAGAATTTGACCCCAGATTCCCATTCCTGCACAATCTTCTCAGCACCGTCAATGTCACCCACCTTCATCAACGAACTCACCATACATCGATACCCATTATTGTAGAATCCTACGGTGTTTTGTGCAAATCCCAAATCCGATAAACCTCATCTTTATTACCAATAGCAGCATATGAAGTCATCAGGCGTTCATAACCAATTTTCCTTGAGTCATTGTCAATCAGTTGCTCCGATCTCCTCAGAAATGTCGATGTCCTCTCCAACAGTCCAGCCTTCAAGCACGCTTTCGCTGCAACAAAATAACCACGCCAGTCCATGGTGACTAGAGGATTAGCTTCCATCTTCACCAAATGCTTTTCCATTTGGTCGAAGTCACCAGTGGCTGCATACGATAACATCCTAAGTTTCAATGTGTGAATGTCATAACCAATGTTTTTTTCTTCCATCTCTTCGACTAGAACGTGTAGTTTTTCATATTCACCCGTTCGAAAATAGAGGGATACCATTGCATTATAATCCGAAAATCCTTACGCAAAACCCAACTCTTAAATCTTTCCGAAAGTAATGTCAGCCTGCTCCACAGATTTACGACGTGTATAGCAGTATAAGAGAGAACCATACACTACTCTAAATGGGTATGGGATGCTATCGAAATACCTCTCAGCTTGTTGCAGACCACGGACTTGGGAGATCAAATCTAGCCGAACAGTAATATCTCCGGGAGACAGATCGTGCTTCATCACATCACTCATCCATTCTGAAACCTCGAGTGCTTGGCTGTGGCGACGGGAATTACGGAGCTGCTTGATGAAATCTTTGATCTCTGATTGCTTCAATTCTCTCCCTTCTTTGACCCACTGATCGAGCATCGGCACAACGGAAACACTAGGATTTCGATTTCCAACCGACAAAATCCTACGGTACAGGGACTGAAATGGGGGTGAGGAGGAGATGGTGGAGGAGGCCAGGGCCTCGGTTGAGTAAGAATCCCTCAACAATCAGGATTATTAAGCAAGATAGCAACAACCTGCTTATCTTATTCTAGAAAATAGAACAACTTAAACAAAACGGCTAGTTTGTTGAACAATGAGAGTTTCTTTGAGTTACAATTTGAATCACAAAGACCATAACGCCCCCTACTTGCCCTCTTCCATTCCCGCGACCAATTTGGGATCGTCTATAACCTTTGAAATAAAACTGCCGTTTTATCCCTGAATTATAATGCGTTTTAAACAGAGTCTTTTATTTTGGCGGACAAAATAATCGACAGTATTAAGTTTGAAATGTGTTATATAATTCAAGGGGTAAAACGGCTAAAAATCCTTAAAATAATCGAGTTCAGCCTTTTGGTAAACGGTTTTTGGTCAACTGGGCAAGCATTTTGGCGGACAAAATAATCAACAGTATTAAGTTTGAAATGTGTTATATAATTCAATGGGTAAAACGGCTAAAAATCCTTAAAATAATCGAGTTCAGCCTTTTGGTAAACGGTTTTTGGTCAACTGGGCAAGCATTTTAGTGTCTACAAGTTGTAAGCATAATCAACTGTATAGTCTTTTTACACCAGAAACTCTTACGTATCGGAAGAGATTTTGCTTTTTGTATTCTGCTTTAGAGAAGCATTTTTGTTGTGCGTACTTTTTTTATGAGATCTTTGTTGTGCATGCTTCAATATTCTCTTCTTAGAGCAAATGTTTTTTTCCACATTTGCAAATGATTCTCGGTTTTATTTATAAAAGTGCAAATTTTCTGACTACAATAAGGAAACCAAAATGTAAAAGCTCCAGGTAGAATGTAGTTCTTTTGATTAGCAATCGCATGGGGATCAATCATCCCATGTTTAGTTTGAAAAGTAATTGTGACAAATGCTCAAGCCTTATCGAAAAATCATACATTAGAGATGCAGGTAAAAAAAACCATTATAATGGTACAACCAAGAGAAAAATGTTTTGCATTTACATAGAATTCATCATAGTATTTAGTAAAAAAAATTACATCAATGAGAACAACATTTACCAAAACAAAAACTGATAACCAGCAAATAGAACATCCTTACATGGGGCGAAAAAAAAACATAAATTAAATAAAGAAATACGAAGATTGAGACCCAACAATCTCATGCTCAAACAGTTGTGGGGGGAGCATTTATATTTGTATATGAATTGCTAATCTTTCCATAAAAAACTTTGTTGTTTATTATCTCCTTCCAAATACAAGAAACAGAGGGAAGCCAATAAGAGTTTCAAGACCGTGACACAGTGGAGTTCCTACAACATCACACTTGAGCATCAGAAAGAGGGCATTCAAAGAATAAGTGATCAATGGATTCAGGACATCCATGGCAAAGCAAACACAAATTAGGAGATTTGAGGTGGAAGATGATAGCCTATCAAACGTGGTCAATATGTTTCTGATTGGTCCACAAAATAAAACTCGTTCTTGGGATACTATATCCAAATCAAAAGAACCTAGCCCTAGGAACTTTAGGATGACGGTCACGCAGGACCTCTGAGGCAGGTTTCCACATATGATAAAACTCCTAGAAGAGTTAGAGCAATTTATGCAGTAAAATTCCATTTTCCAGTTGTTCCTGAGACATGAAGGGAGGTCGAGTCCAGTAAGAGCCTTCCACATGTGAGAACCAAAGCATGCTCACTAAGGCCAGAGGAAAATATTGTTTCATTTCTGCAGCATAAGATCAAAGGACCAAAGGATTGCTACTTGCTAGTAGTCATGCGCTGTTCCCCAGATTATACGAGGCCGAAAGAGGGAAATTATTGAACCAGACTTATAAGAGAGGCTTGCAAAAGAAGGAAAAAAAAACAGCAGCAGCAGCTCCATATAAACAATAAGAAACAGTACTAATCAATTGTAGCACCTAGAGAGATACCTACTACTAAGTTTTCTGTTTCGTTCATATTTGTGGCCAAAATCCGGATTTGTGCTTATGCAATTTAAAATGAAAGCTCTACATTGCTTTTCCAGATGCTACAGCGGTAGATTGTCATCGGAGAAAGTTCATAGGAAATCTGGATACATAGTTAATCACTAACACCATAAACCATTCCCTGGTCGGTGCTTTAAGTCACTTTGCTCCAAAGAAATTACATGTAATTAACAGTTAAAAAGTCACATGAAGCATTAAGATGGGAAAAAAAAGGATGCAATTGTCTAGATATTCACCTTTGGGTTCGTAGATGCAAAAAACACCCTTCATAGATTTGTAATGTTACTTAAATATTTGGGTGCTACCCACGTTGTTGAGCTGCACTATCACATGCATCCCTCAATCCTGAACTTCATCAATCCCTTCCATACGATTTCCCGTTTCACCTAACTCCAGAACCTGTGGGTGCACAACTATCAATCTAATTTCTAATTTTATCACATAAATCTGTTGTAAAATGACCCCTTTCTCTGAATAATATCAGCAATTCATGTGCTTCTTCAACATCTCCCTTCTGTTTTAAGTACTCAAAGCAAGCAGCCAAAGTTGAATTATCAAACTTCCATCCTGGTCGAGATGCCGAGCTTGCTGCCATTTTCAATGTTTCCACTGCCTCTCCCATCCGATCATTCATATGATATGTGGTAGCCAAAAGAGCCCATGCGGGACAACACTCCTTTCCACCCTCTGAAAGCTTCTTCACATATGATTTGGCCTTCTCCAAAAGACCTTTCCTGCAGTAAACTTTGATCAACAAGTTGGGTATTTGAATGTTAAAGAATTTGTTCCCAGATTCCCATTCCTCCACAATCTTCTCGGCACCATCAATGTCATCCATCTTCAACAATGAACTTAACATACACCGATAGCCGTTATTGTAGAACCCTACCATGTTCTTGTACAATTCCCAAATTCGATAAACCTCGTGTTTACTACCAATAGCAGCATATGAAGTCATCAGGTGTTCATAACCAATTTTCCTTGTTTCACTGTTAATGAGTTGCTCTGATTTCCTCAGTAATGCCGCTGTCTTCTCCAATTGTCCAGCTTTCAAGAACGCATCCGCTGCGGCAGCATAACCATGCCAGTCCAGAGTGACCAGAGGGTCAGTTTCCATCTTCATCAAAAGCCTCTCCATTCGGTCTACATCCGAAGTGGCTGCATACGAATATAACCGAATGTTCAATGTGTTCATGTTATAATCAATGCCTTTCTCTGCCATCTCTTTAACTAAAATATCTACCTTTCCATGTTTACCCATTTGAGAATAAAGGTTTTATAACACAATGGTACTTTCAAAAAACCCAACTCCTTCATCTTTTCAAAAACACTCTCAGCCTTTTCCAAACAATTATGCTTTGCATAGCAATACAGCAGAGCACCATACACAGGAACCACTTTTAATGACTCTGGGATGCTATCAAAATACCTCTCGGCTTCTTCAAGCCCATGGACTTTTGAGGTCAAATCTAACCGCACCGCAATGTCTCCAGGACGCAGAACATGCTTCATTTCATCGCTCATCCACTCTGAAATCTGCAGAGCATGGCAGTAGCGACGATACCCTCGGAGCCGCTTGATGAAACCTTGGAGCTCGGGCTGCTTCACGTCTCCCCCTTCTACCCGCCATTGACGGAGCACTGGCAGAATGGAATCCCTAGGGTTTCGAATCTGCCAAATCCTACTGTGCAGAAGCTCAAACGGGGGTGATGAGGAGGAGGGCAGCACCTCAGTGGAGTAGAATAGTGCACCAAAAACCCGAGAAATGGCATATCCACGCCATGGATTTGAACTTGAACGAAGAAGCTTCATCATCGAACCTTCACCGAGACTTGAGAAATGTTGGGCTCCAGCGACAAGTTAGGATTTACGGTTTTAAATATATAAGCCCAAAAGAGTGAACAGAAGAACAGGATACGGATAAGCCCATGGGTAGATGGACTAATAAGATTTCAAGTTTTGGGGAGCAAGAAATATGAAGCAAAAGTTAAACTAAATTATTATGATTTAAAATAAATAAATAAATATTAAAAAAAGAGAGAAGACTTCTAAAACAAAATAATCATATGAAGTTGACATAAAAAAAAACAAGTACATAAAAAGAAGCACATAAGAACACATTTTATATTATGAAAAAAATTTGAAAACCCATTCATGATACTTTTACTAAAAATATAAATTTAAAAAACACAAAATATAGAAGGAATTGGGCTACAGCCCAAAATTGAGACAAGTTATTCAGTAAAGAAGGGTCAAAGCACTTCGTATTTTCCCAGCATTTATTTGTTTTTTTAGGGGAGGGGATGTAATAAATTATGAGTCCTCCTATTTTTCTTTTCTTTTTTCTTTTTATACAAGTGATATTAGGGTAAGGGAAATCAAACTTAAGACCTTGAGGAGTGCAAAGTAAAGGTGTCAAAAGGGCTGCCAGGCAGGCTGGTTTAGACTCGACACAATTAATAAACGAGTCAAACCAAGTCCATCCATTTATGAAAATTATTAAGTTTGGCTTGAGTCAGCAACCCTAGCCCATATAAGACTGTCACGGGCTTGTGTCGGGCTAAGAAACAAACCGATATGGGCCCCACGCGCAATCTCAACTTATGTATTGCATATTTTGTATTCTTTTTCTTACAATTTCATTTCAATCTTTTTTAACAGTAGGCTCAGAAGAACATCATGACATATCCTACCAAGTCTTCCATGAATGTCAAGTTTCATAATGTTGTCGCCTTCCATCTAATTTGAAAAGCGAGATTAATATACTAATCAACACTTTTTTTTTGGACGAAAACACTAATCAGGATTTTTAACCAAGATAGCAACAACCTGCTTAACTTATCCTAGAAAATAGAACAGCTTAAACAAAAAGGCTAGTTTGTTGAACAATGAGAGTATAAACTTTGAGTTACAATTTGAATCACAAAGACCATAATGCCCCTACTTGCCTTCTTCCATTCCCGCGACCAATTTGGGATCGTCTATAACCTTTGAAATAAAACTGCCGTTTTATCCCTGAATTATAGTGCGTTTCAAACTTAGTCTTTTATATTGGCGGACAAAATAATTGACAGTATTAAGTTCGAAATGTGTTATATAATTCAAGAGGTAAAATGGCTAAAAATCCTTGAAATAATCGAGCTCAGCCTTTTGGTAAACGGTTTTTGGTCAACTGGCAAGCTGTTTAGTGTCAACAAGTTGTAAGCATAATCAGCTGTATAGTCTTTTTACACCAGAAACTCTTACGTATCGGAAGAGATTTTGCATTTTGTATTCTGCTATAGAGAAGCATTTTTGTTGTGCATACTTTTTTCTCTTTCTTTTTAAAATTAATTTTTTTTTTTTTTTTTTTTTTTTTTGCAAATGATTATCGGTTTTATTTATAAAAGTGCAAATTTTCTGACTGCAATAAGGAAACCAAAATGTAAATGCTCCAGGTAGAATGTGACTCAGTTGTTTGTAGTTCTTTTGAGTAGCAATCGCATGGGGATCAATCATCCCATGTTTAGTTTGAAAAGTAATTGTGAAAAATGAAAGTGAAGTCCATATACACACACACTACAAATGCTCAAGCCTTATCGAAAAATCATACATTGGAGATGCAGGTAAAAAAAACCATTATAATGGTGCAACCAAGAGAAAAATGTTTTGCATTTACATAGAATTCATCATAGTATTTAGAAAAAAAAATACATCAATGAGAACAACATTTACCAAAACAAAAACTGATAACCAGCAAATAGAACATCCTTACATGGGGCGAAAAAAAAAAATTAAATAAAGAAGTACGAAGATTGAGACCCAACAATCTCATGTTCAAACAGTTGTGGGGGGAGCATTTATATTTGTATATGAATTGCTAATCTTTCCATAAAAACTTTGTTGTTTCTCTCCTTCCAAATACAAGAAAGAGAGGGAAGCCAATAAGAGTTTCAAGATTGTGAAACTAAGGCACTTGTCCTTCCAAGAAGAAGCAGATGAAGAAATAATGCTGCGAGATCATTACATAGTGGAGTTCCTACGCCACACTTGACCATCAGAATAAGGGTATTCAAAGAATAAGTGATCAATGGATTCAGGGCATCCATAGCAAGGCAAACATAAATTAGGTGATTTGAGGTGGATGATAGCCTTTCAAACGTGAACAATTTGTTAAGATTGGTCCACAAAATGAAACTCGCCCTTGGGATACTATATCTAGATCACAAGAACCTAGCCCTAGGAACTTTAGTATGACGGTCACGCTGGACCTCTGAAGCAGGTTTCCACAGATGATAAAACTCCTAGAAGAGTTAGAGCAATTTATGCAGTAAAATTCCATTTTCCAATTGTTCCTGAGACATGAAGGGAGGTCGAGTCCAATAAGAGCCTTCCACTTGTGAGACAACCAAAGCATGCTCACTAAGGCCAGAGGAAAATATTGTTTCATTGCTGCAGCATAAGATCAAAGGACCAAAGGAGTGCTAGTAGTCATGCCTGCATTCCCCAGATTATAAGAGGCCGAAAGAGGGAAATTATTGAACCAGACTTATAAGAGAGGCTTGCCCAAAGAAAAAAATTTCTAAAAAAAACAGCAGCAGCAGCTTCATATAAACAACAAGAAAAAGTACTAATCAATTGTAGCACCTAGAGAGATACTACTAAGTTTTCTGTTTCTGTTCATATTTGTACTTTATTTGTGGCCAACATCCGGATTTGTGCTTATGCAATTTAAAATGAGAGCTCCACATTACTTTTCCAGATATTACAACGGTAGATTGTCATCGGAGAAAGTTCATAGGAAAGCTGGATACATAGTTACTAACACCATAAACCATTCCCTGGTCGGTGCTTTAAGTCACTTTGCTCCAAATAAATTACATGTAAACAACAGTTAACAAGTCACATGAAGCATTAAGAAGGGAAAAAGGATGCAATTGTCTAGATATTCACCTTTTGGTTCGTAGCTGCAAAAAACACCCTTCATAGATTTGTGGGTGCTACCCACGTTGTTGAGCTGCACTATCACATGCATCCCTCAATCCTGAACTTCATCAATCCCTTCCATACGATTTCCCGTTTCACCTAACTCCAGAACCTGGGGGTGCACAACCACCAATATAATTTCTAATTTTATCACATAAATCTGTTGTAAAATGACCCCTTTCTCTGAATATTATCAGCAATTCATGTGCTTTTTCAACATCTCCCTTCTGTTTTAAGTACTCAAAGCAAGCAGCCAAAGTGGAATTATCAAACTTCCATCCTGGTTGAGATGCCGAGCTTGCTGCCATTTTCAATGTTTCCACTGCCTCTTCCATCCGATCATTCATATGATATGTGGTAGCCAAAAGGGCCCATGTGCGACAACACTCCTTTCCACCCTCTGAAAGCTTCTTCACATATGATTTGGCCTTCTCCAAAAGACCTTTCCTGCAGTAAGCATTGATCAACAAGTTGGGTATTTGAATGTTAAAGAATTTGTTCCCAGATTCCCATTCCTCCACAATCTTCTCAGCACCATAAATGTCATCCATCTTCAACAATGAACTTAACATACACCGATAGCCGTTATTGTAGAACCCTACCACGTTCTTGTACAATTCCCAAATTCGATAAACCTCGTGTTTACTACCAATAGCAGCATATGAAGTCATCAGGTGTTCATAACCAATTTTCCTTGTTTCACGGTTAATGAATTGCTCCGATTTCCTCAGCAATGCCGCTGTCTTCTCCAATTGTCCAGCTTTCGAGAACGCATCCGCTGCGGCAGCATAACCATGCCAGTCCAAAGTGACTACAGGGTCAGTTTCCATCTTCATCAAAAGCTTCTCCATTTGGTCTACATCCGAAGTGGCTGCATACGAATATAACCGAATGTTCAATGTGTTCACGTTATAATCAATGCCTTTCCTTTCCATGTTTACCCATTTGAGAATAAAGGTTTAACATTGTATTATAACACAATGGTCCTTTCAAAAAACCCAACTCCTTCATCTTTTCAAAAACACTCTCAGCCTTTTCCAAACAATTATGCTTTGCATAGCAATAAATCAGAGCACCATACACAGGAACCACTTTTAATGACTCTGGGATGCTATCAAAATAACTCTCGGCTTCTTCAAGCCCATGGACTTTTGAGGTCAAATCTAACCGCACCGCAATGTCTCCAGGATGCAGATCATGCTTCATTTCATCGCTCATCCACTCTGAAATCTGCAGAGCATGGCCGTATCGACGATACCTTCGGAGCAGCTTGATGATAAGTTGGAGCTTGGGCTGCTTGATGTCTCCCCCTTCTACCCGCCATTGATGGAGCACTGGCAGAATGGAATCCCTAGGGTTTCCAATCTGCCAAATCCTACTGTGCAGAAGCCGAAATGGGGGTGATGATGAGGAGGAGGGCAGCACCTCTGTGGAGTAGAATAGTGCACCAAAAACCCTAGAAATGGCATATCCACGCCATGGATTTGAACTTGAACGAAGAAGCTTCATCATTGAAGCTTCACCGAGACTTGAGAAATGTTCGGCTTCAGAAAGTTTTTTACCCAGCGACAAGTTAGCATTTACAGTTTTGAATATATATATATATATATATATATTATTTTTTGGAGATCGTTTCATAGAAGCCCAAAAGAGTGAACAGAACAACAGGATCCGGATAAGCCCATGGGTAGATGGACTAATAGGATTTCAAGTTTGGGGGACCAAGAAATATAAAGCAAAAGTTATAAACTAAATTATTATGAATTTAAAGAAAACGAAAAACAAAAAAACAAAAAACAAAAAAAAAAAAAAAAAAAGAAGTAAGATATGAATGAAGCACATTTTATATTATGAAAAAATTTGAAAACCCATTCATGATACTTTTACTAAAAATATAAATTTTAAAAAACACTTCATAATGTTAAAAGAAATTGGGCTACAGCCCAAAATTGAAGGACAATTTATTCAGTAAAGAAGGGTCAAAGCACTTCATAATGTTGTCGCCTTCCCTCTAATCTGAAAAGCGAGATTAGTACACTAATCAACACTTAAACCGAATAAGACCCATTAAAGTAATTCTACTAATTTAAGAAAGAACATAAAACGTACCCTTGAAGTGTACTATTTCCCTAAGGAGGACTTGGAAAAAACTACAGTTAGAGGTAGGGATGGCAAATTTCCTCACGAGTATGAAGGATAAAAAAGGGATATGAGGACGAGCGCGTGCGTTTAGAATATTCATATAAATATATTATTAAGAGGTGTGATGGCTGTGTTACCTCTATATTGATCATCATGTCTTGGACATGTATTAATTTTTTTTAATTTTAAATATTCTAGATTTTTAGTTAATAAAAATTGAATTGAATTTTTTTTTTCTCATTCAACAAATAGTTTTTTTATTTATATTTTTCGTTATTTTTTTTGGGGGGGGGGGGGGGGGGGGGGGGGGGGGGGGGGGGGGGGCGGTCCGGGGAAACCCCCCAATCCCCAATGACGAGGATAGGAAATCCCCAATTTGAATATTTCGGGAATGAAGGCGAGATGGGGAAAAAAATGCTTAACGGAATGGAAATGATATACCTACTCCCGATTCAATCCATTGTCATCCCTAGTTAGAGGGGGCTAGTTGTAGAGGCCAAAATTGAAAGTGGCCTCACATTGCCAAAATCCTAAGTTTTTTTTTCATTTATTGTTATTTTTTTTTTTTTTTTTTTTTTTTTTTTTTTTTTTTTTTTTTTTCTGCTGAGGGATCAATACCGCTCTTATTCTCACTTTCATTCTCCACAAAAAGTAAAAAGTAAAAATTAAAAATTAAAATTGGAATAAACCCCTTTGGGATACGTAAGTCCCTCTCCAAGAAGCTCTCTCTCTCTCTCTAAATTAAGTAATATATAATAGTATGCATAGTATTTCTTTAAAAACTAATAGGGGTCGTTGATGATGTTATTCAATGGTGCCTGTACAAGGGTGGCACATGTCATGCTCACCTAACTTGCATGTGATATTTCTCCTCCTCGATGATGAATGATGGACCTAATACAATATGACAACGACACAAATAATTTTTCTTTATTGACAACACCATGAATAATTAATTTTCTTCATTGACAACGACACAATTAATTATCTTTAATTCTCCACTCATACCTGTACATGCGACCAAATGAGATGAGATTAGACTCGCCATTTGGAAGGGCATCTTCCATTGACGAGTGACACGTCCTTGGATGTAATAAAAGCAATAGAAGAACATAAAAAACAGACAATAAAGCAGTCATCAATAGAACATCAATCTGGGGTCTAGGGAGTGAAAAACGGGTTTTGATTTGTAGACTAATAGCCTCGAGTTTGAATATTCATAGCATATTCACAGCGTGTATGAGAAAACTCCCTCTTTTCTGACTGAAGAAAAATATAAAAACAGAGAAAAACCCCCTCTTTCCTAACTTTGGCAGAAATAAATAAATAAATAAAACTACAATTTAAGAAACAATCATAAGAGAAAGAAAACAGATTGATATTGGTTAGCAAAAAAGACCACCCCCAAAACAAAAACCAAAAACAAAGGACACTGAGAGTAAATCAATCTTCCATAGGAAATAAAAGATCTTATTAGCATAAACGCTAATACAACCCAGCAGGTGTTCCAGTAAGATTAGGACTAAAACATGCTCTAAACGATCCTATCTCCTAGAAATGATAACATAATTCATCTATAGTTTTTAACTGATACAGGGTACTGTGGGTTCTGTGTACTGTGTGAGCAGCAATCTTCACAGCCTTAAGTCCTGCACCACATACATATACATCTGTATGTAGTATGTACAAGAAGCTATCTGAGATTAACTACCCTCCTCTAAATTCTCAAACATAAATATGTTCCTGTGGTTAATAACTAAAATAGAGTTTCTAGGCCCGCTGGTTGAAGTCCATGAAGCTCGGGCGAGCCTGTCCATTGGAAACAGCCTGGTTGTGAAGCATGTGATGGTGCTGCTGGGTCTGGCCGCTACCAAGCTGATGATGTGAGGACGACTGAGGGGCGGCATATTGAGGGGGGAGCCCTCTGTAGAAAGGGTTTCCATTCCCAGGTGGGATTTGGTTGGTTTCAATCTTAAGCCGCTGAACCTCCTCCTTAAGTTTTTCATTCAAGGCTGTAGGTGTAAAATAAACAAAAAGCAAAGCAACTATAATATAACCTCAAAAGTAAAGTTAGCTAACTTGAAAGCTCAAGGTATTTCGAGCCACACGAAAGTAAAACAATTCCACCACTCCTTTTCCATGACAGCACAAATATACGAATAAAATAATATGCATACCATCTCTTAGTTGTGCTTGTTGCTCCATAGCCTGTAAGCGAAGCTTGAGCTCCTTATTCTCAGCAGTTATAACAGTAGTGTCCCTCTGCATCACAGATACATTATATAGACTGATAAGGATGCAGACACTGTTAAACTAAAATCCTAAACTGACTCTTAAACTATCTGAATTATGCGCTACACAAACTTGCATGTGCTACAAGAACATATATGGTATAATTAAAAATAGGGTCAATCCTTATAAAGATAGCCTGGTGTCGAAATCCAGCAAGAACCAAGAGTTTGTCCTAGATTTGAACCAGAATGACTCTGAAAATTGCTTAGCAAAATACTGTTACACAGTAAAGCTTAAAATTCAAAAGAAAGGAAACAACGGGAAACAAGTTTGCCAAATTAAGAAAAACGTCTAAGACACCTAGGAGTCCTCAAGTTTGATTGTAACTTTTGACCATCCACCATGGGCAAAGAAGTTTCTCGCATTACTGGCATCTACTGTCTAGTAGGTGGTGACCATTAAAAATTCAATCCTACTCAGGAAGCCTGAATCTTTTAATATAAGGGCTGTGGTTCCTTTTAGGTTGGACATGGCATGGGTATGTCCACAGTTTTAAAAGAATCAGTTATTTCTAGACTCTTCAATCTTGCAAAGAGAAACAAAGGCCGGCAGATAACATAAAGTAGAAACTGTAGAATCAAATGAAGGATCCCAAATTCTCATATCTGTTTGTCAAATCAACTTCTAGAGTCTTCAATCTCGCAAAGAGAAAAGGAAAAAAAAGACAGAGAAGAGATCTCAGCAGAGGAGAAATAGAGCTCACTAGTTGAAAAGACTTGAGCACAGAACACAAGGAGGTAGCAGCTTATAAAACATGACCTTTTTCACTATGAAGTTATAGCATAACATCATCAGTTTGTAACTGTTATGGAAACATATTATCTTCTAACTATGTATAAACCTGCTTTAATCCACATCCCAGCTAAGTGACCAATGCCCTGACCTTATTCCTAAACTTAATTAATGTTCCAGAACAATCGGGATTTCTAGTAACTAAAGCAACATGGATGTTTAAATGTTCTTCAACAGAAAAGTTAGTACCAATTTGAAGTTACAGCAAAAAATTTAGGTTACAAAAACTGCTTTCTGCCATTCATAATCTTTCCCTATTTACAATGCGTGGCTTTTTCCTTTTCTGTTGATACTAACTTGTGTCCAGAACAATGTTATTTTACATTTTAGGTTAAGTGTTTTGGGCTGAGGGTTTATATTGAAAAGATAATTAAATGGAAGCACAAAACTACTTAGTTATGGACATAAGCCACTGAAATTTATAAGCTGAGGATCCATACTTGACATTAATGTGCATGTTTACTTCTTGTATTGTTAATGGAAATACAAAAATTATACCAAAACAAAGATCATAATCAATGTTAAACTATCCCTTAAACAAAACACATTTCCTAAAGAATAAAAGCTTTGGTATCTTAGAACATAAAAGCTAGAATCTCACAAAAACCGGCCGCATTAGAGGAATTAATTTCATTAACTGAACTCACAGAAGGACCCGATCTTTAAAAAGAAAATGACGTACGTAAGATTGAAAAGAATCATTATGAGGAACCTTGATGTAATAAAGTAACTTTGTACTGTTCAGTGATTAAGGAAACTGATAGAGTTTTCCTAGAAACAGAAAGATCTATTTATCCATATTTCATATGTAACCCTATGTGCCTATACGTACTGGAGAATGAAGCAAGCATGGAAACATTGACAATCTAAAAATGGTAGAAAATGGAAGGAAAAGTAAACAACCGTGCACCCGAAAAAAACCACCCGCATAAATGAACAATGAAAATAATTTCATGATGATCATTGCAAAGCAGAAAATACCATTTTTGTAATGACAAAGCATGATATATCCGTTTCATAACAAACCAAGCTGTGGGTTCCAATGGTTTAGCAAGTAGTACCTAAAGTCTTGCCCAACTGATACTTCTTAAGCTACAAAAGTCAAGGTCTTAGGTATTACCTGTAACAGAGTGACCTGTGCTGATAGGGTTGTTGCCTCTGTCTGAAGCGTCTGCACCTTCCTCTCCAGCTCATTGGTATATCTCACCTTCCTCTCCTTCGACCGCGCAGCAGATTGTCTATTGGCTAAAATCCTATCAACCACAAAATTATGAATTCAATTTCTCATTCCACCAAAATAAATAACCAAAACAAAAAAAAAAAAAAAAAAAAAAAAAAAAAAAAAAAACAACATACAATTCCATCCATAATTAAATTAAACTAAATTCTTTCATCAAATTTCTTCAAAAAGAAATCCCATTTTACGTATCAAATTAGATTCTGAACATTAAAAAAGGCCAAATCCCCTCAATTAATTGAAAAAACTAAAAAAAAAAAAAAAGAAAAAAAAGAAAAACGATGATCCAGTTGAGGAAATGGTCAAGAAGACAGCCACAAGAAAAACAAAACAGAGACACAAAAACAAAAAATGGGCAACCTTTTAGCTCTCTTCGGGTCAATAAGAGAGAGCTCAGCAAGTCTCTCAGGAGCTATGGACTTCTTGATACCGTCCACCACGATCACAGGCGAGTCCGCCTCAAACGACGGCGTAAAGGAGCCGTCCATTGAGTTGCTGTGCCTGTGGTGGGACCCAGACCTCTGCCCCACAAGGGCTTCTCTGCCGGAGTCTCCTCCGGCGCCGAGGCCGAGGCCGTCGAAGAAGTCGGAGTCGACGGAGAGGCTCCGGAGGTGGGCAGCGGATGCGGTGGAGGGGCCGCCGGGCCTGGAGCTCGGGAAGGGGTTGGGTGGGCCGGAGGAGTCGTCGGAGTCCTGGGTCATTGGGTTGCTACTACGTGGCAGGATGGTTGGGGAGGGGAGGCAGGAGAGGTCGAGGTCGGAAGGGTCGAAGAGGAGGAGGTCGTCGAAGTTGGGGATGCGGAAGGAGGTGTCGGAGTGGGCTCGGCGGTGGTGGGACCCGCGCTGTGGGGTCTCCGACATCTGCTCCATGTCAGTCGAGGATGTCGGGGAGGGCCTTGAAGCTCCGGTGAAGTTGTTGTTCAAATCCATTTTCGTCTTTTGCTCTGTTTTTGGTTTTTTTTTGGTTTTTGGGTTGTGGTGGTGGTGGGTGGTAACGGTGGTCAGGTGTTTAATGTTTATTGATGAGAGTGGTGGTGGGAGTTTAAGTGGTTGAAAACAACGGAGAGAAAGAGAGAGAGGATTTGAGAGGGGTGGAGAGAGGGAGAGTGCGTTGAAAAAGTGAGCAAGGAGGAGTTTGGTTGGTAAAACCAAAAGTGATAAAAGTGCTTTTGGGAAGAAGGACTCGAACGAGCTGAGTAGCGAGTAGTGAGTAGTAGAACCCAATTATATGTAGTTTGACATTATATTCCTCTATTTATAACCTACACACACGCAATGCATATGGAAGAATAGTTGCGTTCATTGAACTGCAATATTGTAGAAAAACTAGTATTAGAAGTTGTTTGTAAGAGAAAATTTTGATGCTTATATGTTTCCGTTGCCATTTTTTACCATAATTATTTTTACTTGTGATATTATATAATTATAACTACTAATAACGTGATGGTATGAGGAATTTGAATGCAACGTAAAATTAGCACGCCGTGTGAATAATATTAATACACAAACAACGATCAAACCTTTCATCAACGATATGTGTTGAAGTTAAAGTTTAACTCAAATCTCCCAATATGAATATATGTTAACTCATAATGCATCTTATTGGATATACATTCTATAATCAATTTCCCAATATGAATGTATGCTAACTCAAAATGCATCTTATTGGGTATACATTCTATAACATGCACTCCTGTTATAATTGCTCCAAACTAGTGTCAAGCTGCTTTCTATAAAGATTTGAGTTGGATTAACTTTTCATTCTTATTCTAACAAATCCTACTATACTAGGGTATGAATGCCTATTAAAGGTAACTTTCCATTCATTGAAAATAAAAATTTAATTTCTACCATATGCAAAATCATAAATCCTACTAGATGAAAATCGTATAACTCACATGGCAAGCCAAGATCGATAAATAGTATGAAGAATTTGACTGGGTCATCTACAAAAGCAAAACTTAAACTTCGAAAGCTACTGGATTCAAAATCTTAAGAGCTCTCTGATGCTTAAGTTAGTAATCATATTCATTGAATGTCTGGCAAGAATGTTTAGTCTAAATCAACTTACCATTGGTAGCATCTTTAAATCCCATTTATATTGATTTTATGATCGACTAAACCTCCATTGACTTTTGGAAATTGATTGGAAGATTTGAACTTTGAAACTTGAAGTTGGGTCGAGCTCTTCGCTGATACCAAATATGAACAGGGCACTAGTGCCAAGAAGATTGTGCGGATTTCACGCATCAACTCTTCAAATGCTTCAGCCCAATTGGGCTCCTGTTAGACATGTAAGTCCTCATGAACAATTTCTCCAAGAATACGACAAGAATTCATACATATATGTTAGTGAATTGAGATTTATTCACAAGTTATGAATGAGAAAACATGGTAATGTCTTTAACGATGATGAACATGGCTAGTTACTATGAGAGTATGTCTTATATGTGTGAGATACAAGTCATGAATGCTCTTGCTATAGACATATCACAACTTCTATTAACACTTGGCTATTTAATCTCCAGTAGAGATTGGCGAATCTCAACACTAGAGTGTATAGCTCCAGATTGATACACGAGTGCATAAAAGTGTATTGATATATCAAGAGGATTGCATCATCTAAAAGGTTGTCAAATTATGATGCATAAAACTCATAAGAGTAATAAGCTCTGAATTTAGAAAGGAGTGTAAACTCATGTTTTATGCTTGGTGGCTTTGATTAGTCAATTGGTGCGAGTACTTACCTTCCTTGTGGAGTCATCCCCCTTGAATATTTCGTCATGAAGCCTAGCTAGCCTATTCAATGATGTTGGATTGTCGAATTGATTATGAGCAATGTTCTCAAAGATAATGTAACTGAACTGGTTTGGCAATAGGAATATTCATTATTTTATTGCATTTACGTTGAAGTCTTGGTACTTTGTGGAGAAATTATAGAATACTACAGTAATATGGTCACGTGGTACATCTTGTAAATGTGTTGTAATATGGGTGGAAGATATAATTTATTTCCCCTCTTTTATGGAATAGTATTAATAAGAGCGAGTGCAATTATTGAGTTAGTAAGTTTAGAGTTGTTGTAAAAAGTTATCTTAATCATTAGAGTGCAAGTGCAATTAGAGTTCTTTGAAGTCGACTCCAGTTTAATTATTTTGGTATTAAGTCAAAGATTTGAGATGCCTAGGGGATTCCATTTGTAACTTTTGTTTGTCTTAATATAAAACAAGATAAAATAAAGGAGCCAGTATTAGGATGTCCTAGGGATCCCACCGTTAGGCTTTTTGAGTATTGTGATAATGTTTTTTATTTTTTTATTTTAATGTTTGATACAAGCGATAATCTAATTTTATCTAATTTAGACTATGGGGAGGGAGATTTGAACTCAGGTGCGGAGTGAGGAGCACATCCACTCTAACCAGCTTGACTAAGTCTATATTTACCGAGTATAGTGATCATGATTACGATAATTAAAATAAATAAAATAATATATGTATGTATTAAAGTAAATTATATAACACATAAAATAATAATTTTGATATCCTAATTTCATCATACCATATTTATTCTTCATATCAAACATATAAAAGGACCACCTTGATTAATCCAAAAGACTAGCTTACTTAATTAAAAAAAAATCAGTTTCCGAAACTGTTAAATGTAACTTTATGTAATGTTAAATCAAACACCAAAATAAATAAATTCATCATAAAAACAAAATGTGAAAATTAAATTAAAAAAAATAATGTAATTTGGGGATTGGGGTTCTATTGGGTTGGAGGCGAAGTGGGTTAAGAGCAGCATTTTGTTTTAAAAGCCCAATTCCAGATTGAAAACCCATCCTTGAGTGAAACGGTGCACTTCACTGAAAGGAGGGCTTCAGCAGCACTGTCACTGTGCATTTTATTGAAAGGAAAGGAGGCAAGCTTGGTGCGACGTCGTCGTTTTTGTACAGCTCAGGGGCCTGGAGGAAAGAAGAAAACTTATAATGTTGTAGGGATTAAAATCCGCTAAAATTTAAGCTGAAATTTCTTTAGTTTTGTGCTTTAACTTTCCGACTTGATACTGAGTGACTGACTTGAAATACCACCAACTAGGTGCATTGAAGTTTTTTAGAATAAACCTTCAATCCTCTCAAGCAATGCTATTCTGTTGATATGATTGTGTCTTACTATTCTTTGAGCAACTTTATATTATGTTTCATCCTTTATTATAGTATTTTTTTTCTGGCTGAGAAAACTTGTTAAGAATCCAGTCTTTTTGGCTAATTGCAATCAGATTGAGATTGCATGTAATCTATATGATTATAAAGAAATATCAAACAAGCACATACAAAGGTGCTAGACATACATAGTGAATTAAAAATTAGTATAGGAACAAGTCCTCAAACAATGCAGTAATCCTTGACATTCAAAGGTGCATGATGTGAATTTTCTCTGACATGTTAGAAAAGTTTATCTACGTATTTATGGATGATTTTTCTGTTTTCAGAAATTCTTCCTACATACATAGCAAAATTAAAAGAAAGGAAAAAACAAAGCAAATTTTGTTGTCATGTAAGGAAATGAGCCAAGTGTTTTCCATTAAAACTTGGCTACATCTGGCCACCTGCAATGTCTTGATTTTTCATTCTTTCTCTTCCTAAGTTTGTACAAACAAACAACAAAGAGCAAGAAAATTTTAAAACCGACTGCTGAAAGATGAATACTCAAAAAGAAAGCGAGGACAAATGGGTTCTTTAGGAGGCTTTCTGTGCTTTCTGTGCTTGTTCCTGGTCGTAGTTCTCATCACGATCCTTCACAAGCTATGTTTATACCAAAATGAACAGCCAATGAATATCAAACACGTGGACCAAACCAGGGCTATGTGTGCCTTCGGCACTCACTTTCGGTACCAAACCTACCGATCACAACATTAGGGCAACCTCACCCCCTTTGACGCGTGGCGGTCTCACAACTGACGCCCAGAGTCCCACATTGAAACTCTAAACAAATTGCACACCTCCCAAGGCCTATAAAAGAGGACATCCGTCCCAGCTTGAAGGTAATCAATCAGAACTTACGGCATACTGCCTATTGATCTGCAGTTCAAACTTACTAACTCCGTACTTACTTAAGCATCGGAGAGCCTTCGGCCGGTACCGCACCGGTGCCCTAGGACTTACCGTGTGTTTGCTATCTTACAGATCACACACCCTACCGAGGACATCAGATACCGAAGAGACTTAATCACTAAGTTGCGCGGGAAAGTGCCGAACCATTTTTCTGCGTCAACAGTTTGGCGCCGTCTGTGGGAATGGAGCTGGGCCCTTCGCCGAGTATCTCAACGTCGGTATCACTCCCACCCTCGGCATCAGGCCCTGCCGCTTCGCCGTCGGAGTCAAAGAGACCATCCGATGACTCATCGTCGAACGCATTGGGCTCGCGCTCGGAGAATGACTCGCTATCAGACATCTACAAAAACAGGAAAAAGGGAAACTAAGGCTCATGCCGGATGCTATCCTACCGATCCCTACATCGCTACCTATGGCGACTAGACTACCGAATGAGACCCTATGGTCAGTCTAGTTCGAACCAAGGAAGGACGTAACCCTTAAAGCATGCAGCAGATTAAAGAAAAGAGTGCCGAACGGTACCTTAAAGTGTGCCCTGGAAGATAAGCGCGATTTGCTCTTCAGGATGCTTCACTACCGTTCGCAATACCGGGAATCGCCTTTCCTACCGTTCGAAACGTCGGAGATCGCCTGGTTACCGTAAACGCTCGTCGGAAATCGCCTGATTACTGAAAGCCCTCGTCGGAAATCGCCTCAGACAGAGCTCTCACTTCTCACTAGATGCAAAGTGAGTTCGCCTCCGGGGTCATCTCTATTTATAGGGGGGTGGTTGGCAACGGTACTCCTCGAAAAACCAAACGGCGCATTAATGCGCCGCGCGCCATCATTACTTTCGCCACGTGTCGCTCACCCTATGGGGAATAGACGGCACGCGAGGCGCGGAAGTCGAAGCGCTCAGACGTCCCTTCGCCCGTCAGCTCGACGCGACCTTCTGACTTCACCAACGTCAGCCTCTGAGCTGGTGATGCCGGAAGGGACAAAGTTTGGCCCCTTCCCCAGGTGGGGTTACCGAACGGTAAGGCCGTGATTCCTCCCGAAGATGACTTCAAATCCCCTTCCGAAGACTCTCGCAAGGGGACTTGGGGGACTCCTGTTTATACCAAAATGAACAGCCAATGAATATCAAACACGTGGACCAAACCAGGGCTACGTGTGCCTTCGGCACTCACCTTCGGTACCAAACCTACCGATCGCAACATTAGGGCAACCTCGCCCCCTTTGACGCGTGGCGGTCTCACAACTGACGCCCAGAGTCCCACATCGAAACTCTAAACAAATTGCACACCTCCCAAGGCCTATAAAAGAGGACATCCGTCCCAGCTTGAAGGTAATCAATCAGAACTTATGGCATACTGCCTATTGATCTGCAGTTCAAACTTACTAACTCCGTACTTACTTAAGCATCGGAGAGCCTTCGGCCGGTACCGCACCGGTGCCCTAGGACTTACCGTGTGTTTGCTATCTTACAGATCGCACACCCTACCGAGGACATCAGATACCGAAGAGACTTAATCACTAAGTTGCGCGGGAAAGTGCCGAACCATTTTTCTGCGTCAACAAGCTATGGTGGGCTCCAACTCGCATACAGAAGCAGATAGCTCTGCAGGGGATCCATGGCCCTCCTTACAAACTCATCCATGGAAACACCAAAGGAATCTCCCACATGATGAAGGAAGCCATGGCCAGTCCCAAAACTTTATCCCACGACACACTTCCTTTAGTCCAACCTCACATTCACTCATTTACCAAGATTTATGGTAAGAAACCATCTCAATTAGCTACTTATAAAATAAAATAAAAGTTTAAAATTTTATTTATATTTAATTTTAGTTCCAAATATTGAATTAATTATTTGCAGTGGCACGGTTCTCAGGCTCAGTTGGTGATCACAGAACCTGAGTTGTGCAAAGAGATACTGAATAACAAAGATGGAGCTTATCCGAAAAAAGAGATCCAAAACTTTGTAAAGAAGCTATTAGGAGATGGCTTGGTTTCAACAACAGAAGCTGAAAAAGGGGCAAAATTGAGAAAGCTGGCCACTCTTGCCTTCCATGTAGAGAGCTTAAAAGTAAGTCTTTTTTTTTCACAGTTAATGGTAATTTCTTGCAAAGAGTAGTATAGTAGTGAAGTAAAATCTGATGGGATGGTATTGTTTTACCAGAGTATGATTCCAGAAATGGTAGCTAGTGCCGAGACAATGCTAGGAAGGTGGAAAATTATGAAGGAAAAGAGATTGATGTGCTTCAAGAGTTTAGGTTGCTGAGTTCAGAAGTGACTTCCAGAATAGCATTTGGCAGCAGCTATATTGAAGGAAAGAACATTTTTGAGATGTTGACCAAGTTAGGCTTCATAATCTACAAAAAATTTCTCACAATCAGGGTTCCTGTCATTAGGTAACTTCATTTCAACTAAATCTTGAATTGCGAAACCACACATGGATAGCCATTCAATCTCTGTTCTCTTAGTTATTGAATATCTGATTGATTAATGTGTGGCATTTTTACTCCTCAATATAAATGGCATCCAAATAATCTTTTGGTTGGTCAATTGTGGGATCCTTTGAATTTGCTAGAATACATTCTGTACCTTACTATGTTAACAAACACAGAGTCATGCCTAAACAATTCTCTCTCTATCTTCTTAAAAAAAATGACTCATGCTGATGATTCCCCCTAAAAAAAGAAGAGATACTGGTGCAAATTCCAAATTTGAATTGAACACAAATTTGCATTATAGCCAGGAGAAATATACTCAATAAAAATTTTCATTATAGCCAGGAGAAGCATACTCTATTTCATTTTCGTTGTGTAGTTGGCGCATTAGGCTTGTTATGCAGAGAACCATTCTTCTTTAATCTTCTTTTATTGTTTTCCCATAGCAGTGAGCATTAATTCTGTTCTCATGTTTAGTCTTTCATTGAAAATTGCAGTGAGTTCTTTAAAACCAGCGATGAGATAGAGTCGGAGAAACTTGAGAAAGGAATACAAGACTCTATATAGAGATTATTAAGAAAAGAGAAGAGAAGGCAATGACCGGAGGAGAAGACAGATTTGGAAGTGATTATCTTGGATTACTTGTAGAGGCTCAACATGATGCCAATGACAACCAGAGGATTTTGGTGGAAGAAGTTGTTGGTGATTGCAAGACGTTTTACATGTCCGGACAAGAAACTACTACTACTTTGCTTTCTTGGACTGTCTTACTTCTGGCAGTCCATACAGATTGGCAAGAGGAAGCAAGAAAGGAGGTCATACAGTAATTTGGCAAACAAACTCCACATCCTGATGGGATTGCCAAACTGAGAACAGTAGGAGTGTCAAGAATACAATCAATTGCTTTTGGAAGTAGCAAAAATATTTTCTCAATTAAATTTGAAATCCTGATTTGTTATCTCTTTCTTCATTTGCATGCAGATGAGTATGATCATTAATGAGTCTCTATGGTTATATCCGCCGCCTGTTTCTATTATAAGGAAAGTTGAAAGGGAAGTTAGACTGGGAAAGCTCACTCTTCCTCCTAATCTTGATTTGGTTATCTCAACTATAGCAATTCACCATGATCCTGAAATCTAGGGACAGGATGTGCATCTTTTCAAACCAGAGAGATTCTCGGAAGGGGTTGCTAAAGCAACTAACAACAACATTGGTGCATTTATACCATTTGGATTGGGACCTCGAACTTGTGTGGGCATGAACTTTGGCATTACTGAAGCAAAGATTGCTTTGTCAATGATTCTAAAACGCTACTCATTCACCCTTTCCCCGGGTTATGTTCACTTTCCCTTGCATTATCTTACAGTTCGGCCACAACATGGAGTTCAGGTAATGCTACACTCACTTTGAACTGCAAAGACATTGATGTATCGATTGCACCCATGATTTTTGAGCTTGGTGTATCAAGTACCCGGACATTAATGCCTTTGGATATACTGCTAGCTTACTAACAATGCAAGTGAACAACTGATTGATTGTCATGAAGTGTTTTAAAATTAAATAAGAAACATCAGCACAACTGTATTAGTCCATGGTGTACTCACTAATAGATCCTTTGCTGCTGCCTCCCATTTTGTAATCTAGATTGCTTTTTCTTTTTGGTTATTTTTCCTTTTTAGTTGGAGGCTGCATTGCATAGCTTTGTGTAACTATATGCAGACAGATTGCAGTGCACTGATTTGATTATGGGAATTTAAAGAATCATGTACTGATTAATAGAAGCATCAGAACTTCCAGAACTGTTTGTTCTTTGAGCTTGACTTTTCCAATTACCTCCATAGGGAGAAATGGGCTTGAATAAAGGCTAAATTGTTGGTGTCGTCCTCAAAATAGTCACCGCACTAGTGGTCATTTCAATAAACTTCGATTGTAATGCTGCCATCTTTCCCTTCAACCCCTTCTTCCTTCCTGAGATCCTCTTTCTCTTCTATTGATATCTCTCTCACTGTGGAACAAAGTAATCATGGAGGGATTTAAGATTGAAATGGCGGGCTTAGACTGGCGGAAGAGGATGAAAAAGAGGGAGAGGCCGTGGTGGTGGGGGAAGCCACTGTAATAGAAAGTGACTTATTTCCATATGCCGGTTGCACACTGGTTGTGGGAGCAAATAAGGTCTTAAAGAAAGCATAGATGCTACAACATAACTAATCCTCTCATGGTCTCATAATCTGCAGATACATTTTCAACATAACTAATCCTCAAAGTCCCTACAGGAGGCTGCAAATTTCTATTATCATCATGAACTCTCCCAAATATTGAACAAAACAACGAAAATACAATATGTGAAAAGGAATTTGTTGGCGAGTCCTTACTTAGTTTAGATTTTGGTTCCTTATTAGTTAGAATTTTGGTTACTTACCAATTATTATTTAGTCCTATTGTAATAGAGATTTATTTCCTATTGTAATTTAGATATATTTTCTATTTTATTTAAGGTTAACACATCTTTGTACTTGTATAAATACCTCTATATTGGAGATGAATAATAATATGAGCATAGATGAGCATTATCTAAATATTTGCCCTACTTTGTTTGACATGGTATCAGAGCCAGGTTCTCTTACAACCTGTGCTTGCGTTCTCCTTGCAATTTAAGTGTTCTCCTCCCTTCCTGTTCAAAGGGGGGAAGGGGAGTGAAAAAGATATGTTTCTCTTTCCCAAGGAGATATTACCTCTTTCTTAACTCCGACAACCCGTTCTTTTCAAAGGGAGAGGAGGATTGAAGAGAAGTTGTGTTTGCGTGAATTAGCTGAAGTTGATATGGAAGAATTTGTCACCGTTTTCAGCTACTGTTTCTGTGGTCGTTGCCATGGCCGCTGTTGCCGCCGTTAATGTTGCCTTTGTTTGCTTCGCTTTCCATTGCTATGGTCATTGCCGATGATGTTGATATGTTTTGATTCGTCTCTACAACATAAAAAACCTTAACCCTAAACACTATCTATTTCCAATGCACTAGTATACACCTAGCCTACAATCCTAGCCTGCCACTGCTGTCTACCTTGCTACCATTGCCGCCGCCTACCTTGCTATTGCCACCATTGTCGCCACCTCGCCATCCATCACCATGCCGAATGTTGATGCCTTTATTTCTTCACTTGTTTTTGGTTCTGCGTCATCTACTGCTTCTCATACCCCTATGGTGATGGTTTATACTGAATCATCCACCAACCTACTCTTGGGATTCAAATTGAATGGATCCAACTATGCGATTTGGGCTTCAATGATCGAACTCTATGCTACTTCATAAGGAAAATTGGGTTACCTAACTCGTGACTCTAATGCCCTAGATTCCAAAAATCCATAATTTGGAAAGTGGAAAATTGATGATGCTATTGTGAAAAGTTGGACGATGTGAACAATGGAACCTAGTTTGTTGAATATGTTTCATACTTACCTACTGTCGTGCTCACATGGTTTTTGTGTTCTGCCTTACCTACTGTCATGCTCGCAGTTTGTGTTCTGCCTTGTTTACTACCGTGCTCACAAAGTTTTTGTATTCTGCCTTATCAACTGTTGTGCTCACAAGGTTTTTGTGTTCTACCTTATCTATTGTCGTGCTCATAAGGTTTCTGTGTTTTGCCTTATCTAGTACCATGCTCACAGGGTTTCTGTGTTTTGCCTTACATACTATCGTGCTCACACGGTTTCTGTGTTCTGCTTTTATGTGTTCTTCTATTATGTGTTCTTCTATGTGCCATATTTGTTAGAGTTTGTTAGTTGTTTCATTCGTGGTTTATGACAAGGCATTTTCTACAATTGTTCGATTGGTCAATGTCGAGTATGGTGTTCTATGACTCGCTTGTCAAGTTGGCCATGCGACAAAACTTTGCCCCAACTTGAGAGGGAGTGTTGACGAGTCCTTACCTAGTCCTATTGTAATAGATATTTATTTCCTATTGTAATTTAGATATATTTTCTATTTTATTTAGGGTTAACACATCTTTGTACTTGTATAAATACCTCCAAATTAGAGAAGAATAATAATATGAGCATTATCTGAATACTTGCCTTACTTTGTTTGAGATTTACGCAAAACTAATCCTCAAAGTCCCTACAGGACAAAGGTTGCAAATTTCTATTATCATTTGAAATTTCCCAAGTATTGAACAAACCAACGAAAATAGGATATGTGAAAAGGAATTAACTAATGATTTTCCTTTTCTTTCCATTTCTTGATATGAATAAATTTAGGTGAATTTGAATTTAATTAGGCGAGGGACTAAAAGTTGTATACTAGACTTGAAATTAAGGCTGGTCCTGAGATTTTACAGGCTCTATGCAAAATTAAAACTGGAGTCCTCATATAATTTAATATGAAAATACTAAAAAAAAGAAAATTTACCATGACTTAATGTCATAAAACAATTTTTTTTTCATAATTAAAATTCATCATCAATTAGCATATAATAACAATCACAAATTAAATTTATAATTTTTTTTAACATTTTTATTTGATAAAGTTAAATATTAGTATGTTCGGTCAAAAAATAAAAGTTCAAGATAAAGAAAAAGGCATGAATTTTTTTTTGGGTTTTGTTTTGAGTGGAAGAGAGTACTTTTTTTGTTTTCTTTGGGTGTGATGATATATAATGTTGCTGTTTAGTTGGATCGTTCCCCTTTGTTTTTTTTTTTTTTTTGTTTTGTTTTTTTTTAAATTTTGTTGTTTATAATGAAAAAAGAATAAAAATACCAATAGAATGATATCAATGAGACTCACACTTGGGCCTTGTTGCAAGGGATATGCACTAGAAACAAACTCCACCAATACACTTTGTTTCATTATATGCTGCATGGTGAAGTATATATACAGTTTTTATAATATTAAAATATATAATATAAAGTAAAAATATTTCGGGGCCGGTGCAGTAGTGCCACTTGCACTATGCCAGGGCCACCCTTGCTTGAAATCCACGTATTCTCTGATGTATACTCCCCTGCTTGAGTTTAACATATTAAGGACGGTGAATTATGATTGGGGAAAATTTTAAATTAGTAGCAGGTACTGAAATCAATATACTAAACGACACTAAGTGCCAGTTTGGCATTGCTTATTTGGGGTGATAAGTGATTTTTAAAAAATTTTGAGAAGCTCAACCCGTTTGGTAAACTGCGAAAAAATCACTTATTGTTAAAAATTGCTGTGAGAGAAAGCTATAAGGGAAAACAGCTAATGAGGTGCTTTCATTTTCTGATTATGCAGGAATCAGTTTCGAAGAGGTGTTGGGTTTAATGATTATGCAGCAATCATTTTCTGATTTTGCGTAAAATCAATACCAACAACACTTTTAACAAAAATTTTACCAAATGCCAAACCGCTTTATCTCACAGCTGATTTCTCTCACAGCAAATCTGACAGCGATTATTTTCACAGCACAGCAATGCCAAACTGGCCCTAACACAAAATTAATTTAACTTATCTACTTATCATCAGCCTTTCATATAAACAAAATAAAGAACAACATTGGTTAGTGCCATGGCGCCATTCTCCAACTCCAACTACTTCCTCTGTCTTCTTCTCTACATATCATCCTCTTCTTCATTAGTTAATGTCAAAGGCATCTTTTCCTCGCAACACACCATGAAGAAACATTGCTGAAGCCCCTTTCAACACTATTTTTATTTTGTTTTTCAGTTTCATTATTATCTTTGTCTTTGCCTTCCTGGCACCTCTCTCTGTGCTGATTTTTCTTTTTCCATATTTCAATTGGTGCCATTGAATTTTCATCTTTCTAATCATTCTTGTTCTGCAATCCGGTGCTGAGAGAAGATTTCTTGGAACCACTTTCCAATGGCATTGAGCAGCCAAAGGGCCTTCACTTCTGCTACTGCAGTTTGTCCAAGGAAATACCAAGTATTTTTGAGTTTCAGGGGTGAAGACACTCGCAGGGGTTTTACTGACTATTTATACAAACAGTTGGACTGGCGAGGAATTAGAACTTTCAGGGATGATCCAGATCTTGAAAGAGGGAAAGATATCAATCCGGAGCTCCTCACCGCGATTGAACAATCAAGGTTTGCAATCATAGTTCTTTCAACAAACTATGCTACTTCAAGTTGGTGTTTGCGTGAACTAACCCATATTGTTCAGTCCATGAAAGAGAAGGAGAGAATTTTCCCAATCTTTTATGATGTGGATCCCTCTGATGTACGACATCAACGGGGGAGTTATGGGGCAGCCCTCGTTAACCATGAAAGGAATTGTGGGGCAGAGAGAGAGGAGGTGCATGAGTGGAGAAATGCTTTAAAAAAAGTTGCTAATCTCGCTGGGTGGAATTCAAAGGATTATAGGTAAGCATGAAGCAACAACTGACACATAGCTAATAAGCCTCGACTAAAAAATATCGCGTTTCAGAATTTGCCATGCACTTTATTTATGACATATTCAACAACTGACACATATTCATCTGATGATTTTTTCTTCTTCTGTTTCTAGGTATGATACAGAGCTTATCAAAAAAATTGTTGATGCAGTGTGGGATAAAGTGCATCCCACATTTTCATTGTTAGATTCCTCAGAGTCAGAGATATTGGTCGGACTTGATATTAAACTAAAGGAAATAGATCTGCATTTAGATACAAAAGCAAATGATGTGCGCTTTGTTGGGATATGGGGGATGGGCGGAATGGGTAAGACAACCCTTGCTAGATTAGTTTATGAGAGAATTTCTCATAATTTTGAAGGTAGCAGCTTTCTTGCAAATGTCAGAGAGGTATATGCAACACATGGTCTAGTTCCTTTACAGAAACAGCTCCTTTCCAACATCTTGAGGGAAAAAAATATACAAGTTTATGATGCTTATAGTGGATTTACTATGATACGGAGGTGTCTATGTAATAAAAAGGTTCTTCTCGTTCTTGATGATGTAGATCAATCAGACCAACTGGAAATGTTGATCAGAGAAAAAGACTGCTTTGGTTTGGGAAGTAGAATCATCATTACAACTAGAGATGAACGTTTGTTAGTCGAACATGGGATAGAGAAAGTATATGAGGTCATGGCATTAACCCAAGACGAAGCTCTTTATCTCTTTAGTAGGAAGGCCTTTAGAAAAGATGACCTCGAAGAAGATTATCTAGAACTGTCTAAAAATTTCATAAACTACGCAGGAGGTCTTCCATTAGCTCTTAAAACTTTGGGGTCTTTTTTGTATAAAAGAAGTCGAGATGAATGGAAGAGTGCACTAGATAAACTGAAACAAGCTCTTGACAGAAAAATTTTTGAAATTTTGAAAATAAGCTATGATGGACTAGAGGAGATGCAGCAGAAAATTTTTCTTGATGTTGCATGTTTCCATAAGTTTTATGACAAGGAAAAAGTGATTGAAATACTAGACAGTTGTGGTTTTGTTGGCACACGTATTGTGATACATGTTCTTATTGAGAAATCTCTCTTGTCTATTTTAGACACGCATCTGTCCATTCATGATTTGATACAAGAAATGGCATGGGAGATTGTTCGTCAACAGTCTTTTGACGAGCCAGGTGGTCGCAGTCGCTTGTGGCTTCACAGTGACATCATTCATGTACTCACGAACAATACGGTAAGAAGTTGCACAAAAAATAAAATACCAAAGCCTTGGATAACATACTATAATTCCATTAATAACGATAATAGAGACTTGATTATGACACTAACTTCTCTTTTATTCCTATTTACAAGGGAACGGAAGCCATTGAAGGCATAGTCCTATGCTTGAGTGAATTTGAAGCGGCACACTGGAATCCTGAAGCATTCACTAAGATGTGTAAACTAAAGTTGCTCAAGATTAATAATTTGAGCCTTTCTTTGGGCCCAAAGTATCTTCCCAATTCCTTAAGGATTCTGGAGTGGAGTTGGTATCCCTCCAAATGTCTGCCACCAAGTTTTCAACCTAATGAACTTGCTCAACTTTGTCTGCAGCATAGCAAAATTGATCACCTTTGGAATGGAATAAAGGTAGACCTTTTTAGAGCTAGTTCTTTTCAATTTCAATAAATTTTGTAAGGTTCTTGGAAGTTATTATTATTATTATTTTTGTCTGAGTTCTTGGAAGTTAATTAATCTACCATTTTCATGTTTTGTACAGTACATGGTGAAGTTGAAATCTATTGATCTTAGTTTCTCCGAGAACTTGACAAGGACCCCAGATTTCACAGGTACTCAGAATCTTGAGAGGCTGGTTTTTGAAGGTTGTACTAATATTGTCAAGATTCATCCATCCATTGCCTCTCTCAAAAGACTAAGAGTTTTGAATTTTAAAAACTGTAAAAGCATTAAGAGTCTCCCAGGTGAAGTTGAACTGGAATCTCTTGAAACATTTGAGATTTCTGGGTGCTCAAAAGTGAAAAAGATTCCAGAATTTGTGGGAGAAATGAAGAATTTTTCGAAGCTTTCTTTAAGCTTCACTGCTGTTGAGCAAATGCCTTCATCAATGATACCTTTGATCCCGAGTTTGAAGGAGATTGATATGGGTGGAATTTCTATGAGAGATGCGTCATCCGCCCTGGTTCCAGTGAAAAATATCGAACTGTCTAGATCATGGCATTCTTTCTTCAGTTTTGGCTTATTTCCAAGAAAGAATCCTGACCCTGTGAGTCTGGTGTTAGCTTCCTTAAAAGATTTACGCTTTTTGAAGTTTCTAAATCTGAATGACTGCAATCTTTATGAAGGAGCAATACCTGAAGATATTGGTTTATTGTCCTGTTTAGTAGATTTAAATCTTGGTGGAAACCATTTTGTTAGCCTTCCTGCAAGCATCAGTGGGCTTTCTGAGCTTAGGACGTTCACATTGAATAATTGCAAATGGCTTCAAAAATTGCCAAGCTTTCCATCAAACAGAGGACCTGTAGGAAAAAATATCTTTAGTGTAGTAGACACGAATAATTGTACTTCCTTGAAAGTATTCCCAGATCCACCACGGATGTGCGGCATAACTCATTGTTGGATTAATTCTGTCAATTGCTTCAGTTTGGTTGACCATGAAGGTTCCAGTTTCATAATATATTTAACGGCGGTGAAGAAATTCCTTCAGGTACTTCTCCTTCTCCCTCTCTCCCTCCTTCCCTCTTTATTTATATCCTTCCTTTGGTGCAGGAAAGTCCTCGTTCTTTGTTCTTCTTCAGTGTTCTAATTCCTGGAAGTGAAATTCCTGAGTGGTTCAATAATCAAAGTGTGGGAGACCCACTAATGGAGGCTCTACCTTCGGATTCTAATAGCAAGTGGGTGGGGTTTGCTTTTTGTGCTCTATTTGTACCTGCTCAAGAAATTTCAGCTACTGCTACGAAACTTAATTATCTCAAATTTCAATGCATTTATGATTTAATTAACATATATCCGGGTCCGAGTTTTCGTATTGGGATAACGGATGTAGCGTTCGATCACCTTTGGTTGATCCTCCTGTCTAGGAAACATTTCTTTTGGGAACAAAAAGGGAGACGTGGGACCTATTGGAGAGAGAAATGCCGGGACAATAAGATTCAGTTTCAGTTCAACGTCGAAGCATCTGGTCGCGGAGAGAAGACATGGTTGAAGGTGAAGAAGTTTGGAGTCCGCGCACTGTACAAACACGACATGAAAGAGCTCAACCGAACAATGAAACAATATTCCAACAGAAAGAATTCTTTTTATGAGGACGTTACAGATTGTGATTTTGACAAATCAGACAAGGTACAAGGTGCCATCACTAAGCGAACACGTGAACAGTACTGTACTGAGACAGGACCAAGCGGTATTGGTACCCTTGGCAAAGAACTCTGCAAAAGAATGAAAGACTAAATGTCCAGTGCCTCAAAGGAGGACTTGAAAGGTTGGTATTGCTAACGCTTCCCATATTATCACATAATTATTATTTGTTTGTTTTTTTTTGTATGCGGACATTTTAGCATATATATGATTCACTCTCTTTTTTACCTCTACATATATTTCTAATTCATTCACATCATTGGTTCACTTTCCCATTATCTTATACAATACTAGAACAATTCAAGAACCTGTCATAGATGTGGTATATTTTCCACAAATTCATTCTTTCGCTTCAGTTTTTATCCTATTAGGTTGGACGAAAATATTTCTCCAATTATGTTATATTTAAATTCAATTGAAATGCATATATGCAGGATGGGTTGTACTAGTGTGTGTAGTCTTGTAAATCTTGTTTTGTTGTGGTTTGTATCATATTTGGAAAATAGACCAAAGTTGGTTTATTATTCAAATAACGTTACATAAAACCCAAGCCCGGTTTCATTTTTTACAAACCAATAAAACGGGCTTTTTTGGATATGGGCCATTAACTGGTAAAATCCACTTGAAGACCCATATCTCGAAAAACCTCAGCCTTAACCCACACTAAAGTTAGAAAAATGGGTAACCATTACCAGTTAACCCATGTGGTTTTCTGAAGGTAGGTTTTCACCAGTAAGAGTGACGTGACCGCCATCTCTCTCAGCAAGGAAGCAGGCTGACTGATTGACACCAAAACCAAGAGGAGCCATCTTCTGAATGGTTTTCTAGCTGTGAAAGGACGACAAATCAAAAGGACATCACTTGAAACTAGTATTTTCATCTAAGATACCTTTTCTCCTGCGTATGGATCGACTCACGAGGACATCAGACTTTGGATAACACTCAAGTATTCTCCTCTAGCCTTCACCGTCATCGTTGGAAAATTTTGCCTATAAATATAAAGGCTCAACAGCAGCACTCGAGTACTCGCTCTCCAAAAAAATCAAACGCAGTGTCTTGTAAACACTTGAACAAATTTCAGGCTTTTCAAACAGCCAACTTGCTACCCAGATAACTAGTTGACAACTCTTGTGCTTATCTTCCACTGCTCTGCCATATTCTTGGTATGATCTTTGTTAAGAAATTAGTCTAGTTTTCTTCTAAACAGCTAAAACTTGTAACATATTGGATAGAGAAATCTAAAATCTCTTCATTACTGTAATTTGTTCTTTAAAGAAACTAAATGGAGAAATCTTTAGTTTTGATCTTAACTCGTTATCATGCCAGGGTTGGATAGAGAAATCTCCAGCTTTTGTAACTTTGCTTTCTCTGCTATTTACCGTTCTTGCACCTTACTTTCCAGTCATTTACCTTCTTGCACTTTATTTTCAAATTTGTACTTTTCAAAGCAATATAACTATTCATTACTGGAACAGACCCAAAATAAGGGTTTTTAGGTCCAAATAGGGCTTTCTTAGCTCGAAAACAAAGGCTTATTCAGGCCCGAGTCAAACCATTGGGCCCGAATTAACTAAGTCCTAACCCAATCCAAGGTTATCTTAGGCCTGAATTAGGTTTATGAACTCAATCAAGGGAACATTGACCACAACATTGGATTTTCTGTTGGCTAGGTACTGTTCGTACTTTCCAAGCCATAGACGCACGATTGAAAGAATATTGAAGTCCTCTTAATTGAGGCATAGAAAAGAACTCATTTGAGCCAATACCCCCTAAAGCACAATGGCTTGATTAGAGGTCTAGAACAAGCGCAAACCCATCAAACAAGGCATTCTACATCACATATCCCAAGTCTATTAGGCTGGTCTCATCCCCAATAGTGGCACGCCTACGCAAACTACGAATTGGAATAGAAGAAGCAAGTCACCAGGGCCTAGCCCGCGCTCGCTAGCCATTTTCAACCTGACCCAACTCTCAATTTTGCCCGAAAATTGTACGAGTCTTCGCACGAACTAGAGATCCAATTGGGGCATTGGTGTTTACCCAACCTTCTCCCTCTTCCGACTCCATCCTTGAAGAAGGAACGACATTAACTGGGCGTGGACATCTATTTATGCTTAAATTGTTTCTTTCTTAAGCTAACTTCCACATGTGCTGTATAAATTCATTAGGTTAATTAGTGAAGCACCATTTGAGAGATTGACATTAATTGGGGCGTGGACAAGTCAATCAACTCCAAAATGACGTGTGCTGTAACTCTAAAAAGCTTTTAATTTTATTTTTTTAGTAATTTGTTAGAGCACCTTGACCTATTTGTAATGATAAAGGGCAAGCAAAGGGCAAGGGCTGTTACTATTCATGTGAATAGTACTAGCCCTTGCAAAAGCAAGGTGTGTTTCCACCCATTGCCATGGCAAATGGTAACTACTATTCACCTTAACTTATTTTTATTTTTATACTTAAACAATTAATTTGGAAAAGATTTTCAGTTGCCACGTGTCAATTTTTATTACAAAATTCTCATCTCATAATTCAGATAAAATTTTCTAATAAGCTTTTTGGTTGTCATGTGTCCATTTTTATTATAAAATTCTCATCCCATATTTCAGATAAGATTTTCAGTTTCCACGTGTACATATTTATTATAAAATTCACATCTCACTCATCATACAATTGAAATACCTACTCACCCATCATACAATTGAAATACTCTCAGTCTTCATGGTCCGACACAATCGAGTACAAGGACGACTCAATAATTGGCGGGGGAGGTTTCACCGGATCACGACGTGGGGGAGTATTTTACTTCGGAGGACGTAATAGTGCCATTACTTCCGACATGGAACGCAACCGACTACGGGCAGTTTTCTCTTGAAGAGCCATGTGGAATGGTTTTCTTCTTTTTTGTTTTGCCTTGAATAATCTATTAAAAAATGAAATTGAAAATGCTAGAAAATATAAATTAAAAAAATACATTAAATTGAATAAAATGGAAACTAGAAATTTTTTACCTCGTCGCCAAGATTTTGATCGCTTCGAACGTTTGTCCACTACCCTCCGGTTTCGATGGAAGAGGCCATATGTATTTTTACACAAATGAAATTTAGTAGTAGAAACTTTGGTCTGGAAAGTGAATAATATTGGAAGGAGAAGAATTTGTATGAAGATTTGGTGTGAAAATTGAATAATATTGGTAGATATTTATAGAAAAAAAAATTCATAATTTTTTGGTATTTTTTTCAAAATTTTTGAACAAAATCAAAGGCAGCCATTGGATTGGAAGACAAAAAACAATTGAACAACTCTGGACAAGCCACGTGGCTTCTAGCCATTGACGGAAATCAAGGCTAACGCCAGCCTCGCGTCAACGCGTGGAAGTTTTTAAAAAAAAATTTCCCGTTGGCGCATGCACCATACGCGCCAACGGGAAAAAAAATTTAAATCCAGGCGTTAACGCTAGGTTGGCATCAACAGCCCTTAGGCAAGAGCTTGAGCTCATTTTGCCTTTGGGCTTGTCCGGTTTGTTGGGACCCACCTCCTGCTTGGGCCACACCTGTGCGTTGCAAGCTCGAAATGGGGCTTGGGCTCCCTCTTGCCCAAGCCAAACCCTTGTTGTGGAAGTGCCCCTATAACCCTTTCAATGCATTAGACACCAAAATGAGATTGACTGGAGAGACACCATTTTCCCTGGCCTATGGGATCGAAGCAATCATTCCCCCATACATCACCGTCACTTCCATGAGCATTGAGATGGGCAGTCTTGTCCAAAACTGTAAGTAGATGAAAATCAACCTTGATCTGCTCAAAGAAGAACGAGAAAAGACCATTGTTCGAGTTGCAGCCTACCAGCAGCAGTTGACGTCTTATTACAATAAGAAGGCAAAGATCAGACAGTTTCGGCCCGGAGACCTCGTGCTCAGAAAAACTTTCATCACAGCACCGAGGCAAGGGTCAAAGAAAATGAAGCCAAACTGGGAAGACCCCTACGTGATCAGCCGATCTGGGGGCAGAGGAAGTTACACCCTTGACACTCTAGAAGGGAAAGAAATTCCGAGACAATGGAATGCCCACCACCTTCGGAGATATTATCTATGAAACTCCTCGCTTACCAACTCGGCTCCTAGCAGGCGACGAGCCTCCCGTACTTCCATTAAAGACAAACTGTTTTTGATGTTACCTTTGTTGTTGATTTCCTTTATTCAATAAAGCGATGTATTCACACCAACATCGATACAAGAGCTATATATCTTTTCAATCTGAAATCTAGCTTTATCTACAGTGATGATTAAAAAAAAGAGATATTTAGATATATACCCATTTTTAGTACTAGTGATATAAATAAACCATACATCATTTAATTTCTATAAACAAACTAAAAAAAATCCCAAAAAATGATAGTTGACCTTATTGAATTTAATTTTTATTATTAAATTACTTTGACGCCCTATTGAGTGTTTTGGGTTTTTTTTTAATGAGGTTTTGGATTGGGCTTATTTTAAGAAATCGATGGTAGTTTTGTAATTTGTAGGAAGTTTGAAGCCTATTTGTTATGTTGTAAATGGACTTTGGCATATTTCTAAAGTTCATTTCATATATGTTTTTTTATTTTATAATTTGGGTCCCTATATTGGGTATAATAGTGAACCCTCCCTACCATTAAAAAAAAAAAAAAACCCACCAAAAAAAAAAAAAAAAAAAAAAAAAAAAAAAAAAAAAAAACAATACCTATATATTAGAGTCTAATTTATTAAGATTTCCTTCTTTTTCAGTCTAGCTATTCTCATGTTTTTGAAGAGATGAAAAATTACGTCATATGCGTTGGAGATGAATACCTTTCCTTCAAGCAATCGTCACAAATAATGCTTCCCCTCGAGTTCTACATATCAGTTGGATGAAATTCACTTCACAAATAATGCATTGTTATCTGTTTCTCAGTTATGCAAAGACAACAACTGAGTCTAATGTGTATATGCAGGGCAAGGCAACAAACAAGTACACTAGTTATATACCAAGGAAAGAGTAGCTGAGGGTTATCACAATCTGCCAAGCAATCTCCGCCAGATTCCTTTACTCCAAAGGCTTTACTTGGACAACAAGTTAAATCTTCACTGCACATCTTCGATTGGAACATGTTTCTAATGCCATTTTGACTCAAATGCTCAAAGATTCAAAGATCTCTTTTTCTACATAGGAGTTGTCTAGTCTCTGTGAGTCTTGTTTAAGTGTCAAGATGCAGGGGTGTGGCTGTACTAAAAGGAGTAACATAAAATAGTACATTATTATATAAATAGATGGTTTGATTATGTTAATAATGCATTTTGCCTTCAATTGCATCGCATCTTCTAAAATTCATAGTTTTGTAAGTATGAGCTAATACTTATAGGGTTACAAAATGTTCTTTGTGCAAACTAGCTAGGAGGAAACATATACTGAGTAGTATAAGCCACTTCAAAAGTCTATATAACATTGTACTTAGGCTAATCATGTGTTACTTTTGCTTCATTCGTAAATTGATTGAAAATATACTCCTTTGGCCAACTTAACTACTCTAAGGAGGAGCATACGTGGGTTAGCCAGTCGGGCAAGGCATTGTCTGTCATATTGTACTTTGAGTTTGATCTCCCTTTATATACATTAGAGTAATTTACAATATTGCTTTGTCAGAAGAAAAAAAAAATAACTACCCTAGGAAGACAATAGTATATTGGACCATATACCACTTGTTGGCCCATGTTGTCTCTTCGAGTAATTTTTAGACTCATTAAGTGTTACATTCACCCAAGTAGTGGCTTAATGAAATTCAAAAATAGAGTCTCAAATTTATTTCTGCTTCCAAACTAATGGTGTCATCAGTGACGGACACAAGATCCGAACTCCGTAGGGTCATAGTGTAAATGTTCGAAAGAAATTTTAAAAATGGGTTATTTTTCTTATCTATTTTTTCTCTTCCAAATTTTATTCCTTTATTAGAAAAATATACTTTGAATGATTTCAATTTGTCAATTTTTTTATGTATTTTTTGAGTGTTTCAATTCATAAAATTTCAAACCAAACCTATGCCAATTAACCAAAAAACGAAAAAACCACAACCGCCTAATCAACAAAAATAAGCAAAAACTTCATCCAACAAATAAATCTAATACATATAAATCATAAAATTCATCCAATCAATTATAAATTTGATTTCCATTAAATTAAAACCAGTATACATGCATTTTGTTCTAATTACAATTTTTTTTTTTTTTTTTTTTTTTTTTTTGGGGGAAATTCTTAAGTGTTAAATAGTGGTAATAAAACCATATTGTGGTCATCCTTGGATAAAATTACAAGTAAAGTTCATCATTCATGGATTCTAATTTCTAAGCCAGTCATTGGAATTTGAAAGGAAGAAATAATAATAAATGAAATAAAGTTGACTTGTTGATTCCAACAACAAAACAGGTTAAAAAGATTAAAAAGAAAACAGTGTTATAAACTAAATAGATTGAGATTGAGAAACTGAAAGATTGAGAGAATTGAAAGGGAGAGAAATCCTAGTTAGGGAGTTTTATTCAGATTGATCAATCATTACAATGAAGATGAGGCCTCCCTTTTGTTTTTTTTATGAACAGAGGCCTCCCTTAATAGAAGGGAGGAAACGTGCTCATCAGGTATTGTACAGGGAAAAGGAAAAACATGTGGGCTCCACATGCTTGTATTTACAACAAACAGTTTAATGTTGGAGAATGGAGGGATATGAAAGGGTTTTTAATTTTAAAAATTTTCCTGGGCCAAAACGACGTCGTTTTGCCCAGGTGTTTTAAAAAAAAACAGAAGCGCATTGCGCTGCCTCTTCTTCCTCTTGCGCACAGCTTCCTCCCTCTTCCTCTCAGGCAAAACATCAAACATTTGGAGGGCAATCCAAGGGGTCACACAGCCAGCTCAAGTGGACCTCCAATCCTATTTCTATGGCTTCCATAGGGTCGTTTGACCCCAGTGACCCCACTGTGGGTCCGTCCCTGGGTGTCATGAACTTGAGCTTAATATCATCAACCAACCTTATTTGTACACATTTTGAAAAAGAAATTATGTTTAAAATTATATTATTTTATTTTTTGATATAAGCGATATGGAGAGAGGGGAAATTGAACCTAAAACCTTGGATGCAGGGAGTAACGCGTCTAGCCTAGCATAAAGGGAGACTTAGTGTCTCAAATTCAATTTTGCTTCCAAACTAATGGTTTCGTGAACTTGAGCTTAATATCATCAACCAACCTTATTTGTACACTTTTTGAAAGAAATTATATTTAAAGTTTTATTTTTTTATTTTTTGATATAAGCGATCACTATTACAAAACTGGTCAACAAGCATGAACATAAGAACACAAATACAGTATTGTGTCCTTCTTCCTAATATTAAGCACAAGTCTTTCTTATACGTGCTATTTTCATATAAAACATAAATAATTGTGCCAATTTCGTGTACACAGAGCACAGTTTTTAAACTGTATACATTGATTCACGTGCTATCTCTCAAATTCGTAATTAAAAAATTAGTTTTTGTTTCTGTATCCGACAAATATTACAATACAAAACACATGATTTTACAATATAAGACACTTTTTATTTTGCTTTGTTTGAAAAACGGTGCTTCCTTTTAACTAAAAAAACAGTGCTTCCTCTCATCAGTCCAACCATAGAAAATATCTCAACGCACCCCTTCTCCATTTTCACGCCTTCTCCCTTGAAAACTTCTCACACACACTCTCTCTCTCTCTAGTTGCTACGACCACCAACCGAGAATCACAATCGGCACCGCCTCCATGTCGCCTCCACAGCATATATCAGATCCACGCCACTGCCTCAGGTACGGACAAACATCTCCCTCAGCCTCTTCATGTTCGACGCCACTGCCGTTCACGACCTCCACCTAAACCTGAACCTCCAGATTTATAACTCCTCTCCTCTAAAGATCTATCATCTGTACTGGTAAACCCCACCACCATCTCATCTCTCCTCCCATTCTACCATTCTGATTTCATTGGGTTTCATAGCTTATCCTTTATAATTATATATTTGGGAAATTGACTTACGTAGTCACTAAAGATAAAGAGATTTTCTATTTAAACCCCACACTTCTCTTAGTTCACCCCATGTTCTAAGTTCACCCCAACTTTTAATTTAAATTCTCACAATTTCTAAGTAAACCCCACTATCTTCCCAAACTACCCTTAAATACACCCCAAGCTGAAAAAATAAGAAATAAAAGAGATTTTCTATTTAAACCCCACAAGCTACCTTTAGAGCCATGTCAATAAACTCTACAGTCCACACTAACACGGTAAAACAACTCCAGAGATAAATTCATTTGACTCTTCCCTTATAAATTGGGACTGGTGTCTGAGCTTTTTATTCAGTTCTCCACAAATCTTTTGCATCATGGGTTGGTGAGAATATGTATAATTTCTGGCGTAGCCTATGGGTGTTATGGAATTGATTTTAATTTCCTCTTATGCCTGGGTTTATCTGCATTGAGATCTTTATGATTGGAGAATGAATATTTTTTTTTGTCTTTGTTTAGATATGCATCAAGTCAATATAACCAGTGTTTATTTCTTCTTTTGTCAATCTTCTAAATTGTTTCCCTTCAATGCGTTCCTATCATAATATCGTCAGTGTCTTCTGCAGGTAATTGGTGTTCTAGATGTAAGTAGAAGTAAGGAGAAGGGATATGAGACGATTGTAAAAGATGATTTCTGTGATGAGGTTTGGCATAAGTCCCAAATTCCCATTCTTAATTGTCGAATCAGAATGCTTATTTGCCTTGTGCATCATCTCATCATTGTTGTTCTTGTTGTTTTTAATTTTCTTTTTTACATTTTGTTTATGAGGCTAGTGTGGTGTGGCGTTTCTGTTAGTTCAATATTGAGATGGTAGAGTTTATTTTGTGACTTTTATGCGTCTTGATAGATCTGTACAGCTGCCTATTGTCTGAATTTAAGTTATTTCTAATGTTAAATTGACAAATAATTCCCTCATCTTCTTGTATAGTTAGATGAGCTAAGGCAAATATATGAGGAATTGCCTGAATTTCGGGAAGAGGTAACTGTTATACAATTCATTTATACATCTAATTAGAAAGTAGATTGAAGTCTGGGCGAACCGAAGGATAAAGTTGAGTAGAGAGCATGCTTGTTTGATTTCCTCAAAACAAAAAAGACAATAACAAATTCATGGTTGATAATAGCATGCCTGTAACACGTAGGATGCTGACTTAAAACGGTTGACCAAAAGACTAAGACTTGCCTCACTTCCTCTTCCATTCCCTAGCCTATAATACATAGACCATGTCTACTGCTGAAGCAGCAACCGAAAGGCCAGATACGTTAGCCTTTTGGTTGCTAAACAAACTCTACTTATAAATAAGTGAGGAAAACATATCATGTATTTTCTGAAAGATGGTGTAATCTGATAATACTTTATAAAAGTTTACAAAACCCAGTAAGTCAGATGAAAATAAAACTATTGTGACAAAACATCTAATAGTAAGGAATCAATATACATCAAGATGTACATCAAATGAACCAGTAAGCTCTTTCCAATTGTCAATGCGATCTCGATATGGACTATACCAATCAAATGCTTTGAGGTTGGAAATATCAAGCCAACGATTGATAACAGGTGGCATAGGATGGTGTGGTTGCAAGTGTAGCTGTCAAAATAAAATAAAGTTATCAAATGTATAGTTAAAACAACAAATAACTTTCACAAGGCAAAACTGGCAGCTATAAATAGAAAAAATTTATTATAATACCTGCACAAAGTGTTTTTCAACCAATCTGATGGAAATTTCCCGACGTTGATATTCAGGCAAAGAATTGTATCAATATCAAATGTAATGTACTGTACCCAAAAAAAAAAACCACAGTTGCATCAATATCAAAACACAGTTGTATCAATATCAATATAGGATAGGACCATGAACTCAATTTTACTGATTACGTGAAATTAAGGCTACACCTACAATGTAATGTATGCATATATAATCATAATGGATCTTGTCATTGGTTCCTTTTTAATAAAGAAGTGGGCTTTTATCTTTTGGATTTGATGCTTTGACTTTTCGACTTGCACAGGCAGACTTATGTAATGTACAGTACCAAAAACCCAACTTAACAATATTCCCATGAATCTCTTGGTTTCGTGCCTTTTGAATGTGTATGTCAATTAATATAATATGAAGAAAAATTCAAGTTACCCCATACTTTCTAGAGAAAGAGAACAGTTTTACCAAAACATCATGTATAAATTTTAAATCAAAAATCAAAACAATCAAGCAATCAACAGCCAAGCAAAAAAAAAAAAAAAAAAAAAAAAAAAAAAAAAAAAAAGCAAAAAAGAAAAAAAAAGAAGAGAGATAATAATACAGATGAAACATCATCAACACAATCTTTCCATCAGCTTTTCGCGCAGATTTCAAAGTGGTAGGCTCGTCAATGTTCAACGTCTTTAAAATAGAAAAGCAATCTGGCATATGATGTAGAAGAGTTTGTATTTTTTTAAACTTAATTTGAAGAGTTGTGGGGTGTGTGGGGTGTGTTGGGGTGTGTGTATAGATGTATTAGGGTTAAGTATTAAGTTGAATGACTTTTTTTTGTCTTTCTATACAATAATTAAACTTACAACTTAATGATTTAAATATTGGGGTGAACTAAGAGAAGTGTGGGGTTTAAATAGAAAAAATCAAGATAAACCTTAATCAGAAATAATCACTTTATAAAACTTAATCACAAATACTCACTTTCTAACTTGAAAGTACCAAATTACCCTCCATATAAATACTTCAATATTCACCCTCTCAAAAATTTATTTCTGATATGAACCCAACTCTCTAGCTCTTCTCTCCTTGTCGCACGTAGAGCATCTGAGACCAGCACCTTAATTCAAGAGGAGATCACGCCCACCCCTCAAAAGTCTACACAAAGAAAAACATAAGGAATAGAAAAGGACGCATCAACAATAGCAACCCGCTAGACCCGTTGCCAGCAGGTGCTCTCTTCTGATCCTTTGTCCCTTTGAGTTCTAAGCTAATTTTCCCCCTTCTTTAATACCCAGGAATCATTTTGCAAAGTAACACAACAAATAAAAATCAAATCTTGATTTTCTTTAGCATAGAAATAGGTCAGTTAGGTCAGTTTTTGGTTCAATTTTGATTTTTAGGGGTTTGGCTTCTAATCCTGTTTGTTTGAAAGGAAAGGAAATAAGTTTTTGGAAACAATTTCACGAGCAAATAATTTGCAATTTGAGAGTAAAATGATTGTTTTTTATGTAATTCATTCTATTTTGAATTTTGAAATAGGTTTCATAGCTCACTTTATACATCATACAAGTTCACCAGTTCTGCATTGGTTTCATTGCTTTTGGCTTTTTGAACACTCCCGAGAGTGCACTAGTAAGGGTGATGAAGAATTTTATAGGCTGCTTCAAGACCAATGCATGGCTTTGTTTTGTAATTGCCAATATATATGTATATATGCCAATAAATTTGATGGTATGCAACCCTTGTTTGTAATTTTGAGTTTTAAGATATTTGTCCCCTTCTTCAATACCCATAAAGCATTTTGCGTAACACCTCGACTCCAAATTTATTCCTATTTTAATTAAATTAGAGAATTATTAATTTACTCTTGGGTTAAGGGTAATTTTAGTCATTTTCTTATCCGGAAGGATTTCGGGACCACGAGTGGTTTGGTTGCGTAGGTGGTACTGAGACGAAATCGTAGACAGGCGGTAGGCTTGAATCGGAGTTGTAACGAAGTTTTGGCGAGCAAATTAAGCTCGATGGCGGAACCGTAATTAATTTGAAAAGAGTTGGGGGTAAAATCAGATTTTTCACTTTTACCCCCACACTTTCTCTCTCTCTCTCTCTCTCTCCCGATTTTCCCCAGCGCGCAGAACCCTCCCCCTCCCGAGTTACTGTTCACCGAATCGAGAAAACCCTCACAGTCGTCACGTCCGGCCATCTCAGCCCTCGAGACCAGTCCCGTTCGACTCGTCGTGAAGTCCCGATCAAGACCCACCCAATTTCCTTGCCGGAAAGCCGGAGAATCGTCGACGGTATCGACTGGTTCAAACCGGAAGTTTCTGATCGTTGCGCCGCCGCCTCCGCCGTCTGTTTCAGGTAAAGTTGGTGAGTTTTCTTCTCCTTTTTACGTATTCTAGCTGACTGTTGTTTAGGTTTGGATCGATTTTGAGGTTTGGAACCGAATTGGAAACCTAGGTTTTGGCCGGTTTTCAATTTGAAATTCCGGCCAGTTCCCGTGTGAATTGGACCTCGTGGTAGTTGAATAAAGTGATCCTGACCTTGAGAAGAAGCTAGGGTAGGAAGGGTGAGCGTTGGTGTGGAGATTTTCCGTCGCCGGAAATTCCTCTACACACCCGCGCGCTGCCGGCGCGTGTGGCGGCGCGTGGGCAAGGCTGGTGAAGTTGCTTTTTATCCTGAAGAGATCCTTAGGTTGCCACGAGTGCGTAGGATTTCGTGGATCTCAATTTGGATGTCGTTTGACTATCGAACGGATTTCGCATATTGAGCGTTATTCGGGTTCGATAAGTTCTAATTGTCGGATCGTTTCCAAATTGAAGTATGTTGATTTAGGTACTCTTAGAATCCTATAGGAATTCGTGGATCGTGAATCGGAGCCCCGGATGTTCCGATTCAATAATTCAAAGTTTGTGGGATTAACGATAACCGTAGGATGGGAAGCGATTCCCAAACCTGTAACCGGACCTTAGGATATCCTATTGGATGTACACGCACCGGGATCTTGGGGATTTAAGTGTTCTCTTTTGTGAATTCCCGTTTCGGAGTGTATTATATTAATCAAGGGTTCGTATCTCGAAATAGGTACTTCGGTCGATCGTTCGCAGCAGGCAGGACCCTCTCGGGGCCGGGCAGCGTGGGATTACCTGTGAGTGGACTTTGTTTTCAAGCATTTGCATGGTTTTATTGATAAAAGATTTGTGCATATGTTTTAAATGGAAATGTGATTTATTAAGTATTTGGTTGATGACTTTGGATATTCATATACGTATTGACAATATATTTTGAGTATGGCTATGTTTGAGCATTATGGATATGTTTATATGGATTGTGGGATGTCTATCTATATTGCCTATGTATGGAGTATGAGGAGTTGTGGTTATGAGATTGTGGAAAGATATGAGTTTGAGGGATGGTTGTGAGATGTATGAGTATATTAGGTGAGTACCATTCCCTGGTTACTAGGCTTCCCACACATGGCGTTGGCAGTGCCGGTGGGGTGGGAAGGCCATGAGATTGCTGGTCTCATACATGGCGTTGGCAGTGCCGGTGTATGGGAAGAGTATGTATATTGCTTAGTATCATCACACATGGCGTTGGCAGTGCCGGTGGGGTGATGATACTGTCTGCGCGCGTAGGACTTGATATGAGATTTGTGAGCTACACGTGTCGTTGGCAGTGCCGGCGTGTGAGCTATGGAGTTCCGTCCCCCGGTTGGACTACTCATCCCTGGACGCGGGTTCATGCCCGAAAATCCTGCGTACCAGCCAACAATCCCCCGGTTGGATTGTCTTCCCCGGTACATTAGTATGGAGAGAAGTATACGTTATATTATAGATATATATACTTATACATGTATACATATGTATGGGTTGGTGAGAGTTGCATACTTTTGGGAATGGAGTTGTGGATTGAGATCTTTGAGAGTCATTGGACTTTGAGATTTTATGTTTGAGTATTTGATTTATGGATGTGGAAACTGCATGCTTGAGCATTATTTTTACACGGTGGGGTTACTATGTTGTTTTAAATGCAAACTTTATTTTTGTCCACTCACATATTTCTGTTTTGCGCCCCCCAGGCAGTAGTGGCTTTTGGAAGCGCTCAAGCAAGTTGCGAGCTCCAAACTTTTCATCTGTAGATAGGATTCGTGTAAATTCCTTCTACTCTACTGTTGTGGTAAACAAATTCTGTTAGATGCTCTGTTATCGCCCATGTTAGGTTGTTACTGGAGGCCAGAGGCCATTTTAGTTTGAATTGTTGTATGTTGAAAGCATGCTGGCAGTTGGGAATTATATTATGTAAATTCGCAGGTTGAATGTTGTTGGGCTTGAGCATTTTACAGGGGAGACTCTGCCAAAATTTTGGTAGGATGTCTTGGGTTTTTAGTAAGTGGGCCCGGCATCGATGTGATGTCGGCAACAAAACGGGGTCCGCCCCGGTTTCGGGGGAAATTCCGGGGCGGGTCCTGTCAGCTTGGTATTAGAGCATTAGGTTCATTTTCCTTCGACTTTTGCACTTTTGCTGCATTGTTGATCTAATGAGTTTATTGTTTCTTTGTGTAGAACCATGTCGACTCGTCGACCAAGAACGCGAGGTCGTGGTCAGAGATGGGGGCCAAATCCTCCACCACCATCTCCGTCACCACCTCCTTCGCCACCAGTTCCATCTCCTCCACCATCTCCACCTGCCGGAGATAATGCCTTGGACTTGCGCTAGGTGCTGAGCCAATTTACGCGCACGATGACTACCGCCTTGCGGGGGAGGCGTAGCACAGAAAGTTCTGAAATCAAAAGGGTGAAAGAACTTGGAGCCAAAGAGGTTAGTGAGGTTAGTTTTTCCCTCAATTTAGATGCTTAAGTGTGAAATTTTAGGTCTTTGAATTGGATTTGACTGACATTCTGGGTTAGGTTAGTTTTGCTAAGAACTTAAGTTTTCTATTTTGATTTCTAATTTGGTAATGTAAAGAAATGAGTATACCTTATGATGGGGATGCAAATAGATTGATTTATTAATGTTATTTGCAGAAATGGAGACTGTTGGCATATTGGTATTCTACAACGGAAGCTGGGTTCATAAGGATAACATTGAGAGTTATGAAGGTGGCGAGGCTAAAGGCATAACAGTATCACGGAACGTAACCTTTTCTGAGCTTGTTGACCGCATTTATAAGATCACGAATGCAGATCTCAACAAATATAGTCTCACACTGAAGTATTCAGTTCCTCTATCATCATCTGCCTATAAGCACCTAAAGGTTGAAGACAATGATGACGTTCAATATTTTCTGAAGTACAGCACGAACGTTATGACCTCTAGAGTAACCCCTTTATTAGCAACCCTCAAAGTTATATAAGGACATGGTATTCATGGCTGCAATGGCATTGTAAGCATTGGGAATAGCAATGCTCCCTTTGCAGTTGTTGTGAGAGATAGGAATGAGGTAATTGGGGATAGTGGAACTGAAAATGGTGTAACTAGTTTTAATTGGAAAGATTGGGTTGAAGATGTTAATTTTGAATGTGTTGAAAACATAGTCGCAGATTTTTGTGTACCTAGGAATGAAGAGGAAGCGTACTCTGCACCAAACGTGCATCCTCATCGAGAAAGCAATTTCCAAGCCTCCATGGTGCAGGTTACACAAGTGCAATCTGAAAATCAGCAACAATCAAGTTGGACTCAAATGCATACAAGCCAGGTTCATTTGGTGCATGGTAAGAGTGTGGAAGATATTGATTATGGTGGAGGTCTTTCTTGCATAAATTGGGAAGCAAATTTTAAGGTTGGACGAGTTTTTCCAAATAAGATTGCCCTTATAAAAACCTTATGTTTAGCAGCAGTCAGAGGCTACTTTCGATTTAGAACAATTCAATCTGGGAAACATAGGTTGTGTTCGCTGTTGGCAACTTCTTTGTCCTTGGCGACTTCGGGCATATAAAGTTGGATTACATGAGTTTAGGGTTGTTAAATACGATCCATTTCATGAATGTGATCTAAGGTATCTTAGTAGTCACCATCCTCAAGCTAGTACAGGATTGTTGTCTGACTCTGTGAAACGTAGATTCAAGGATTCTCGCACCATTTATACTGCAGGTGATATCATCAAAGATATGCGACAAAATTTTGGTGTGACCATAAGCTACTCTAAAGCTTGGAGAAGCCGAGAGTTAGCTTTAAAGATAATTAGAGGGTCTGCAGAAGAATCATATGCTCTTCTCCCTTCCTATTGTTATGAATTGGAGCGTACAAATCCTGGAACTTTGACATACATTGAGACTGATGCAGCCAACCACTTTTTATATTTTTTTTATGTCAATTGGTGCATGCATAAGAGGATTTAAGTGCTCAATGCGTCTTGTGATTGCTGTTGATGCTACCCATTTGAAGTGCAAGTACAAAGGTGTTTTGTTTGTTGCCACCGCATTTGACGGAAATCGTAATATATATCCTCTTGCCTTTGGGATTGGAGATTTAGAGACGGATGCGGCTTGGGAGTGGTTTTTCACAAAACTACATTGTGCAATTGGTGATTGCTCGAATCTTGTTGTCATATCTGATCGAAATCTTAGCATAGAAAATGGGTTGAAAAGAGTTTTTCCTGAGGCAGCACATGGTGTTTGCTTTTATCACTTGAAGGGCAATATGAAAGCCTCATTTAAGTTGAAGAAGCGGGATCCGATATTGGGGTTTTTTGTGCGGGCGGCTAAGTCTTACCGTCTAGCAGAGTTCAATCGTTATTTCTCCATGATAAACAATGAGCGAGTGCAAACTTATCTAGTACGTGCAGGGCTCCATAAGTGGTCTCGAGCCCATTGTGATGGACGACGATATAATGTCATGACAACTAATATTGCAGAGTCCATTAATTCAGTTCTTCGTTTTGCAAGGATGCTTTCGGTGGTACACTTGATTGAGGAAATTAGGAATATGCTTCAGAATTGGTTTAGTCAATGTCGAGATTTGTCAATGAAATGTAAATCTATGTTGTGCCCTGATTTAGGTGAAAAGAAGTTGAGGAAGAGATTAGACGCTGCTTCGAGGATGAATGTGGTTAAAACCAATGATATGGAGTATAATGTGCTTGATGGTGATATGAACGGTCTCGTGCAATTGCAAAACTATAGTTGTACGTGTAGGAAGTTTGACTTAGAGCAACTCCCGTGCAAGCATGCTATTGCGGTATGTCGGCACTTGAAATTGAACCCATACTCATTTGCCTCTTCGTATTACACTCGAGCTACATGGGCAGCTGCATATGCTGAATCCATTTATCCTGTACCACCTCAAGGGACATGGGTTATTCCCGAAAATGTCCAAAATGTAAATCTCCTCCCTCCTATTTCAAAGGTTATGCCGGGCCGTCGTAAGACGCAAAGAATACCTTCTAAAGGAGAGGACTCGCAAGAAAGAAAATGGTCAAGGTGCGGTGTGAAGGGCCACTATCGAAGTACATGCAAAGAAGTTATTCCCGTCACTAACAAGAAGCAGATCATTTAGATATTACAATTGTTTAGTTTGTATGTCTTATTCCATTAAGTGGTGATATTTGCTACCTAACTTTATGTAAAATTTGTGTTCCTAACATGTCGCTATTTTTGTTTTTGGAAATAGGTATCCTTATAGGTACCCAATTGTATAGATCATGATGCAGTTATTTATAACATTTATTGAATGTGTATGTATGATGTTTATGTGCATGATTGGTGTAGACACGTAAAACAGGTGGCTAGAAATTTAAATTGAACTGTGGTGCAATACAAGGGCAGTGGAATAAAGGGGCAATACAAAGAATTCATAGTCTAACTACAATTTGTTTGCCAAGACATACATTAAGAAAAAAAAAGTGCTAAGACTGCAATAGAGCAACGATAGGAACACAATAAAAGGGCAATAAGAAGGCAATACGTAAACCTGGAAGTCCAACTTTAGCTCTATAATTGTCAAGACAGAGGTGAAAAAAGAGTTAAAACAGCAATAAAGGTACAATAGGAAAGCAATATAAGGGCAATAAGAAGGCAATACTTAAACTTAATAGTCTTTCAACTTTGTAATTGCAAGACAGAGGTGAAAAACAATGTGCTAAAACAACAATAGAGGAGCAATAGGAACACAATAAAAGGGCAATAAGAAGGCAATACGTAAACCTGGAAGTCCAACTTCAGCTCTATAATTGTCAAGACCGAGGTGAAAAAAGAGTTAAGACAACAATAGAGGTACGATAGGAAAGCAATATAAGGGCAATAAGAAGGCAATACTTAAACTTGATAGTCTTTCAACTCTATAATTGCAAAGACAACAATAGAGGAGCAATAGGAACACAATAAAAGGGCAATAAGAAGGCAATACGTAAACCTGGAAGTCCAACTATAGCTCTATAATTGTCAAGACAGAGGTGAAAAATGAGTTAAGACAACAATAAAGGTACGATAGGAAAGCAATATAAGGGCAATGAGAAGGCAATACTTAAACTTGATAGTCTTTCAACTCTATAATTGCAAAGACAACAATAGAGGAGCAATAGGAACACAATAAAAGGGCAATAAGAAGGCAATACATAAACCTAAGTCCAATTTTAACTCTATAATTGCAAAGAGAGGTGAAAAACAAAGTGCAAAGAAGGCAATACGTAAACCTCTTAGTCCAACTTTAGCTTTGTAATTGTCAAGACAGAGGTGAAAAACAAAGTGCTAAGAAGGCAATACGTAAACCTCTTAGTCCAACTTTAGCTTTGTAATTGTCAAGACAGAGGTGAAAAAATAGTTAAGACAACAATAGAGGCATAATAAGAAAGCGCAATACATAAACTTGAGTTTACATTGCGAGGCTACTTATTAGCTAAACATATACAGATGCAGTTTCTCTATCCACTCTAGTTTCATGGTTACTAATTCATGAAACCACAACTAATAAATAAGGAATAGCTGATCACATCAAAGCACAACTAATATCCAATTCCACTCCTATTACAACAATGTTTATGTGGTGAAACAAAACTGGTGGCGCATCTTCATTTCTCAAGCCATCTTCTAACCGTGAAGAAACCAGTAGCTTTTGTCCAATCTCGAACCTCCAAGTGATGAGCTGTGTTATGAAGGTGATATTCTCTCGCATGTGTAGTTCCCCACTCCCCATTTCTGCAACATTCCCAATTGCTTTTTATTCACCAAAGTATGACAACAAAACTAAAGATTCAGAAAAGTGCAAGTATAAACATTAAGTTAAAGTATGTGACTCTCTCACATTTGTAATTGGAATCATTTAGTTTCTAACATTTGTTATTGTATTACCAAAGCTTCCTACATAAATTACAATTCTTCTCACAAGACATTCATGCCCTATTACATACGAAATTCCTAGACTAATTGGCAAAGAGCTTCCTAACCTAGAACACCAACAAGAGAAAATCGCAAAAAGTGGAACACATAAAGCACAAAGAAATTGTCAAACAAAATAAGAGGCACAGAACCAGACATCAAAACACCTCAAAGGGTGAACTTAATCAATATAACCAAACAACATCCATAACAGTAATACACAGAACAATAATGGGGTAATGTGGAATTGTTTGACTCAAGAAGCTCCACATGTAATTTATAAGCTTCCTAAATAAGGCAATAGTGAACAGAACAACCAAAATTTTCTGAAGCAGTATATATCAGGGGAGGTCTACTTAATGCTCTTGCAATACTTCAAATTTTGGTCAAGGATCTCATGAAGATACCTATTTTCAGCTTTCCCATGTTCTGATAAATAATAAAATCAATCGCAACAAGACCTATTTGCATCCATATCAGGTTTTGATAAGGCAAATGCAACAATTTCGAATTCAAAATTCATACACTTCATAAAAGGAATTTCAGCAGAAAACATATCCGGAAGCATATTAAGAATCACTATATCAATACTCAACAGAAACCCACATGATACGAACTGAAAAATACAAAAGACTATCATACCTCAACCATTAGAGAAAACCACAATTTCACATCTCAAAACACTAGCATACCTCAACCATTAGCAACACTAAACAAACCTCAACAAAAACTCCAACAGCTCGTTAGTTAGAAAGAGAAAATTAACTCCCTTTCGCAAAGCCCAAAACACTATTAACGAAAATCATATTTTGTCAAACACTCAAAATCCTATATTAGCACCACTCAAATTCCCATATAGAAACACCACAATTAAGCAATTAAAGCATAACACTCCATACGCATGTATACATATATAAACATATATATATATATATAGAGAGAGAGAGAGAGAGAGAGAGAGAGAGAGAGAGAGAGGACTGTAGCGAAAAATGGAGCCCATGAATGCCCCACCAGCGGAGTCTCCGCCAAACTTGAGAAGGCAGACAACAAGGCCATTGTAGGAGGCGGGGAGGGTTTGAAGAAGTAGGGTTAGGGTTAAGGTTTGGATTGGTAATGAGCTCAGTATCGGTGTCTGGGTCAGACTTTGGAGAATCCACCGACGTCATCGCCATGGCCGTTACTCTCTCTGTTTTCTATGAAGTCATGGCTGAGCAAGATTTGGGAGAGTGCGAGAGAGGAGAGGAGTTGGGTTTCAGAAAATGAATTTTGAGGGGATAAAGGGTCAATACAAATGTATTTATATGGAGGGCAATTGGGTACTTTCATGTTACAAAGTGAGTATTTCTGATTGAAATTTATAAAGTGAATATATTTGATTATGGTTTATCTTTTGTGATTATCCAAGTCAATTTCCCTATATATTTTGTCTAATTTTTTATGGGAGTTTCACTAAAACACCCAAAATGGGGGCTGAAATTATAAAAAAACCAAACACCCAAAACACTTTATAAACACACCCAAAACCCATCATTACACACACTCAAAACCCATTTATAAACACACCCAAAAAATATATAATTGTTGATTTTGAGGTTGATTTTGGGTGTGTTTCTATGTTTAAATAGTGTTTGGGTTTTTTTTTATAAATACATGTCTAGGATTGGGTTTATTTATAAATTTGTAATTTTTTATTTGGTAGCTGAGAGATCGAATGTGGCTTCTTCTTTACTCTTCCAGAATTTCCTTTTAATTCTTCCAATTTTCTATATGGTTTTGGAAGTTCTTGAAATTAATGGATGGATTTGTTGTTTTATGCAGAGATGGAACAAATGCCTGAGAAGAAGCCTTTACTAAAATATCCCACACATATTACAAAATAGGTTTCCAATTTTTAATACCAAACAAATTTTCAAGTTCTCAAAAAAGTCAGAATAAAACTCCAACTCAAAGATGCAGATTCAATTCCAATTTTTGAAAATGGTTTTCTAGTTGCCAGCCAAACGAGGCCTTCGTGTTTTTGTTGTTTCTTAAAGACATTGCAATTTGTGGGGGTTTTCGTTTTCTGGATTTTTTTTATTTTTATTTTTTTGCTATGATAAGAACGGGGTGAGGAAACAAAAATGTTAGTCTGATCATTTTTACACTATTTTGTTCCACTTTTGAGCCTTCTTTTCATGTTTTTGTTGTTGTTTTTTATTTTTTCGAAAAATAAAATATTTGAATTCTGTGTTTTGGTCAGAGAACGTTTTATGAATTAATTTTTTTTGTTGTTGAAAATTTAAGACTATTGAGCACGATTTCAAAATTGTGCTTTTGCGGAAGCTGTAAAAACGTCTAATCAACTTGTCAGAATAAAAGCACGTATAGAGACATTTAAAATGTTGGTGCACTGTGACTATTGATAATAAACACAAATATTTGTGCAAACAAATAGCGTCTTATGAGCAATTTTTTTTGTATTTATATGGAGAGAGGGGGAATTGAACTTAAAATCTTGGATGCGGGGATTAATACTCTTAAATAAGATAAAATAGTCAACAAGGTCTAGCCAAGTGAAAAGGGACATAATGTTTCAAATTTCATTTTGCTTCCAAACTAATGGTTTCATGAACATGAGCTTAATATCATCAAACAACCATATTTGTATAGATTTTGAAAGAAATTATGTTTTATTTTTTATTTTTATTTTTTGATATAAGCGCCTAGTAGAAATGGACTTGATTTTGTAGACCAATGGTCTCAAGTTTGAACCTTGACACATTGGCAGTGTGTGTGTGTGAAAAACCCTCCACTCCCAATATCACTTTAATATAAAATAAAATAAAAAACAAAATGATATAATGATTGTCCTTAACATATATATATATATATATACACACACACACCCACATAGATATAATTTGCATATTTGGTTTTTTTCTTATTAAGACTTATTCTCAACCAATGGATTTAAATTAGATGATCCAAAGGCCAAAATTGTGGTCTAACTTGGTATATGTTTGTACCCAAAAAATAAAGGGTGGTGTTAAACAAACCATAAAATTAGCTGAGTACCACTTATGATTTAAGTACACCATAATGATTTAAATTAAAAATGTAAAATTAACTAAGTACACTTTAATTACGAAAAATACCATGGTGTACCCTAATATACTTCATCACACAAAGAAAAAGTAAAAAGCAATTTGTGGGGGTTTTCGTTTTCTGGATTATTTTTATTTTTATTTTTTTGCTATGATAAGAACAGGGTGAGGGAACAAAAAATGTTAGTTTGATCATTTTTACACTATTTTGTTCCACTTTTGAGCCTTCTTTTCATGTTGTTGTTGTTGTTTTTTATTTTCTCGAAAAATAAAACATTTGAAATCTGTGTTTTGGTCCAAGAACGTTTTATGATTATTTTTTATTTTTTTTTGTTGCGGAAAATTTAAGACTATTGAGTACGATTTCAAAATTGTGCTTTTGCCGAAACTGTAAAAACGTCTAATCAGCTTGTCAAAATAAAAGCACATATAGAGAAATTTAAAATGTGGATGCACTATGGCTATTTATAATAAACACAAATATTTGTGCCTTTAAGCACAAAAACAAATAGTGTCCTATGAGCAATTTTTTTTTGGTAGTGGATATGGAGAGAGAGAGAATTGAACTTAAAACTTTGGATGCAGGGATTAATACTCTTAAATAAAATAAAATGGTCAACGAGGTTTGGCCTAGTGAAAAGGGACTTAGAGCATCCACAATCATGCTCTCTATTTTTAAGTTAAATTTTAGCTAAAAATATATAAAAGTTATTTTAGGAGCTCTTTATAAAATTTAAACTTTCATAAATGCTATAACTCTTTTTTAATTGGTCAATCTCTATTAAAAAATAATATAAAAATAATTAATATTAATTAAAGGTTTGAAATACTCATTAAATAAAGCAGCATTAAATTATATGGAGTCATTAGGAGTCCTTTCTCTCTCCTCAGATTTATGAGCTCCTAGTAGTCTCTCTGTTTTAGGAAGTGGATATGGAGCATGGTTGGAGTTGTATTTTTTCAAATCCTTCCTAAAATTTGTCTAATAAGGTGGTTTAAGGAGCTCATTGTGGATACTCTTAATTTCTCAAATTTCATTTTGCTTCCAAACTAATGGTTTCATGAACTTGAGCTTAATATCATCAACCAACCATATTTGTACAGATTTTGAAAGAAATTATGTTTAATTTTTGATATAAACACCTAGTGGAAGGGGACTTGATTTTGCAAACCAATGGTCTCAAATTCGAACCTTGATACATTGACAGTGTGTGTGTGTGTGTGTGTGAAAACCCTCCACCCCCAATATCGCTTTAATATAAAATAAAATAAAAAACAAAATGATATAATGATTGTCCTTAACGTATATCTACACCCTACAAAAAAAAAAAAAAAAAAACAAAAAAAAATACACCACATATAGATATATATTTGCATTTATTTGTTTTTTTTTTTTTTTTCCTTAAGACTTATTCTCAACCAATGGACTTAAATTAGATGATCCAAAGGCCAAAATTGTGGTCTAACTTGGTATCATTCGAGAAATTATAGAATGGTACTATACTACCACGTCAGTTAATAGTACTTCCATTCAAAATATGCCATGTGTCATTTAAATAAAACAAAAAGACGCCGGAAACAACTCCGACGACAACCCAAATCTTCCTACCTTCCACTACCAACCACCCAACCCAATCGCCGAAGGGGTTTGGTTGGCCACCTAGTTAATCTAAAACAAGAACCACATAAAGAAATTACTGAAAATAACAAAAACTGATTATTACCTTTGTGGTTTCTGTACAAATGATAATCAACAAACCCAAAAAGAAATAAGCAGCACACTACAGAAACCTGTCGAGTCCTATGGACTATTGGGTTGGGTGGAAGAAGTGCGAGGATGGGGATTGGGTTGTGGTGGGAGGTGGTTTCCGAAGGCTTCTTTGGGTTCTTTCTTTTTTAAAATAAAAAAATCTTATTCTAAAGTTAAAAAGAAAGTATTAAATCCAACTGTAAAAAAAATTATAACTTTATGAACAAAATGACATATGGCATATTTTGAATGAAAGTACCACTAGTTGACGTGGTAGTATAGTATCATTCTATAATTTCTCGTATCATTCACGTTTTAAAAGGAAATTCCCAAAAAAATATATACATGGGAAGAAATAAACAAAGAATGGAGGAGGACATGAACGGTACGCAATTTCAAAGTCAAAATATTGAAAACAAAGTGTAAAAACTCCAAGTTTATTTGACTTTTGTCTTAACCTGTTAGACAACTAAGAAAGTAGTTAGACTTAAATTGTGATTGTACGATTGTACTCCTAACTTGTAGGATGAATCCTTGCTACTCAAGGATTGTAAATTGTATATATACACATTCACGTATCAATGAGAATTATTCTGCCATATATTATTTTTCTACATGTTATCAGAGCCAGGTTTAAAACCCTAGCTCTATTTTTTCCTTTTTTCTCAGCAGCCATCTCTGCCACTCAATTATGGCCGACTCTTCTTCCTCTGATGGCCCCTTTTACATTTATCATTCTGACCATCCAAACCTTGTTCTTGTCTCCAAAAAATTAAATGGTGATAACTACACCTCCTGGGCCCGTGGCATTCAAATTTCCTTGAGTGCCAAGAACAAACTTGGTTTCATCACTGGAGATATTAAGGAACCTTCTTCCTCCAATGATCCCGATGACCACGCAGCTTGGCGCCGTTGCCATGACATGATTCTTTCTTGGATTCTCCATTCATTGGAACCTGACCTTCAAGAATTCGTTCTCTTTTCTGTCTCTGCCAAGGACGTGTGGGACGATCTTCGCGAACGGTTTTCTCAGAGCAACGCACCTCGTATCTTCCAACTCAACCGTTACCTCGCTACAATTTCACAAGTATCCTCTTTTGTCTCCGCCTATTTCACTCGTCTCAAAGCTCTCTGGGATGAGCTTGCCTCTTATAGTGACGGCACGTGCTCTTGTGGTACCAAGAATGAACAGCAACATCTTATGCAGTTCCCCATGGGTCTTCACGACTCTTTCTCTGTTGTTCATGACCAAATCCTCTTGATGAATCCTTTACCCACTGTTCGTCAAGCTTGTTCTTCTGTTTCTCAGGCCGAGAAACAATGATCCTTGGGCTCTGTCTGCCCCACTGACTCCCCCGCTGCCATGGCTATGCTCAGTTCTTCCCGCACCTTCTCCGAAAGACCTCCGCTTCATTACACCTACTGCGACTACGATTTCCATACTCGTGAGACTTGCCATAAGCTTTATGGCTATCCTATTGGCCATCCTCATGGGCAACCCTAGCGACCACCACGTCGTGCGTCCACCTCTGGCGGCCCCTCTCGCAGCAGCACTGCTACTTCTTCTGCACGCAGAGCCTCAGAGCCTTCTTGGCCTTCCAGCAGCACCCGGCACTCATCAGGCAGCAACTCCAGCGCCTCTTCACATCGTTCTTCACCCTCTGCCTATCATGTGCACGGCTTTCCCAGCCTTCAGGGCTTGCAAGTAGCCATGCCTAATCTGTCCGCTGATCAATACACTCGTCTCCTCGCTGCCCTTGATGATTCCACTGCCCCATCATCGTCTTCTCCTCAAGTTCACGCCGTCTCTAGTGATGCCTTCGCTCAAGGTTTGTTATGGTCCATGGATTCTTGACAGTGGCACCACGGATCATATTACTTCATCGTCTTCCAATTTGGTTCATACTTTTACTTCACTTTTGCTGCCTGTTTCCTTGCCTAGTGGTGCCACAACCCTAATTACTTCAATTGGGACTCTTCACTTAAATTCCTCGATTGCTTTGAAAGATGTTTTATGTGTCCCTACTTTTCAAGTGGATCTTTTATCAGTTAGTAAGCTTACAGATGATTTATCTTGTTCCGTGACTTTTTTTCCCTCTTGGTGTATTTTGCAGGACTTGGTTTCAAAAGCGATGATTGGTGTGGGTAAGTGACATGGCGACCTTTACTACCTTGTGGCCCTTGCCTCTCTCCCCACCTGCCAACCTCTCTGCAACACCATCACCATCCCACCCTCCTTCTGGCATAGGCACCTTGGTCATCCCTCTTTAGCTCGTTTACAAGTTTTAGCCCCTCATTTTCTTAAATGTTCTTTGGATTCTAGTCATGTTTGTGATGTTTGTCCTTTGACGAAACAAACTCGTCAACCTTTTGGTTTAAGTTCAATTTCAACGACTTTTCCTTTTTCCTTAATTCATTGTGATATTTGGGGTCCAAATCGTTAATCTTCTCTCACTGGCACTCATTAATTTTTGACTATTATGGATGATTTTTCTCGTTTTACATGGGTCTTCTTGATGAAGCATAAATCTGACACTCAAAAAATTCTCAAATATTTTTTTGCCTATGTTCTTACCCAATTTAACACCAACATCAAAAGCATCCGTACTGACAATGGCGGGGAATTTTATTCTCTTCGCAATTTTTTCGCTGACCATGGGGTTGTTTTCCAAACTTCTTGTGTTTACACACCCGAGCAAAATGGCGTTGTTGAATGCAAGCACAGACACCTTTTTGAAATCGCTCGGGCCTTTCGGTTTCAATCACACCTTCCCCTCAAGTTTTGGGGCGAATGTGTTCTTACTGCTGCCTATACCATCAATCTTCTTCCTACCCGCCTTGTCAATAACAAAACACCTTTCGAGGTCCTCCACAATAAACCTCCGCTTTATGCTCACTTCCGTGTTTTCGGTTGTCTAGCCTATGCCACCTCTGTTCTTCCTCCCACTAAGTTCTTTCCTAGGGCTCATCGTTGTCTCTTCATTGGTTACCCTGCTGGCCAAAAGGCTTACAAACTCTATGACCTTGACACACATCGCACCTTCACTAGTCGGGATGTCATCTTCCATGAGGACTCGTTTCCTTTTGCTTCCCCTCCCACTCCACCTGTCATGGCTCCTCCACCCACTAGTGTCTCCTTTCCCATTCCCCCATCCCTAGACATCCAATTTCCCCCTCCCTAGGGCCCTACACCACCGGCCCCCGTTATTCCACCGCTCCTTGACACCTGTCTTCCCACCACCCTGCCTGCTCCTATTTCACCACCCACGTCTCCAACAGCTCCTCCACCACATCCTGCCACCTTACCACTCGTGCCCTCTGCTGCACCCAATCAGCCTACTCGTGTGTCTTCCCGTTCCCATACACCCCCACATTATTTAAAGGACTACGTTTGCTCGTAGGTGATTCTGCCACCACACCCATCTTCTCTTTTGCCACCAGGTTCTCTCAACTGTACGCAGTATCTCCTCTGTGATTATGTTTCTTACCACCGCTTATCTCCACAGCATCTTTCATATATCTACTCTGTGAGGCGAGGTGTCGAACCATCTTCTTTTGCAGAAGCTGCTAGTGATCCTAACTGGGGCCATGCTATGAATGAGGAGCTGGATGCCTTGCATGCCAACCGTACTTGGACCCTAACTACCTTGCCCCCCGGTGAAGTTCCCATTGATTGTAAATGGGTGTATAAGCTCAAGCATAATTCCGATGGTTCCATCGAGTGTTACAAAGCCCGTTTGGTTGCCAAAGGTTTTAACCAGGCCACAGGTATCGATTATCATGACACTTTTTCCCTTACTGCTAAGATGATCATTGTACGCTATTTTCTTGCCCTAACTGCTAGTCAGTCTTGGTCCCTTCACCAACTCGACATCAGTAATGCTTTCTTGCATGGTGATTTAGATGAGGAAATCTATATGTCTCCTCCTCCTGGTCTTTGGCGACAGGGGGAGAATCTTGTGTGTCGCCTCCACAAGTCTCTTTATGGTCTCAAGCAGGCTTCTCGCCAATGGTTTGCCAAGTTTACTAGTGCCATTCTTTCTGCTGGGTTTCAACAATCTAAGGCTGACTATTCATTGTTTACGAAAAATTCAGGTACCTCTTTTACAACCTTGCTCATTTATGTGGATGATATTGTGATAACAGGCAATGATGTGCGTGCAATTGATTCTCTAAAACTTCTTCTCTATGATCACTTTTGGATTAAGGATCTTGGCGATTTAAAGTACTTTTTGGGTATCGAGGTTTCTCGGTCTAAACGTGGCGTCTATATTTCTCAACGTAAATATGCATTAGAGATTCTCAAAGATTATGGCTTCCTGGGAGCCCGACCCATTGCATTTCCTATGGACGATACAAAATTATTTGATAAAGGGGAACTCCTCAAGGATCTTGAAAAGTATTGGCGTCTAGTAGGACAGTTAATTTATCTCACAATAACTCGGCCGGATATCACCTATTCTGTACATGTTCTAAGTCGGTTTATGCATGAGCCGCGTACTCCACATATGGATGCTGCACTTCGAATCGTTCGTTATTTGAAGTCGACTCCGGGTCAAGGCTTACTATTCCGTTCTGACAATCAAATCAAGTTGACTGTTTTTTGTGATTCTGATTGGGCGGGTTGTCCTATTACTCGTCGCTCGACTACCGGCTACTGTGTTTTCTTGGGAAATTCTTTGATTTCATGGTGGACAAAGCGGCAGAAAACTGTTTCACTTTCTTCTGCTGAAGCGGAATATAGAGCTATGTCAGGTGCTTGTTGTGAGATAATTTGGCTACGTTTTCTATTGAAGGACTTGAACATTCCCTTAATTGGTCCATTTGATCTATTTTGTGATAACCAAGCAGCATTACATATTGCCGCCAACCCTGTTTTTCATGAGCGTACTCACCACATCGAGATGGATTGTCATTTTATACGTGATAAAATTGTTGATGGCACTATAACTACCAAGTATGTTGGTACGGCACATCAGTTGGCGGACCTGTTTACGAAACCTCTTGGAAAGGAGAAATTTTCGACTATATTACGCAAGTTGGGCATTCTTGACATCCACTCTCCAACTTGAGGGGGAATGTTAGACAACTAGGAAAGTAGTTAGACTTAAATTGTGCTTGTACGATTGTACTCTTAACCTGTAGGAGGAATCCTTGCTACTCAAGGATTGTAAATTGTATATATACACATTCATGTATCAATGAGAATTATTCTGCCATATATTATTTTTCTACATAACCCAAAAAGGATTGACGAATGTTGATCAAACCCAGTTGGGCAAAGCTCATAATTTGCGTCTTGTTCTGAAGGCTCTTTTTAACTCTTTTACTAGAAGACCCCAAAGAAAGGTTGTTGAGGAATTGTAAAGAAAAAAGCAAGCCCTTTAAAAAAATAGAAAAAGAAAAACAAAGAAATGAAAAAAAAAGGTGTTGTTAAATGAACCCTATAATTAAATAGAGTGTACTTATTAAAATTACATTCGTTTCACAATTCAATATATCCTCTTTGGTCATTTTATATTAGAGTAAATTAGTAATTCAATGAATAGTTTGGTAGTAGAGTGTACTCAATTAATTTTAAGGTTCGTTTAAAACCACCCAAAATAAAAATAATTTTGCTATTTCCACCCGCCAGTCCTTTCTACACGATTATTTTTAATCAAACTTATCAAGTCATTAACTAATGCAAAAGAAGATGATAATTAGAGAAGAAGACAGAGGAAGTAGTTGGAGTTGGAGAAAATGGTGCCATGACATTCTTTTGTTAATTTGAAAGGCTGATGACTTGATAAGTTCGATTAATTTTGTGTTAGTGTCGTTTAGCATATTGATTTAAATAATTTTAAATTTCCTTAATCACAACTCACCGTCCTTAAAGTCTAGCACTAGCATACAACTTTAATTCCTTTTCTCATATCCTGTTTTCATTGGTTTGTTCAATGCTTGGAGAGTTGGGATGATAATAGAAATTTGCGGCCTCTCTTTTCTGTTGGGACTTTGAGCATTAATTAACTTATGTTGGAAATGTGTCTGCAAGGTATGATGAGAGAATAAAATAAATATTTCATATGAAAACATTGTTAAGTGGCTTCTAGCTGTGTAGGATGACTCCCACCAACAGTTTATAACTTTTTTCCTCATTTAATATTATTTTCTATTAGTATTTTTGTAATGGGACGTAATGGGGAATCGCCAATTCGAATATTACTAGTGTTGAGGCCCAAAAAAGTCATGAGAAGCTCAAAAACATTCAAAGCCCAATATAACATATAATGTTGGTCATGCGTTAATTCAAGCTGTATTTTGGGAATTAATTTATTAAATAAATATATAAATAGTGTACATGCCGTGCCCAATTAATAATACATTTTTCCTATGCCAATCACCTACCAAGCTCACATGAACCCAAGTCATGTGGTTTACGGGGCTTACATGAGGGATTGTGGTGCGGAAGGTTACGGAGGTCCACAAGGCCCACGGAAGCTCTTGGATAATAGAGACTTTGGGCTAGCTACTTGGGAGCACCAAAGTCCAAGCCCATTACTTAGAGTTCTCCAATGTGGGTGAGTAAATGAGATGTTTTTTCAAGCACTTCTTTTTACCCATAGGAAATAGTCATTTTCCAAATGCCTAGCTTTACCGGTTAGAAATAAGCCTTTTCCAACACTTCCTATTACCCACTGGAAACAAGCCACTTCCAACACTTCCTTTTACCCATAGGAAATAGTCATTTTCCAATGCCTAGCTTTACCTGCTGGAAAATAGCATGGCCCAATGCTTCCTTTTAACCATTGGAAATAGGCTGGTTCCAGCATCTCTTTTTACTTATTGGAAATAAAGGAGAGCCTTCACCTTCTATAAATTAGGAGGCATTTCTCAAAAAAAAAAAAAAAAAAAAACATCTTGGTTGTTGCAAGCTTCTCAACAACCATGAAAACTCACCTTTCTTCAACTACTGCAAGCATTCCAGCAGCTTCTAATTTTTCTTCAGCCAACACTCCCTCACTCGGCTGCTGCAAGCATCCCATCAACCATCAACTCCCATAAAGCATCACCTAGCTCTAAGCTTTTCCTTCCTTCCAAGCTTTAAGCACTATAGCCTTCAAGCCTCAAGCTTTTCCTTTCATCCTCCTTCTCCTGAAACTCTTAAATCCCTATAGCCATAGCCACAAACAACAAATTATCAACATCGAACTCAAACATATCCAACGCCAAGCCAAGCACATGCATTCTCGTTTGCTAAACTTGTGGGTCTTTAGCTCCCACACTCCAAGCTCTCATGCCAAGCTCATATAATCTCATATCAACATCAACAAGTCATCTTCAACTATTCGTCAAGTTGCCGGAAACGTCAACACGAAACACGCAGCCGCTGGAAGAAGAACAAAGTACTCCCCCGGGACTTGCTTCTCCCTCGGGATACTTTGGGCCTAGTTCTTGCTAACTCAGACAAAGGGGCAACGAAGTCTTCATTCATCACTCTATGGCGATCCAAGAATCAACAAAGCCCGGATGAGCCTTCGGACGAAAAAGACCCCAACATAAATGGCAACTCCAGTGGGGACTAGGCCATTAGTCTTGTAGTGGCTCCTGAAAAATCACAAGCTTTATTTATGCAATTGCACTACAGCAAAATTTAAAGATAAGAGCATTCTCTTTGATTTTGCTTTGTTATGTTGTTCTTTTTTAAAAATTAAAAAAAAAAGATGCAAAAGCATCTCTAATATTTTCTCTTATGTTGTAGATATACCTTTTCAGACAAAACATCTTGCGAAAGGCCTATGGGGGCTTAAGAGAATCCATCATAGCAAACAACACATGCAAACTCCAAATGACTTGGGGGCTTCATGCCAAGCAAAAGAGAGAGACAAGAATCCATAAGCTGTTGTAAATTTTAGTTTTCCTCTTGGAGGAAAGCAAACTGTTTGTTACTTATCTGGAGGAAAACAAGCTGTATGAATCTCTTCCAGCAACTCGCTTAGCCTCTTCCTTCTCATCTTCAGTCTACTTCTTCCAAAGATCTTCTTTGAAGCAAGTTGCAAGAAAAAAATAATAATTTACAAGCAGGCCTCTACTCTGTTTCTCGACCCTGAGAATATAACCCAACTCTGCAACCAATTGCTAACCCCAACAAGTTGACTTGGGGGCTTCATGCCAAGCAAATTCAAGGAAGGACACCATGCCATCCAAACAAGCAAACCCATCTACCTTTTTTGCCACACAATATAAATCATCTCTTTGATTACAACAAGCCTAGATAGTCTTGCATTATGGTGAGAAACAGTTTTCTATTTCCCCTTTTTTGAAACAAGCCAAGTTACATTCTTCCAGCACCAATTCCACAAGCAAAGAATTTCCAGCACCTGTCCTATTTCAAACATCCTTCCAGTACATGCCTGATTTCAAACATTCTGCCAATTTCTAATCTTCCAAAAGCCTTCATATCGGAAGTCAAGGTGCAAGCAACCAAAACTCACCTTCATGCTGCCAAATTCCTTGCAAATTAGTAAGAAGATGGCATTTCTCATGCTGTGGAACCTCTCAATCAATCTTGAAAAAGAAACAAGGGAGTACGTTGGTCAGATCAGGTGCTGGAAGGGAACTCGTAAATGAAAAGGGGGTGCCGGAAGCATAATTGCTATTAAAGCATTTTTATTTTATTTTTTAAAGACAAGTTGCAAGAGACCAAAACTCACTTTCATGCTATCAAAATCCTAGAAAATTAGATTTCTCATGCTTTGGAGCTTCTAAACAAAAGAATATGTTAGCCAAAATCAGACGCCGGAAAGCTACTCATACACAAATGGAGGCGCCAGAAGCATAATTTTCTCAGAATGCAAGCAAACTCATGTGTCAAGCATTTGACAAAATTCACAAGGCTTGAAACCATTCCACATGCCAAGAAATTTCATTTCATTCAAGCATTCCGAGCAATTTGGGCATTTCAAGCAAATTGAAGAACTCATGCTCTTATGACAATACCTTTCAACATCATGCTCTCACAACAATATTGTTCAAGAACATGCTCCAGCAATACTCAGATCAGCACTCAATGCCAACAGAAAGGACATGCCAAATTCTCAACAAAAAGTAGCATGCCCAGCAAAACTTATACATAAGCTTTCCAACCATTCCAGCTGGAACATCCCACCTTTAGAAAATTACTATAAATCAAGCTTACAGACAACAAATCCCAAACTTTCCAGATTAGAACTAGACATATCAAGCTTCATTTTTCCAAAATTTCATTGCATTTTGAGCTAGGAAATCATGTCAAACAGATTCCTAAAACAGCCCATGCAGCAGGGACTGCACAGCTCCAGCAGCTTAACTTTTACTTTGAAATTGCACCAAAAATTCATTTTTCCTTCAAATGGCACAAGACTAGTTCCAACATAACTATGGAGAAGTCTATTTTCATGCATCAAAATCTCCAACTCAGATTCCAAGAGAAACATTTCGAAAGTTCAAAGAATAGTCCACAAGCTACTGTGAGACATCACTACTACAAAAAAGGAAAAAGACGACGGGAATTCACCGTCGTGTATTCGGTTTTCAAACCGTCGTGGAATCGACCGACATCTATTTGGGTGTCAAACCACGACGCTAAATCACCGTCGTTGTTAAAACAAACAACGTCATTAATAAATAATAACCGACGTCTTTGTAATGGAAAAAGAGATAAAAAAAAACAGTCGAGGATGAGAATAGACGACCAATTCTAACAAAAAACGTCGTTAAAAAGGAAACATATGACATATATTAATAGAACATGGCCACAAGATATACATACAATGACGAGAACTAAAACCCAGCGTCGTTAAATATACCTTTCACGACAAATAAAAATATGACGTCTTTAAATACATAATCGACGACGTTATTGACTCCTACTACGTCAGTATCTTTTTAACAACCGTTGTGAAATGAATTTTCCACTTCGATTTTTCTATTAATGATGACGTGGAAATAGATGTTTGGGTCATTACTTACGACGCATATATTTAAACTGCCGACGTTGTACTACTAAACAACGTCGGTTACAAATAATTGAGAGCCGTATTACAGAATTTATACGTCATCTCTTAAAATATAATCGTCGTCTAATGGATCTGACACGACAAGGTTTCTCAGTTTACCGCCGTGTAAACTAGTTTTAACGACATGATCTTAAAATAAACGACGTGGAAAATATGTTGGGGTCATTACTTACGACATATTAATTTATAAAGACGACGTTGTCGTCAATATACAACGTCGTTATCATTCAAAAGACAGCCGTGTTTCATAATATATACGTCATCATTAAAAAAATACCATCGTCTAATTCCTATTAGACGGCGTTGTTAATCCGATATTAGCCGTGTAAAGAAATTTTAACGACATTATCATAAGAAAAGAGACGTAGATACATTCATATAACGTTGTTTTTGTAAAGGAACGACGTCCAAATATATCTTAACGTCGAAAAATTTACTAATGGATTTAAAATACTGTCGTGAATTCATCATTTTCCACTTCGTTTATGAAATAACATGCGACGTGGTAAAGTTAAGACGACGTCGTCTTTTGTAACGTTCAGGTTAGATATCTCGTCTTTTAGACGTCGGTATTATGGGATTGGAGTCGTGTTATTTGGAATTACATGGCGGCTCTTATGATTCTCCAACGTGATATTCTTAATAACTGTTTCACAATAGAGTCGTGGTTCTTCTTTGTTACGTTGCTTTAAGACGTCGGTAAATATATTGCGGTCGTTGAATGCTCCAAAACGTCTTTTTTTATTAGAACAGACGTTTGTTTTTCACATTTTTGTGTTTGTAATGTTTTTCACATTTTTATAAACCGTCATGTTTGTAATCTTTTTTTGTTTGTGGCCAAAACCTGTATAATGAAAGTGAAGAAATCACATTACAATATATTACAAAATTAATGTCATACACTGCCAATTACATAAGCATCATTCAATCCCATATATCTTCACACCCATCTCGAATATTTTGACTCCCTAAACTCACCCACCACTTCATCAAATGTGTCAACATTTGGCATCCCTCTAGTAAATGGCTCACACTCAATTCTCACATCACCTAAGACATCATCACCAATAACATCATTATATTCTCTATTAGGCATTGATAACACTACCGACCAACCACGATGCATCGGGTCGTCAACAAAAAATACTTGTTTGACTTGAGAAGCCAAAACAAATTGGTCATTCCTATGTCCAATTTTACTCAAATCTACAAGGGTAAATCCAAGTTCGTCCACTACAAGACCAGAAGTACTATCAATCCAATCACACCTAAAGACTGGGATTGTAAACTTTTGGTAGTCAAGGTCCCAAATTTCTTGAATGACACCATAGAAACCCATATTTGAGAGAATTGGGTTTTTATCCTTGGCACTAGCAACTTGCATGGTATGTGCAAGTAAATAAACTCCACTATTTTGAGTTGTCCGCACATCATCTTGTGCCTTGATGTTGAATTTAATACCTTTAATAAGATAGCTCCTATATAATGGCACTGCCATGTTTGGACCAGCTGCTAGCCACCTTAAATTTTCTGATACGCCATGATTGTCTTCCTCATTAAGTTCACTTTGAACCTGCAAATTAATCATAACTTAATTCAATCTAACATAGAAAGAAGAAAATTAAAAGTCCAATATGTTATTCAATAACATATACCTTGAAGCGTAGCCATTGAATGAAAGTGCTATTGTGCTTATCCTGCAGCCACTTTGTTCTCTTTCTAAATTTTGGATAAGCGGTCTGATGTGGATCATATGTTGCCTACATGACACACAAAATTCAAGCATTACGGTCCCAAACATATAAGATAAACATAAGAAATAATTTAAAATGGAAACTTAAAGAATAAAACTCATACGTACTCGATATAAGGTAGGACTTCCTCCGTATTCTCCAAGACATATAGATGTGCTTGGTTCAACAGGTCCCGATCAACTACGCTCACTGTGCAACCTGATAATGGCTTTGAAACTCCCATCTTTTGGCTTGAAGGCACTCCAACTGTACTAACATCAGATAAATGCTCGGTACAAAACTCTACAGCTTCTTCGCTATATACCGCTCAGCAATGCAACCTTCGGGACGAGTACGATTCTGAACATACCCCTTTACACTTTCATATATCTTTCAAACGGATACATCCATCTAAAATATACTGGCCCACACAGACGAACTTCTCTGACAAGATGTACTACTAGATGAACCATGATATCAAAGAATGAAGGGGGAAAGTACTTCTCAAGCAAACACAAAGTAACTACTACTCTTCTTCCAACTTATCTAGCTTGGAAACATCAACAGTCTTTGCACATATAGCATTGAAGAAGAAGCACAAACGAGTTATGCATACCTTGCAGGCTTCTCCAAAACAGAACGAATTGCCACAGGGAGCAATTTTGCATTAAGGTATGACAATCATGTGATTTAAGGCCAAGAAGTCTTGAATCTTGTAAAGATACAAGATTTTTTATATTTGAAGAATAACCTTCAGGGACCTTCATACCATAGAAAGAATTGCCAAACCTCTCTCTTCTCTGTCTTGACAAATTCCAAGGCCCGGGAGGCAAACGAGTACGTCTTTCTCCATACTCGGGTTGCAAATCAGTTTTGACCCCCATGTTCAATAAATCTAATCGAGCAGCAATCCCATCTTTATTTTTTCCAGGGATCTCCAGCAATGTACCAATGATACTATCGCAAACATTCTTCTCAATGTGCATAACATCTAGGACATGCCTCACAGGAAGGTATTTCCAATACTCGAGATCAAAGAATATTGATTTCTTCTTCCAACAAACTCTGTCACCATCTTCAACCATATGCAGCACTTCTTCTCCGGTTAATGGCTCAGGAGGCGTGCCATATTCAGGTTTCCCATTAAAAGCTGCACGTTGCCTCCTATATGGATGATTGATCGGTAACCATTTTCTATGCCCAATGTAACAAATTTTGTGGCCATTTTTCAACCTGTGACTAGGTGTATCATCGCCGCATATTGGACAAGCTTTATATCCTTTAACAACACAACCAGATAAGTTTCCATAGGCGGGGAAATCATTAATTGTCCACATTAATGCAGCTCTGAGTGTAAAGTATTCTCCATTATGTGCATCATACACTCCTCCAATCCCATCCCACAAAGATTTTAAATCATCAATCAAAGGCTCCAAGTAGACGTCTATATCATTTCCGGGCTGTTTAGGACCGGAAATCAATAAGGTCAACATCATGAACTTTCGTTTCATGCACAGCCATGGAGGGAGATTATATGTAACTAAGATAACTGGCCAGCAACTATATCTGCTACTTAGAGAACTGTGGGGATTGAATCCATCAGATGAAAGAGCCAATCTCAAGTTTCTCGGCTCATTACCAAACTCGGGCCATTTATCATCAAGAAGTTTCCAAGACGGGGAATCCGCCGGATGAGACATCTGACTGTCAATTGATTTTCTAGCAGCATGCCAAGTCAAACTCTTAGCTGTCTCATGTCATCGAAACATCCTTTTAAACCTTGGAATTGGAGGAAAATACCACACCACCTTCGCTGGCACACCCTCTTTCAAGATTGAATCTTTGCCTTCCTTCCACCTTGAGATACCACAAGTAGGACAATTAGTTGAATCTTCATACTCCTTCCTATACAAGATGCAATCATTGGGGCATGCGTGCATTTTGGAATTCATCCTCTTACTCTCCCTGGATGCTCGGGACCCAAAGCCATGGTCAATACATCATTATTGCCAAATACACTGAGACTGCCTTCAGTGACTTGTTTTTGTAATTCATCCTAAAACAAAGACATATAAAAAGTCAACACAAGAAAACACACGACGGTTATTTATAAACAAACGACGTATTATATAATTTCACACAACGCAATAACTTAGAAATCGACGTTATAATATATTTATAACGACGTTACTTAAAGAACGACGTGGTTAGTTGTTTCAAACGACGACATAAATAAACCACTGACGTCTTATGCTATAATTACAAAAAACAGAGTAGGGATTCCAAATTCAGTCATGTAACGACGTTTTTAAAACATCTCGACGTAGTAATATATTCGAACGACGCAATAAATAAAACACCGACGTCTTATGCTATAATTACAAAGACAGTAGCGATTCCAAATTCAGACATATAACGACGTTTTTTAAAACATATCGACATAGTAATATCATTCACACGACGTAAATATAACATAAGACGTAATAAGAATTATCAGGGCAATACAAGTTTAATAAAAATTTAAAACAGAGTGAGTAGGCTTACAATTAATTTTGCTTTCTTTGCCACCTTTGGATCAGGGATGTTACCATCTTTGTCTTGTCTAGCTTTCTTCCATAAGGTAGATCGATCAATTTCTACCCCAGGCATGGTTTCCTCCAATTGATCCTCCAAACCAGCATATCCTTTTCGAGACAATCGATGATTGTACTCAAGTTTCTCCCTAATCTTTGAATGTTGAGAATGCACAGACACAAATTCTTGGGATAACCTTGAAGCCACAAAGGCATCCCATTCTGCTTTCTCTATGAATTTATATAGTTCAGGGGGTTGGCTTAATTTCTTCCTCTCCTTGATGTATGGAAGGATATAATGCCTCGTTAGTGTAGACTTAAATCCTTCCATTTCTTGGCAGCAGAAGATAACACCAGGTTCTTGCCCCCTTGACCTACCACAAAAGCCATGTCAACGGCTTCCCAAATCTGCTCCTTTATATCCTTGGGGATTTCAGCCCATTTCTTGTCCACAAGTGGGACTCTGGAGCGTGCCAACACACCAATGTAAGACTGCATCTCAGTATGTGCAGGGCCACATCCTTTCCCCCTTTTATTGTACTCAACAACTGGCTTGATTTTCTGAAATTTTCTCTTCACAACACGAGGCATTGTGCTCATACCTCGACCTGACTTTGAATCCTCAGAAATTGTTGTCGTGCTGGCTGGTTCTGTCTCAGCAGATGAAACAAACTTCATCTTCTTCAAGGACTTGTCTTGAGGAGTTACCATTCCAAACTCCATACCTCCATTTTTTTTCGAGCCAAAGTCCTTACTTTGGTCTTGAGAAACCATGGTTACAGACAAATCAAACCTGCAAGTGAAAATATTTCAGGAAAAAATTAAGAACACAAACGACAGTTATTCATAAAACACGACGTATGATAAGATTTTACACGACGCAATAACATAACATCAGACCTAATAAATGTTTAAAACGATGGTACATAAACAACGACGAAACAATATAAAAGAAGACGTAATAAGAAGTTATTACTGCGATATTTACACTCCGTCTTGATATTTAAATTCAAACGACGTTAATATTAATATAACGTCGTGGTATTGAAATTAACACGACGTGAATAATAAGATACTGTCGTCTATATAAGATTCCAAACCCTTCTTTCTTTGTCTGTGAATGTTTGATTGCAGGTTTGATTTCTCTGAACCATGGTTTTTGTTTTTCCTAATTTGATAAAATACAAAGACAAAGAAAGAAGGTTTTGGAATCTTATATAGACGACGGTATCTTAGTATAACGTCGTGGTATTAACATTCACACGACGTGAATAATAAGATACCATCGTCTATATAAGATCCCGACGGTCATTTTAAAAACAACTTAGGTCAATTTTCAGACGACGCTAGGGCGACTGCTGAACCGTCGTGGTCTACATATTTAACCACGTAAATAAGAAGCTACCGTCGTCTTATTTAGTTGAAGTAGTTGTGTTCAAAGTTGGAAACTTTCCCTCTTGTCTGTATATTTTATCAAACTTGGAAAGAAATAAAATGATTTTGTCCAGAAAAAAGGTAAAAAGATTTTCAAAACAAAACCGTATGAGCATGCAAAACAGCAACAAAAATAGTGAGAAATGAAAGCTTACCTTTTGCGTGCAATGAAAGCTTCCTCTCGGAGTTTGGTGTTTAAGTTCAGAGAAGACGACGAAGACGAGAAAAGACGATGAGATACACTGACAGTTCTCTAACAAGGAAAAAAGACGAAAAGTTTTCTCTCGGGGATTGAAATTTTTATCGGGTTTGGAAACAGTGCATGTGTAAGTCAGGTAGACGAAAAGTTGAATATATACACAAACCGTTTCATAAAAATAAGACGGCGGTTTATAGAGAATGACGACGTATAAATAAAAAAACTACGACGATAATTTGAACTTAGGACGTGGTAAATAAATACGACAGTAGTGTTGTAGGTACCGTCGTAGTAAACTCCAAAATAAAAGTTGATAAATTAATATCTCGCGTCATGGTACAAGGATTTAACACGTCGTTTTTTTGTAATATACCGACGTGGATTTTTATAATATACGACGTATATTAAATAATAACCGACGTTGATTTTAAAATTAAACGGCGGTTTGTGTGTAATGACCGCCGTGGGTTTTAAAAATTTATTGTATAAATTTGTCGCTTTCTTTCAGTTTCAGTTTTCATTTAGGGTTCCAAGTTCTTCCTCTCTCACAGACACTCTCTCTCACCTCTCAAAGACAATAATTTGGATGTCTTTCTCAAAGAGAAATGGAGCTTACTCTCCAACAAATCTATGTCCACAAGAAGAAGCTTGTCATCTAGACTTCTCACTTCCGTGATCAGGCCTGATAGGAGACTTAGTGCTTCTGAATACTCCTTGCTTTCCATCAAAAGATATGCAAGCCTGGCCTCCACTCGCTGTCGAAGGAAAGTTCGCTTCTCAGCACGGGTCCACTGCGCCATTTCTTTGCAAAGGGAAATTTGAAGATCAGATGTGCCTGATCGTCTGCTCGATTTTCTTGGCTAAGAAGATCCGTCAGATTTGTGATAGCTTGTTCCTTTATCTGTAGAGGTTCAGAAGAAGAAGCTTATCCAAGTCTGAGCAATCGATAAAGAATAGAAATGGCTTCAGATGGCCTCTAAAGCCTGAGCAATCGAATTTGTAAAGACATTGTCAATGCTTTGAACTATCCAAGTCCTGCAGAAAGAGAACATACCAAATTTGAAACAACGACGGTTTTTTGTTCTATCGTCATCTTTTTTGGACGTCTTTTTTGTCGTCGTAGTATATTAAAGTAAGATGGCGGTAGGTTTATAATTACCGACGTAGATTATTTTTGTTAACGTCATTAAGTGTAATATAACTAACGTGGATTTTATTTTTAAATTATAAATAGAGTTTTTTTTCCCGAGTTCTTTCAGTTTTAGTTTTCAATTACAGTGCGTTATAAATAGAGTTTTTTTTCCCGAGGAAATTTAAAATGACGGAAATTAATGTTCTTGAATTTGTAAAATTTCTTGTTTGGGTGACTGATTTAAATTAAATACGAATATAAAAACAACGACGGTTTTTTGTTCTACCGTCGTCTTTTTTGTCTTAAGATGGCGGTAGGTTTATAATTTCCGACGTCTTTAATTTCTACGTCAATTACTTAATTGATTCTATCGTTGGTTTTTTGCTCTGAGACTAAGACGACGCAATATATTTGTTTCGCGACGTGGATTCTTTTTGTTAAATGTCGTTAGGTGTAATATAACCACGTGGATTTGATTTTTTAATTATAAATAGAGTTTTTTTTTCCGAGTTCTTTCAGTTTTAGTTTTTAATTACAGTGCATTATAAATAGTTTTTTTTCCCGAGGAAATTTAAATGACGAAAATTAATGTTCTAGAATTTGTAAAGTTTCTTGTTTGGGTGACTAATTTAAATCAAATACGAATATAAAAAACGACGGTTTTTTTGTTCTACCGTCGTCTTTTTTGTCTTAAGATGGTGGTAGGTTTATAATTTCCGGCGTCTTTAATTTCTATGTCAGTTACTTAATTGATTCTGTCGTTGGTTTTTTGCTCTGAGACTAAGACGACACAATATATTTGTTTCTCGACGTGGATTCTTTTTGTTAATGTCATTATAATAGAACCGACGTGGATTTGATTTTTTAATTTTTTTGTGTTCTTTCAGTTTTAGTTTTCAATTACAATGCGTTAAATAGAGTTTTTTTTCCCGAGGAAATTTAAATGAATGAAATTAATGTTATAGAATTTGTAAAGTTTCTTGTTTGGGTGACTGATTTAAATCAAATACGAATATAAAAACAACGACGGTTTTTTTGTTCTACTGTAGTCGTTTTTGTCGTAAGATGGCGGTAGGTTTATAATTTCCGACGTCTTTAATTTCTACGTCAGTTACTTAATTGATTCTGTCGTTGGTATTTTGCTCTGAGACTAAGACGACGCAATATATTTGTTTCGCGACGTGGATTCGATTTGTTAAACGTCGTTATGTGTAATATAACCGACGTGGATTTGATTTTTTAATTATAAATAGATTTTTTTTTCACGAGTTCTTTCAGTTTTAGTTTTCAATTAGGGTTTCAACTTCTTCTTGCCCTTTTCTCTGTCTCACCTCATCTCTTAGGAGGCAATTGTTTGGATGTTGGTGTGTGTGTATGTTTGTGTATCTGATTCCCAAACATACACACATCACCAATTTTCAAAAAATTGTCTATCTGATTGCAAATCTGTGGCTGCGTTGTGAAATTTTAGGAGGCAATTGTTTGGATGTTGATGTGTGTGTGCGTTTGTGTAGATACACAAACGACACACATCATCAACTTCCAAAAAATTGTCTCTCTTATTGCAAATCTGAAGCTGCCGTCGTCAAATTTCAGAGGCAGTTTTTTGGATGTTAATGTGTATGTGCGTTTGTGTATCTCAAAAACACAAATACACATACATCATTAACCTCTAAAATATTGTCTTTATGGTAAGATTATGATGAGGAACAGAGTTCCATTTGGTTAGATTTCGTAACCTTTGGGATCTCAGAAAAATGTGATTATGTCGGCGGTTTTCTATATAAACCGTCGTGGTTATTTCAATTCTTGTCATTAAGTTCATCTACCGACGTAGGATAACAAAATCCAAGAAATAAATTGTTAAAAAAAATTCTTATTAAGACGACGGTTTAAATATAAGGTATGACGTATAAAGTGAATAAATACGACGTTAAATTTTATAATACGTCGTTAAATGAAAAACCCCAACGTGGTGAGAGTTAAAGATATCGTCGTAGAACTATACGAGAAAGATGTCGATATATTTATCTTTGCCGTAGTTGTACATTAATTTAATACGGCGGTATTTTGTATTATACCGCCGTGGATTTATTTGTAATTATACGGCGCCTTATACGAAAACTTGGTCGTGTTAATTTCTGAGTAAAAACAGTGGCTTTTTTTGACATCGTCGTCTATACTTTCTACGTCGGTCTATTCATAACTTCTGTCGTTCTTTGTTGGCTTAGATTTTAGTTTGCGGAAATCCCATTTCAATAAGACGTCGGTTTTTTAATTAGGTGTGTCGTCTTTTATGAACATCCATTGGAATCTCCCATTTTTAGGTGTCTAAGGTGTTATTACACGGTGGTTTTATAGAACCGTCGTCTTTTAAAAAACAACGACGGTTTTCCCTTAGACCGTCGTTTTTTTATGGTCGTCTTTGTCACTTTTTGTAGTAGTGCATTTTCACAAACACTTGGCATGCATTACACAAGTGAGCTTGTGTGACTCTTGTTTATCACCAAGCTAGAATCCTAAACCAGAATCTCAACCTCAGAATTCAATTTCTAGTTCAAAAATTATGGGAAATATAGAGGAACTCAAGCATTCAAGCATAGAAGACAAGCATGCAAGAAAGACATCAATATCAATTCATGAACATGCCTTAGAAAAATGAAGGTAGAGAACACTACAACGGTCGGATGATCCTCAATTTTGGATACGTTATCAACAATATAATTTCGAACAAATTTTGTGAAGCAAGCACAATCATCCGAGCATCAGAAATTAAAAACACAGGTAGAAGCAGAATCTGTAGAAACTCACCAACCATGGATGAACACAGAAGCTGCAGACTAACTTTGAGGCATCAGAAAAATTCAAAAAATTCTACAAATTTTACAGGCTATAGTACTCGAGCAGATGAACAACTTTCATCAAGGAAGTTTTCTGATCCGAGCTTCTGAAATTTAACTTATATACCGATGCACAGTACCCACGGGTTTGAATCTTGAAGAGAGGAAAAAAGAGTTGAAGGAGAAGAAGAAAAATGAGGGGCACGTGTGCTGAGATAGAGATGAAAAATATATATATAATAGAGACAACATGCCAAGCGATATTGCCAAACTAACATGCCACACCTCTTACTAAAGAATGAAGGGGTTACTGGCTTTCCCAAGGCAGACCAACAACAACAACAGAATTGTACACAGAGATGCAAAGACCCAATACTCAATTTAGCCATGCCGAGATGATTCTGTAGATATTCATGCACAAGCTCCAATAAAAATCTGGCTGAGATGCAATAGAAATCGTGCCTAGCGAAGCAAAAACATCATAAGCAAAATGCAGATATCCAGGCCAAGCAAAAAAGGAACTCTTTATAACATGCCAAGCCAAGAAGAAACACTCTATCTCCAAAACCATGCAACTCAAGCATTACACTTGATACAATCATCTCAAGAACCAGACATTACAGTTTCAAGTTTTCCAAGCAATACAATCATCATGAAAGTGATAATCTTAGACCGAGCAATTTTAGCTGCCAAAAGCAGGGAGAAGAAGTCATGCGCCATCATGGTCATCATTGCAGCAAAATGATACCCCAAGTTCGTCACGCCATGATTCAATCAAATGCCAAGAAGTTCATGCTACGAGCTCATGCAAATCGAATCTTTTCATGATGGCTAGCATGAACCTAAGGATTGAGAAAACCGACTCTTTACATCCACAACCACATCCAGAGAGCAAGCTTCCTCTTTTGCTTCCAAAACCCATCAATTTCATGATTTGTTCATCCTTCTCCCCCTTATTTTTCCCTCCTAGCAGATTGTTTTGGTACTTGACAGAACCTCTATCGAGCTGCCAGAAAATCACTTAAGCCACCCATCGCCTAGCCTGTCCCCTCTTCTCAGCCAAACCCTCTGATAATCATTTCCTCCATTTCCTTAGAACCCCTGTTTTTCACAGAAACTCACAGCTCTCTCCCTTTAAGGCTAAACTCATGACAAGCTAAGAATCTACCTGTAAGCGCTAAGAATCTATCTGCAAGCAGCCATTCTTTTTGTTGGTAAAGGTAACCAGGGTGTTTCCTAATGCTTCATTATCCTTTCGAAGCATTCTTGGGGTTTGATCTTTGAACTCAGACACATGGGGTAATTTCACCCATTTTACTCCTTATGGCAGCTCAGCCCATTTGTAGCTGTCGGAAGAAAAAATCCCATATATAAATGCCAAAACCCAAACACTCAAGCACCTCCACCATGCTAAATAGCTTAAAAGCTATATTAAACCATGTCACTTTAGCCAATACCAAGCGTACAGGCTAATACCAAGAGTACACACCAATGCCAAGCATACATGCCAATGCCAAGCGTATACGCCAATGCCAAGCATACATGCCAATACCAAATATACACGTCAAAACCAAGCATGCAAGCCAATATCAGGCATACAAAACTAATGCAACTCTTGCAAACTACAACCATGCCAAATCAAGCATCACTAGTCACTCAAGCACATCAATCATGCAAGCTAACTTATTTTGGGTTAAAATTCAACCAAGCCTTATCTCCGATGTCATGCTGCAAAATAAGTTAACTTTTGGTAACCCCAGTAAGTAAACTCCAATATTACAGTGTCTAGGAAAGTTCTTTAAGACTACACCTTCGGTGTCTAAGAAGATTGGGTTTTAAGTGGGACCATTGCGACCCCTCCAACCTTCCCGGAAAAGACCTGGCTGTGATTTCGAACTGGTTATCCTTGAGTTGCTCATCGTTACATATATATATATATGACCAAGCTAACAATTGCCAAAACCATGCTAATCTTCATGCCAGGAAAAACGAAACGACCATGGCCAAGCAAGAAAGCACAGATGTTTCATGCATATTGAAGAACCAGCCATGCCATGCTACTGCCAATTATTTTGGACTGAAATTGATTATTGGGCTCATCTCGCTGCCACTTCATAGCCCCAATAATCAAGGGGGCTCATGTTGATGCCCAAAAAAATCACGAGAAGCCCAAAAACATTCAAAGCCCAATATAACATATAATGTTGGTCATGCGTTAATTCAAGCTGTATTTTGGGAATTAATTTATTAAATAAATATATAAATAGTGTACATGCCATGCCAAATCAATAATACATTTTTCCTATGCCAATCACCTACCAAGCTCACATGAACCCAAGTCATGTGGTTTACGGGGCTTGCATGAGGGATTGTGGTGTGGAAGGTTACGGAGGTCCACAAGGCCCACTGAAGCTCTTGGACAATAGAGACTTTAGGCTAGCTACTTGGGAGCACCAAAGTCCAAGCCCATTATTTAGAGTTCTCCAATGTGGGTGAGTAAATGAGATGTTTTTTCAAGCACTTTTTACCCATAGGAAATAATCATTTTCCAAATGCCTAGCTTTACCCGTTAGAAACAAGCCTTTTCCAGTACTTCCTATTACCCACTGGAAACAAGCCACTTCCAACACTTCCTTTTACCCATAGGAAATAGTCATTTTCGAATGCCTAGCTTTACATGCTGGAAAATAGCATGCCCCAATGCTTCCTTCTAACCATTGGAAATAGGCTGGATCCAGCACCTCTTTTTACGTATTGAAAATAAAGAAGAGCCTTCACCTTCTATAAATTAGGAGGCATTTCTTAGCAAAAAAAAAACCCATCTTGGTTGTTGCAAGCTTCTCAACAACCATGAAAACTCACCTTTCTTCAGCTACTACAAGCATTCCAGCAGCTTCTAATTTTTCTTTAGCCAACACTCCCTCACTCGGCTGCTGCAAGCATTCCAGCAGCTTCTAATTTTTCTTCAGCCAACACTCCCTCACTCGGCTGCTGCAAGCATCCCAGCAGCCATCAACTCCCATAAAGCATCACCTAGCTCCAAGCTTTTCCTTCCTTCCAAGCTTTAAACACCATAGCCTTCAAACCTCAAGCTTTTTCTTCCATCCTCCTTCTTTTGAAACTCTTAAATCCCTATAACCATAGCCACAAACAACAAATTATCAACATCAAACTCAAACATATCCAACACCAAGCCAAGCACATGCATTCTCATTTGCTAAACTTGTGGGTCTTTAGCTCCCACACTCTAAGCTCTCATGCCAAGCTCGTATAATCTCATATCAACATCAACAAGTCATCTTCAACTATTCGTCGAGCTGCCGGAAACATCAACACGAAACACGCAGCCGCTGGAAGAAGAACAAAGTACTCCCCTAGGACTTGCTTCTCCCTCGGGATACTTTGGGCCTAGTTCTCGCTAACTCAAACAAAGGGGCAACGAAGTCTTCAATCATCACTCTATGGCGATCCAAGAATCAACAAAGCCCGGATGAGCCTTCGGACGAAAAAGACCCCAACAACTAGCATGAAGGTAGGAATGGGAAAAAACTTAACAGGGATAAGGATGACTCCCCTGATTCACCTCATTGTTAATTTTGTCGTTTAGCATATTGAATAGTTTTTTTTTGTCGTAATCAAATCCAAAATAAAAATCATGGATTTAGATGCTTGATAGGTTTAAATAGTGTGGAGGTAGGAATAACAATGATGTGAATCGGGGGAGTCATCCTTAGAGCACCTCTGCGCAGCCTATTTGCCATGGCAACAGGCACCCCACAGCAAGGTTTGGACCTCCAGCACGCAAAAGACAGCCCGGGCAAGGCATGGGACTCACCAGCCTGGGCAAGCACACAGGCAAAAATGGACTAGGCTGTTCTCCTCAAGCAGCTGACGTCAGCGCCTAAAAAAATTGAAAAAAATATCAAAAAATTATGGAAATTTTTTCTATAAATACCTACCAATATTATTCACTCTCCACAACAAATCTTTATACAAATTCATCTCCTTACAATATTTTTCAATTTCCATACCAAATTTTCTACTACAAAATTCTATTTGAAAATTTTAATTTAATAAATATGGACACATGGCAGCCGAAAACCTTATCCGAAAATATAATTTGAAAATTTTATTCGAAAATGTTATTTGAAATTTTAGGTTATAATTTTATAATAAATAGTGACACGTGGCAACCGAACATATGATACGAAAAACTATCAAAATTAATAGTTAAGTATTTTAAAAAAAAAGTAAAATGAATAGTGTTTGTCCTTGCCCTTTGGGGTGGAACAAAAAAGGCAAGGCTTACACTATTCACGAGAATAGTGTCAGACCTTGCCTTGCCCTTGCCTTTTGGGGTGGAGGTGCTCTTATCCCCGTTAAGTTTTTTTCCCACTCTTGCCTTCATGCTAGTAATATTCCAATTGGCGATTCCCCATTACGCCCCATTACAAAAATACTGATAGAAAATAATATTAAATGAGGAAAAAAGTTATAAACTATTGGTGGGAGTTGTATGCTAGTGCTATACTTTTATCTTCACAAAGTCTTCTCTGATGTATACCTCCTCTGCTTGAGTTTAACATATTATTTATTTAAGGACGGTGAATTGTGATTAAGGAAATTTAAAATTATTGAAATCAATACGCTAAACGACACTAACACAAAATAAATCAAACTTATCAAGTCATCAGCCTTCCAAATAAACAAAAGAATGTCATGGCACCATTTTCTCCAACTCCAACTACTTCCTCTGTCTTCTTCTCTAATTATCATCTTCTTTTGCATTAGTTAATAACAAAGGCATCTTTTCCTCGCAACACACCATGACGAAACATTGCTGAAGTCCCTTTCTACACGATTATTTTGTTTTTCAGTTTCATTATAGTCTCTGTCTTTGCCTTCCTGGAACCTTTCTCTGTGTTGATTTTTCTTTTCCATATTTCAGTTGGTGCCATTGAACTACCATCTTTCTAATCATTGTAGTTCCGCGATCCGGTGCTGAGAGTAGATTTTTCGGAACTACTTTCCAATGGCATTGATCAGCCAAAGGGCCTTCACTTCAGCTACTGCAGTTTGTCCATGGAAATACCAAGTGTTTTTGAGTTTCAGGGGTGAAGACACTCGCAGGGGTTTTACAGACTATTTATACAAACAGTTGGATTGGCGAGGAATTAGAACTTTCAGGGATGATCCAGATCTTGAAAGAGGGACAGATATCAATCCGGAGCTTCTGACCGCGATTGAACAATCAAGGTTTGCAATCATAGTTCTTTCAACAAACTATGCTTCATCAAGTTGGTGTTTGCGTGAACTTACCCATATTGTTCAGTCCACGAAAGAGAAGGAGAGAATTTTCCCCATCTTTTATGATGTGGATCCCTCTGATGTACGACATCAACGGGGGAGTTTTGGGACAGCCCTTGTTAACCATGAAAAGAATTGTGGTGAAGAGAGAGAGGAGGTGCTTGAGTGGAGAAATGCTTTAAAAAAAGTTGCTAATCTCGCTGGGTGGAATTCAAAGGATTATAGGTAAGCAAGCATGAAGCAACAACTGACACATAGCTAATAAGACCAATTCTTCAATATTGCATTTCAGTTTTGCCATGCACTTTATCACAGAAATTGTTCAATATATTCATATAACCTCATCTGATGATTTTTTTTTGTTCTACTTCTAGGTATGAAACAGAGCTTATCACAGAAATTGTTGATGCAGTGTGGGATAAAGTGCATCCCACATTTTCATTGTTAGATTCCTCAGAGATATTAGTCGGACTTGATACTAAACTAAAGGAAATAGATCTGCATTTAGATACAAGCGCAAATGATGTGCGCTTTGTGGGGATATGGGGGATGGGCGGAATGGGTAAGACAACCCTAGCTAGATTAGTTTATGAGAGAATTTCTCATAGTTTTGAAGGTAGCAGCTTTCTTGCAAATGTCAGAGAGGTTTATGCAACACATGGTCCAGTTCCTTTACAGAAACAGCTTCTTTCCGATATTTTGAGGAAAGAAAATATACAAGTTTATAATGCTCATAGTGGATTTACTATGATAAAGAGGTGTCTATGTAATAAAAAGGTTATTCTCATTCTTGATGATGTAGATAAATCAAACCAACTGGAAATGTTGATCAGAGAAAAAGACTGCTTTGGTTTGGGAAGTAGAATCATTATTACAACTAGAGATGAACGCTTGTTAGTCGAACATGGGATTGAGAAGATATATGAGGTCATGCCATTAACCGAGGATGAAGCTTTTTATCTCTTTAGTATGAAGGCCTTTAAAAAAGATGACATTGAAGATGATTATCTGGAACTGTCTGAAAATTTCATAAACTATGCAGGAGGTCTTCCATTAGCTCTTCAAACTTTGGGGTCTTTTTTGTACAAAAGAAGTGGAGAAGAATGGAAGAGTGCACTAGAGAAACTGAAGCAAGCTCCTGACAGAAAAAGTTTTGAAATTTTGAAAATAAGCTATGATGGACTAGAGGAAATGCAGAAGAAAATTTTTCTTGATGTTGCATGTTTCCATAAGTTTGGTGACAAGGAAGACGTGATTGAAATACTAGACAGTTGTGGTTTTGTTGGCACTCGTATTGTGATACATGTTCTTATTGAGAAATCTCTCTTGTCTATTTCAAACGAGCGTCTGTCTGTTCATGATTTGATACAAGAAATGGCATGGGAGATTGTTCGTCAAGAGTCTTTTGACGAGCCAGGTGGTCGCAGTCGCTTGTGGCTTCACAGTGACATCGTTCATGTACTCACGAACAATACGGTAAGAAGTTGCACAAAAAATAAAATACCAACAAGCCTTGGATAACATACTATAATTCCATTAAAGACGATAAGAGGAACTTGATTATGACATTAACTTTTCTTTTATTCCTATTTACAAGGGAACGGAAGCCATTGAAGGCATAGTCCTATGCTTGCATGAACTTGAAGCGGCACACTGGAATCCTGAAGCATTCGCTAAGATGTGTAAACTAAAGTTGCTCAAGATTAATAATTTGAGCCTTTCTTTGGGCCCAAAGTATCTTCCCAATTCCTTAAGGTTTCTGGAGTGGAGTTGGTATCCCTCCAAATGTCTGCCACCAAGTTTTCAACCTGTTGAACTTGCTGAACTTCGTCTGCAGCATAGCAAAATTGATCACCTTTGGAATGGAATAAAGGTAGACCTTTTTAGAGCTATTTCTTTTCAATTTCAATAAATTGTAAGGTTCTTGGAAGTCAATTAATTTAATCTACCATTTTCATGTTTTGTACAGTACATGGTGACGTTGAAATCTATTGATCTTAGTTACTCCAAGAACTTGACAAGGACCCCAGATTTCACAGGTACTCAGAATCTTGAGAGACTGGCTTTTGAAGGTTGTACTAATCTTGTTAAGATTCATCCATCCATTGCCTCTCTCAAAAGACTAAGAATTTTGAATTTTAAAAACTGTAAAGGCATTCAGAGTCTCCCAAGTGAAGTAGAACTGGAATCTCTTGAAACATTTGATCTTTCTGGGTGCTCAAAAGTTAAAAAGATTCCAGAATTTGTGGGAGAAATGAAGAATTTTTCGAAGCTTTCTTTAAGCTTCACTGCTGTTGAGGAAATGCCTTCATCAATGATACCTTTGATCCTGAGTTTGAAGGAGATTGATATGAGTGGAATTTCTATGAGAGATGCGTCATCCGCCCTGGTTCCAGTGAAAAATATCGAACTGCCTAGATCATGGCATTCTTTCTTCAGTTTTGGCTTACTTCCAAGAAAGAATCCCCACCCTGTGAGTCTGGTGTTAGCTTCCTTAAAAGATTTACGCTTTTTGAAGTGTCTAAATCTGAATGACTGCAATCTTTGTGAAGGAGCAATACCTGAAGATATTGGTTTATTGTCCTCTTTAGAACATTTAAATCTTGAGGGAAACCATTTTGTTAGCCTTCCTGAAAGCATCAGTGGGCTTTCTAAGCTTAAGTGGTTCACATTGAAGAATTGCAAAAGGCTTCAAAAATTGCCAAGCCTTCCATCAAACGGACGACTATATTTTTCTGTAAACACTGATAATTGTACTTCCTTGAAAATATTCCCAGATCCACCACTTGGATCTGGTAATTGCAATTTTGACACTTGGATTAGTTCTTTAAATTGCTTCAGTTTGATTGACCATCAAGGTTCCAATTCCATAATATTTTTAATGCTGAAGAAATTCCTTCAGGTACTTCTCCCTCTCTCCCTCCTTCCCTCTTTTGTTGTGTAGTACTATTTATATCCTTCCTTTGGTGCAGGAAATTCCTCGTTCTTTGAGCTTCTCCGGTATTATAATTCCTGGAAGTGAAATTCCTGAGTGGTTCAATAATCAAAGTGTGGGAGACTCAGTAATTGAGACACTACCTTCGGATTCTAATAGCAAGTGGTGGGGGGTTTGCTTTTTGTGCTCTATTTGTACCTGCTCAAGAAATTTCTGATACGAAACATAATATAATCGATTTTGATTGCCGTTATGATTTAAACACCCGTGCGGGCCCGAGTTATGGTATTATCATAGACGATGTAGCGTCCGATCACCTTTGGTTGATCCTCCTGTCTAGGCAATTTTTCTTTTTGGAACCATGTGGGAGACCTGGGACCTATTGGAGGGAGAAATGCCAGGATCATAAGATTCGGTTTCATTTCAATGCAAGACCTTATCTAGGAGACGAGACGTGGGTGAAGGTGAAGAAGTGTGGAGTCCGCGCACTATACGAACAAGACGCGGAAGAGCTCAACCGAACAATGAAACAATATTCCAACAGAAGTAATTCTTTTCATGAGGACGATACAGATTGTGATTTTGACAAATCAGACAAGGTACAAGGTGCCATCACTAAGCGAACACGTGAACAGTACTGTAATGAGACAGGACCAAGCGGTATTGGTACCTTTGGCAAAGAATCACTCTGCACAAGAATGAAAGAAGACTAACTGTCCAGAGCCTCAAAGGAAGAATTGAAAGGTTGGTATTGCTAACCCTTCCCATTATTATATAATTATCATTCTTATAATCAGATCCAAATTTGGTTGGGGGAGGGGAGGAGAGTTCCGTTATCCAGAAGCCTAACAGGCGCATTTTACCAACTGAAGCATTTAAACATGGTTGGGAGACATTTATTTATGCTTAAATTGTTTCTTTCTTAGGCTAAATTCCACTGTATAAATTCAGTAGGTTAATTAGTGAATCCCTATTTGAGAGATTGACATTAACTGGGGCGTGGACAAGTCAATGAACTCCAAAATGACCTGTGCAGTAATTCCAGTAAACAGAAAAATCGTTTCAAAGAATTTGAGCTGAAGAGTTAGGCATATATCTTTCGCTCTAACGTGTATATGCAGGGCAAGGCAACAAGAAGTACACTTATAAACCAAGGAAACAGTTAGGCCCCGTTTGGGATTGCTTTTTTTCGCCAAAAACCTGCTTCACTTTAAAGTTAAGCAGTTTTAGGTGTTTGGTAAAAATAAAATATCTCGATTATTTTAAAAGCAGTGGCCTTTTGACAGCAGCTTTTAAAAGCAGGCTATAGGTTGCTTTTCAAAGCTGCTTTCAAAAGAAGCAGAGATGAACCCTTAATGAATTTTTTTAATTCCCAAAATACCATAATTTATTTTAAAAAATAACACCACCTCCATTTCCACATCCAACTCCACCACTTACACCACCACATTCACTACTTCCACAACCACCGCCATCGCCGCCACCACCACCACCACCACCACCTCTTCCACCACCACCACCACCACCACCACCAACTTCACCTTCACTTCCACCTCCACCACAACCACCACCACCAACTCCACCTTCACCTCCACCACCACCACCACCACCACCTCCTTCAAAACCTCCACATCCACCACCACCTCCACAACCACCACCACCACCACCACCATGCTGCCACCTCCACCACCATGCTGTCACCACCACCACCTCCACAAGCGCCATCCCTACCACCACCACCTCCACTCCATCACTACCACTACTACCACATGATTACTACATAACACTTTTAACATCATGTTTATTTTAATCATTATTCACAGTTACAACAATTTTATATTAAAACTTACCAAACGGTTTTTGACACTGCTTTTTGTATTAACAGCACTTTAAAAAAATTGTTTACCAAACACGGAGTTGCTTTACTTTACAGCTAATTATTTTCAAAGCACAGCAGAAGCAACTTTTTTTAAAAGTGACAGCAATCCCAAACTGGGCCTTAGAAGTGTTTTCCTTTGAAACGCACTAACACACTACCGTTCGATAAACCTTGTGCAGACACAACAAACGTCATCCTTCACCGTTGGATCCCACAAACAGAGTTAGGATTTGTGTTTCTGAGGATTCGAATTAGGGTTTGACGGCGAATTGCAAATCGAATTTATCCGAAACCACGTTTGTTTCGATGCTGGTAAAAGGAAGAAAGGTTTCTGGCCGGGGAGAGGCCGTGGCGGCGAACTACGCGTTCGGGCCGCTCGAAGATGACGTAATCATCAAGCAGAGACTTCTCACTCGAACCACAACCACAAGAGGCGAACCCATTGAAGAAGCTCCAGAAGAAGTTCACATCCCTGTTCGTCGAGCTCGACAAGAACGAGGACAACTATGGCGACTGCGACAAGCAGGCCAAAGCTTTCCTCCAAGAGCTCAGCACCTTCGAGATTCCGCTCCTCAAGAGCAAAATCGAAAAGGGAATTGACATAAGGAGGAGTGTGAGGCGATCAGGAAAATGATAGCTACGCAACCGCCTCGGTCCGAAACGCTCAAAATCATATCCGATTTGGAGAAAGAGATTGCCGCTTTGGACGCCGAGAACACGGCAAGTTCAAGGATGCTGGAGCTCCGAAAGAAGCATTTTGCTCTGCTCTTGCGTGTGGTATGCAGCTCTGTTAAATTCCCCAATTTTCGATTATGTTGCCTGCGTTAAGCAGTAGAACCCATTTGAAATTAGATTTAATTTGGTTGTATTTGATGTTTTTGCAGGTGGATGAGTTGCAGAACACCATAGAGGAAGAGCAGAAGAGTTTGATTGAGGAGAATGAGCACAAACACGGAATGGAGGATGCAAGTGGAGGCTCGGAACCCGTGCATGTTGATTAGAGTATACAATGCATCTCTTGGTTTTGCAGTTGGTTTTTCATGAATGGGTTTCTATCTATGCATGATCTCTCTTGATTTACAGAAACAGGAATGTAGAGTGTTGCTCTACAGT